TAATAAATTCTGTCTAAATATAGTTAAAAACATTATTGAGGATTAAAGCTCAATGCTCCATTAATTAACGGAAAGATAAGGGAACCACGCCCATTTTCTGTCAGTTACTCTATTCCCGCATTAAATAGGCCCAATAGAAACATTTTTTTTAGTGTCTGATGCACGCACAATGCTTCACACATCTCATAAATGTAACTTGGTCTCAATACAATTCAATCATGTAATCTATTTACACTATTATTAAGATATAATACACACCCAGGCGATTCCTCCTGTGGTTTTTTCATATTTATTTGCCCATTTTTATATTTTGGCGAATAAATATTATTATTATTATATTATTATTATTAAAAGAAACTGTCTAATTGTATCATTTCCAGATGAAGTCGGGTTGCCAGGCTGCCCTTCCTTTCTTCTTAAAACACCTATTTTTCTTTAGATGTATTTTTAAGTCGGACGAATGTCTAAATTTTCTAGGACACGAGGGGCAACAGAAGCTGGGATCTGTACCACATTCGTACCTTAGATGTCTTCTCAGTGACTGCTGATGTTTATAGGATGCATTGCATTTTGAACACATGAAACGTCCTAAAAAATGTGTAGATAGATATCAAGGTACCTAAGAATTCCAGTAATCAACGAAACCCAACGTTAAACAGTAATATCCTCCACCCTCCTCATCAACGTTGAAAAGTGAAAAATACAGAACATTTACATTTTTTATTAGCTTGAAACAAGTCACAGAAGGCCATTTAAACTAACACAGAAAAGACACATAGACTAGGCCATCTGCCGCGATACGAAATTTTTTATCTCAGATTTCGCACAAAATTAAGGATAGTGTCAGGCAGCATTTAGTTCAAAATTTTCTATGAAAAAATTTAGTTCAGTATTTTTTAACTAAATAGACGCCGCTGCATACTACTCATTTTGAGTGTACAATGGCCGCTAGAGGCGCCAACATTTGGAAGCCGGATTGGAATTTGGGATAAGCAATACATAGCAATATTAGGGGAAATCGCGAAACTACTGAGCTGACGACAAACCTGAAACGAAAACTATGGTTAAAATAGGAGTTTAACATTTTGATAAGTGACAGTTCGAAGTTGACAGAATTTTTTTTCCCCGAATGAGCATGATTCCATACGTAACAGACGTCTCATGGTACGTTCTCACGCGTTCCTTGCATACGTGTGATTGTCTCCGTCTGAATGAGGGGTCGTTCATCTTTGACATCATCGGGAGACAGGAAAGTCCACGACCGCTCACCGTCTAGGGGAAACCCGTCCAAAGTGGATACCCCAGGCAAAGCGAGTAGTCCTTACTGCTGCCAAATTATTTGTTGGCCGGCAGCCGCGTTGTCATATCTCCGGTCGCCTGTTGCCGCTAAATGCGCGGCAAATACGTTTGCGCCATTTTGCGGACAAAGTGTTTTTTTGTACGAAAAATATTAATTTACAGAGTGTTTTTTGTGGCATGTTCTTGATTATGCATGATTGTGTAGCTTCCAAGAATGCGTAGTTGATGGGTGTAGATGTACTGTCTTTTTAATGACTTGAGATAACCTCAAAAATGTACCCTAAGGGCAAAACGGATCGGGCAAAGTGGATGCTGTATCCGCTTTGCCCGGTAATCTCAAAAAATATATACTAAGTGACATATAAATCCTAACACCCAATTTAAATGGTTTTATTTTAATAAAATTTTGTATAAGTACTTAATGAAGCATAATAAGTAAATGATAAAAATTTCAAAATGATTGCACTGCTTTAAAGCCCTTTGACCATTAATAATGTGTGGATGCACCCTGATGTGCTACGCATTCTCCAACGCGCCTAGGCATGCTTCTGGTCAGGTGGTCAATGTCCTCCTGTGGTATCTCATTCCAGGCAACCATCAACTCCTCTCGAAGTTCTTCTAGAGTCTGAGGAGGACGTTGCAAATTGAGCAATCTTCTACCCATCATATCCCACACGTGCTCAATTGGGGATAAGTCGGGAGATCTTGGTGGCCATGGTAACAATGTGACATCATTATGTTGAAAGAAGTCTATTGTGACTCTTGCAACATGTGGTCGGGCATTATCTTGTTGGAAAGTTGGATCTGCCAGGGTGTCAAGATAGGGTAAAAGATGGGGTTCTAGAACTTCGTGGATATAACGCTGCGCGTTCATGTTACCTCTGATGAAGATTAAAGGTGACCTGGAGCCATAAGCTATAGCACCCCAAACCATAACTCCAACAGTGTGGTGAACATGTCTTTCAACAAAATACTGTGGATTCCTCCTTTCACCACGTCGCCTTCTAACCCTGGCACGACCATCGTGCATGCCTAAACAAAATCTAGACTCGTCACTAAAGACAATACTGTTCCATTCCTGATCCCAGAGTGACCGTTGTCTGCACCACTCAAGGCGATTACGTCGGTGTTCTCGAGTTAAAGGGAGGACCCAGTGTGGCCGGTATGAAAACAAGCCAAAACTTCTCATTCGTCGGTAAACACTTCGCATGCCAATAGGTCTTCCGTGTTCTGCAAACCATTCATTTGCAATGGACCTGGTAGTGGAGAAACGGTCCCTTAAGGCCAATAATCTTAGGCGGCGATCTTCACGGTCTGTTGTTCTACGGCGGCGTCCAGTGCCCCTTGCTCTTTGCCTACGGCCTTCTCGAAGCCATGCCGGACAACACCTAACCACAGTGTTCTACACTTCTTTGCACTCTAACTGCAATTGCCCGAAAAGAAAGCCCAGCTTGCCGAAGTCCCACTATACGGCCCCTATCAAACTCACTAAGTGACATATAAATCCGAACACCCAGTTTAAATGGTTTTATTTTAATAAAAGTTGGTGAATGTATTTATCTTACTGTAAATAACAAGTGAAAAAATTTTCAGCCTTATCAGTTGGACATTCCGGTTTTTATACTGCTTTTTGTGAATTCACTAACGCTCTAAAAATGAATATTTCAGCCGCAGTAAAGAATCAACGTTGGCGGATTTTGGTTCTTGACATCCTTTACGATCGGTTACGATGCCTAAAGTACGGAGACCTGTACGATTTCGTCAACTTAGTGAGTTTGATAGGGGCCGTATAGTGGGACTTCGGGAAGCTGGACTTTCTTTTCGGGCAATTGCAGTTAGAGTGCAAAAAAGTGTAGACACTGTGGTTAGGTGTTATCAGGCATGGCTTCGAGAAGGCCGTACGCAAAGAGCAAGGGGCACTGGACGCCGCCGTAGAACAACAGACCGTGAAGATCGCCGCCTAAGATTATTGGCCTTAAGGGACCGTTTCTCCACTACCAGGTCCATTGCAAATGAATGGTTTGCAGAACACGGAAGACCTATTGGCATGCGAAGTGTTTACCGACAAATGAGAAGTTTTGGCTTGTTTTCATACCGGCCACACTGGGTCCTCCCTTTAGCTCGAGAACACCGACGTAATCGCCTTGAGTGGTGCAGACAACGGTCGCACGATGGTCGTGCCAGGGTTAGAAGGCGACGTGGTGAAAGGAGGAACCCACAGTTTTTTGTTGAAAGACATGTTTACCACACTGTTGGAGTTATGGTTTGGGGTGCTATAGTTTATGGTTCCAGGTCACCTTTAATCTTCATCAGAGGTAACATGAACGCGCAGCGTTATATCCACGAAGTTCTAGAACCCCATCTTTTACCCTATCTTGACACCCTGGCAGATCCAACTTTCCAACAAGATAATGCCCGACCACATGTTGCAAGAGTCACAATAGACTTCTTTCAACATAATGATGTCACATTGTTACCATGGCCACCAAGATCTCCCGACTTATCCCCAATTGAGCAGGTGTGGGATATGATGGGTAGGAGATTGCTCAATTTGCAACGTCCTCCTCAGACTCTAGAAGCACTTCGAGAGGAGTTGGTGGTTGCCTGGAATGAGATACCACAGGAGGACATTGACCACCTGATCAGAAGCATGCCTAGGCGCGTTGGAGAATGAGTAGCACATCAGGGTGCATCCACACATTATTAAAGGTCAAAGCGCTTTAAAGCAGTGCAATCATTTTGAAATTTTTATCATTTACTTATTATGCTTCATTAAGTACTTATACAAAATTTTATTAAAATAAAACCATTTAAACTGAGTGTTCGGATTTATATGTCACAGTATAATTTTATGGAATGATGTGTTTTATCAAGTATTTATTATTACAGATGGTAAATAAAAAAAAAGACTGCGCAAGATACTTGGAGTACAGATGTCATGCAGACTGCAATGAATGAATGTAGGGCAGGAGAATCTATCAAAGGGACCGCAAAAAATACGGACTTGCATATGCCACCCTATACAGGCATGTCAAAAGTGGAATTGCTTCTCCACAGCTCTGTCGATTCCGTCCTATATTCACCAATGATCGGGAAATTGAACTGGTGACTTACCTACAAGATATGGATGCAGTATTTTTCGGCCTTACTCGGGATGAATTTATGAGTCTAGCATTTGAGTATGCACACCCGAGCAATTTGCAATACCCTGATAGCTGGAATAAAAATCGAAAGGCTGGAGAAGAATGGCTGCAAAGATTTTTATCACGTCATACCAACTTGACACTAAGAACTCCAGAATCAACGTATGTGGCAAGAATGAAAGGATTTAATCGCCACGAAGTGAACCATTTCTATGAAAACCTTGAAAATGCCATTGAGAAAAATAGAATCGAAGCCTCTAGACCAGGGCTATTCAACATAGGGCCCGCGGCCCGCTTCACGGGTCATGTATACATCACATGTATAAGTTACTCTCAAATATCGAATATGCACAATTCTTACATTAACTCAGTAATAATGTTGTATTGAAAGATTTTATAATGCGGCCCTCCAAACTGCATTTTTTTTTAAGTGGCCCTTGGGCCACATTAAGTTGGACATCCCTGCTCTAGACTATACAATATGGACGAACCCGGGATATCAACGACCTCAAATAAGCCACCAAAGGTTATCTCCGTAAAGGGGAAAAAGAAGTAGGCATGATTGCAAGTGCAGAACGTGGACAATTGACAACCATCATCGGATGTTGTAATGCAGCTGGTAGCTTTCTTCCACCTTTCCTAATTTTTGCAAGAAAGAAGATGCAAGCAAGACTTCTTGGTGGAAGCCCGCCAGGGACTCAAGCAACGTGTATACCTAATGGTTGGACATCAGGCGAAGTCTTCTTGAACTGGATGCATTTCTTCGTAGAGCAAGTGAGGACAACATCAGACAAAAAGGTCCTATTACTATTAGACAACCATGAAAGCTCCAACTACTACCCTGCACTTGAGTATGACACCAAGAATAATGTGGTCATATTATCCTTAATACCGCGTACTACTAACAAAATGCAACCTGTGGATGTTGCTGTGTACGGCCCACTGAAAACTCATTTTGAAAAGGAAGTCAATATTTTAAAAAAATCTCACCCCGCTCGCATCATCAACCAGTACGATGTAGCTAGATTGCTAGCACCAGCTTTTCTCAACACTGCTGTGGCTATCAATGCAGTGCATGTATTTGAACGACCTGGAATTTGGCCTATAAACAAGAACACTTCTGGTGATGAGCATTTTGCACCAGCCGAGGTACTTGCAGGTACATCCACTTCTAGTACTCAGTCTGAAACTTTATCCTCACTGGGAATATTTGATCTGCCTGAATCTGCTGTTCAAGCGTCACCTTTAATTGATTCTCACGATCAACCCACATTACCTTGATTGGAAAATGTCACTTAACAATCTGATTCAGTCATCAGCCATATTAAAAAATAAGAAAATACACCGATTTTAGAATCCATTAATCCTTTACCTGTTTCGTCGTTAGATGAATTTGAAGTTTTAGGTCGTTCTCAGTCTCAATACGACGTTAATATGTATGCTGAAGACCGACCGTGCACTCCTATGGGATCTGACACTAAAAAAGAAACCCACGACAATTATGCTCCCACCGCTTCACCTGAACCTGGATGTTCTAAGACCTACTATAGTCCTTCAGTTTTAACACCTATTCCTCAGCCTGCTAGACCAACAACAACACGTAAACGGAAGTTACAAAGATCTAATATACTGACAAGCACTCCAGTAAAGGAAGAGCAGAAACAGAAATTTGAAAAAGGAAGTCACTAGATGATGTTTCGACTAAAGCTTCCCAGAAGACTGTTAACAAAAGAAAATAAAAAGCACAAGAAAATAATGAAATTTGTTGATGTCAGCTGCATTTTCTGTGGTGAAATGTACATTGAAGAAACTGATCAACCAACAGAAAACTGGTTACTATATATACGTATAATTTGTACCAGGTGGTGCCATGAAGACTGTTCAGCCTACGAAGGCGATGATGATTTTGTTTGCGATAACCGCAATAGTTAGATTTGAAAAATATTATTTTAAATATTATACCCTTTTTATTTTCAACGTCGTTTTTTTCTGTTTTTAAGTTTTATTTTATTCCAAATAATGTTGTTCTTTAGTTTGAGCTGGTACCACATAAACATTTTATTATAAATAAAGATGATGTTCTTCTAGTTTTGTTTGTTTATTTTATTTGTAAGTTTAATTTCATGCTAAATATTGTTGTTATTCGCTTTGCCCAGGTACCTTATCCACTTTACCTGGGATCCCGGGCAAAGTGGACAGTAAGCAACTGTTGTAAACTTAGCTTATAACTTATCACATAATTAGTATTAAGGGCAAATGCTATAAAATTTCGTAAGTTCCTTTAATGAAGGCTGGTTATAAATATTTGTTTGAATTTCCCAAGTTATAACTAATCGACAATAAACAAAAACAGCTTAAGGTATTCACTTTGCCCGGGTTTCCCCTATATCAAACACGGTTGATTTTCAGGCATGGACACGCCAGTCGGAAGTGCGACATATGGCAATCACCAACTCAATAACTCTTTTTCTTCTGATTTTTTAACTCATCACTTGACTAGGACAACCTTTTGGCTAACATACACTACACTACACTAAAAACTAAAACCAAAACTGAACAACTTTCACTCAAAAGTTACTTCAGGTCTGCTTCATGAAATAAATTGAATCGTGATCGGGTGAACAGTCCATGGTTCTCGTTTCATTCCCCACTTCAGCCAGGAGTCAGGGTACCAAAACTAACAGCGTGACACGCTTTCGCCTTCAAGCACCGTCAGAAAGTAGCATTAAGGTAGTGGTAGTGGCAAAAGTAACTATTATATCTGCGTATAGACGGAGAAACAAAATCCGACGAAAAAGAGGGTTGATGAGGTGTGATCTATGTAAAAAAAACATAATATTTTGATTTTGTAATAATTCGTGAATTCTTCTTCGCCCATTGGCGTGATTCAAAAGGACACACAATATTCCACAAAATTTTAATTTTGTAATCACAGACATCAAATGCATCATTGCCATTTCAGAAGCTCTCAGTATAATCGTGTCTTAGACAGTACATTATTCACATTCATTTTCACTCTTAACATCGCTGATACTACCACTGCTCTGGTGATTGTTCTTCTTATACTTCTCCACATATATTTTGGCAGCCCCTGAGGTCCATTGTTCCCTATGTTTTACCATTATATGTTTCCTGAGGTTACCTCTAAGTTTTGCTTTGTATGGACAGTATATGCAGGAAAATTGCGGTTCCTTTTGGCACTCAAATCGCTCGTGTTTCCTCAGGGACCTAGAGTGTTTGTACTTTTTTCCACACGTGGCGCACGTAAAGTTCAAATCTAAAAATACGCGACAGAATTATTAGTTACGACTATTAACTTCTGGTTAATTGAAGCTTTCTCCCAAATGAGAAATGAATACAAGTTTTGAAACAACCACTGATAGGCATATTTACTGACTTGACATAAAATGGTCACAGAAGCTCTTAAGTTTGATGTGAGATCACATATACTAGGTTATCACTGATAAAAGCCAAGAGACATTGCAAAAAAGAGAGGATAAGAAGGTACCAAAGATTTGACTAAATTTGAAACAATGATGTTATGCATGACTCAGCGCTCGTTGGTTGTTTTGATTTAAGGGAAAGTAAATGAACCATATTGGCTCCGGAAGTATTACAGCATCCGTTCTGAAAAATATTATAATTCTTGAAATATAAAATCGCTCACACATTTGGGGAAAGTTCATAAGAATCCTTTCTTCGGAATTTGTTTAAGAAAAATCTTTTAGCAATTTTCGGTTCAGTTTTGAGCCTGGCAATATGCAGATTCTTTAAAAGGTATTCTTTTGGATATCGGTTATTTACGAGCGGATGCGAATATGCTATCTGAACAATATTTCAGTACTATAAAACTATGTATACCAAAAAGATATTTAAATTTATGGAATCCCTAACGTATCACACGAAAAGTTTGTAAATCTCGATTTAAAATCACATCAAGTAAAGTAAAAAGCGTTGTGCTGTTGCTTGGAAGAAAATTACGCAGTGTCTGATTCTTACTATTACAACTACTTTCAGATTAAATTACGAATAAAGAATATACGATGCGTAGTGTTTTAAAAAGGATAATTATGATTTATTTGCAACAAACTTTTATTTAGAACCAATATAACGAATCAGTAGAATGGTAACAAATACATGTTTCTTTGTAATAAACAACCCAGATACAATTACGTGACAAATACGTAAAATGTAATGCAAACATAGCAAATGGTTACAACAGACTCTTAATAAGTCTATTTCCTGCACCGGGATTGGATGCTTTAGAGATAACCACGTCCATAACTCTGCGCAGACAGATAGAGCGTGACACTCCGGCAAGTGAACGGAGGTTCTTAAAAGTCCTTTTTTAAACATTCAGTTGAGCTCATAATTAAAGTTTCTCTCAATCTTTGTATCTATTACTCGAACTACTTGGTTAGGATGCTTCCCATCCGTATGCTTCTTTAAGTCACATTTTCTTTTGGTTCTGTACTTACAGTAACCGCATCCAAAAACAGCAGTCTTTTGACATTCGTAGTTCTTATGTCTGCTTAAACTCGGTTGGTGTTTATATCTCTTCCCACAAATCTCACAGGTGAAGTTTGGTGCTCCTGAAAAATATTCACTAAAATACTTATAAATCTTCATATTCTGCTCACCCGGGTAGCCGAAATGTCAGCAAGTTTTTACTAATACATCGGTGTTTTTTTTGCGACCAGTAGAATATGTAGATTAATCAGTGAGACAACATTTTGCACAAGTTAGACTTACAATACTTGTTCGACACAGTGTGTCAAGGTCTACCGATGTTGCGGTGAAGTCTATCTTATTATGAGAAGTTTCTGATTCTGATAAAAATACGCACTCCTAGAATAGTATCAGCGAGCTGTTACGTACTTGTTAGGTATAATATTCACACGTATTTTCAATACATTTTTCATTAAAACAGAAAAGTAATTGGTTTGGACTTACCGCAGTTGAGAGAACGTACCTAGACAGGTTTCTATTACATATTTTGAATAAACTTGATCTACATATTATATTTTTGCTGAACATTGCATTGTGAACTTTTCTTAAGGGGGTTAATTTATCGCAATTTTAGTTCTGGTAGCCAGTATATCAAGTTACTCCATGTTATCCCTTGTTTTCCTCACACCATGATATCATTCGTGGATTGAAATTCATTCACTATGTTGAATATTAACGTGAATAAATTATTATTATTATTATTATTCTGAATGTATTGCACTTCCTAGAGGAAAGCATCAGCTTGACAGAAACTGTGCCTGTGTTTTCCGCAAAATGTAGGCTGTTCCTGGCAGTGCTATCTTCTGAATTTGTGTTGCAAACACATGTCCCGGGAGTTCTTTTACGTTGTCCTTGAGTGACATAGTGGCAGTCCCCAAAGCCCCGATGACACGGGCACCATTCTTATCTTTGTCTTCCACATACGCGATATTTATTATTATTATTATTATTATTATTGTTATGATTATTATTATCATTATTATTATGTAGTTACGAGAATGTAACTCGGTCTGCTAAAAATATGTGTCAGGAAGACTGTAGGTTTTTTCTATCATCGATCATAATTAGCTTTAGATTTGGAAGTTGACTGGATATAATCTAATTGATGATTAAATGAGTGGGAAGTACAAAGTCAACCTAATTGACGCCATTTTTTTAAAGAATGGACCTCTGGCTTTGTTCTCTTTTATTAACTTACCCTTTTCGAGGAACATAATAATTTAAGAGTAATCTACGCTAAAATGTAGCTCATTCTTTATTCGCGTTACATAAAGTAGAATACTGACATGTTTTGATAAAATTTAAAGCTTTGAAAGTCAGAGGGGGTCTTAAAGGCAAATAATAAATAAGTATATGTTAAATACTAGTACTGAGATACTCTTCCGAGGGCAAAAACCATCACACGGTTAACATTACGTGCCATTCACACGCTATTATTAAACATCTTCACATGTATCCACTACTTTGTCATATGTTTCATACTTCATCACATGCATATCTCTATGCCTATTTAAAATATGTGATACTACAGTCGATTTTTGTTTTGCCCTGTAAGGACATGCCGGGCATTTGAATTTTGGCGGTTGCTGACATTCAAACTTCATGTGCCTCCATAAGGATCTCTTTGCTTTGTATACCCTTCCACAGATTTGGCACGGATAAAACATTCCTAAAATCAAAGTTAGCGTTAGCGATTGAGACCTCACCGAGCAAATGAAGCTGAACATGTTTGTACGTACCTAAGAATCCTGGAATTCGTATTGCTATTATACAATTATTCATTCAAATCGTATGGTCACTCGGAGGTATAGAGCATATTCCCGTACATTATAGTTGGGTGCCAAAATGAGGCACAGCACCCCACTGCTAACGCGGTGTGTATTTGTAAAGTAGATTCCGAAATTAAACAGCAAGAAAAACTGAACAGAACAGAAATTAAATGTCACTGCTTAAGTCTATTTTAATAAGAAAACTTAGTTTATGAGGTACAGCTAGGTGAAGTTTTTGAAAATAAATCAGTGGCACGCCACTGACTTTCCTTGAAAAAAGTAAAACATGTAGATAACGGTTTTGACTTTTTTAAGCGAAAGCCGTGAATCGGACTCAAAAGAATCAATCGATAAAATTTGCTGACTGAGGATTTCAAAATTAATTTTTATTTGAAATCAGTGGCGTACCATTATTATCTGCAAAATATGTGCAATACCATATGCGCCACTGGTGGGAATTAAACAAAACATAGTACATTAAAAAATGTCTCGTGAAATGTATGACAAATTTTGCAAAACATCTAAAGAGGTTATTTATAACATATATTAATAATAAATGATTTTTTGAACTTTTCCACCCTGTATCTCGAAACATAAAGGTTTAAGTCATACGTTCATATATGAAGTGTCTATTTGGAGCAGTATTCTAAATTCTTCTTATGTGATTATTTCATGATGTATATAGAGATTAGAACTAAAAAACAAAGTAATCAATTTTTTTTGTTAAGAATGCATTTTTGTGTATTTTGATATGGATTTTCCTTCAAACGTAACTAAGTTAATAAATATTAAGGAATAAGTGAGCGGGTGATTGCTTTTATCACTATTTCTCTTCAGAAAATCTTCGATTTTCTTGAAACCCCATTTTGCAGCAAATTGAGTTATCAAGAAAAGCAAAGATTTTTTTAAGAGAAAAACTGATAAGAAAAAAGTAATCACCCGCTCAGTTATTCCATAAAAGTGGAATTTATTCATTTATTTATTTATTGTTATAAAAATTTTACATTAATAAACTCCATAAAGAGATACATAGTAAAAAACCTGAAGAGAGGGGGGATTAATGCATCTGTGCTCAGGGGCGATAAAAAATATTATATACATACAATTTTAAAGTTGGACTACTATTTGTTAACAATTTACGATTGAAGAAGAAAACTGATAACATTGTTTTTCAGTCATCTCTATGCACAACATGACAATCAGACTAAAAGTATTAGGAATATTGCTCCAGAACTGACATGCGACGTTAAAAAGCAGTCAAAAATCGCCCCCTCATATATTGTCATTCACTTAGAAAACACCTTGTAGATAAGTAGTACATCAGAGAATAGCAACAGAGCATTAAAAAACTACCATTTTTCTTCCAATATAATAAAAAGTACTATTAAACTGAATCACTTCAATATTTACTAAAATGACAACAAGCTTGACGTTGATAACATAATAATGTTAAACTCTTACGAATTTGTTTGGAAAGGTCTTTTAAAAAATAACGGAATATGGCAAAAAAGAGTTTATTTGAAACAAAATACCGCCTTTTGTTTGATTTAAAAAACAATTACTGTAACTAAAACTAGGTTTTACTAAAATTCAGATTTGACAGATTGTATAAACGTACAGTATATTCATGAAACAGTGAACATATTTCTATAGCAGAAAGTACCTATGTGGACAAGTGAGGCGATTGTCACACGATCGGTATTTACTGTTCATTCCGCTAGTGTCAGTTGATTTCTAGGTAATTTAAACACCAATAATTACTGACGGCCTGCCTACACAGCCAATAAATATCATATTCCATGATAAATACTGGCGAATCACAGTAAATACTGATCGTGTCACATTCACCTTACACGTATCCCTACCAAATTACAAGGTGTTCATTTTATTTTAAAATCCACAAAAATTATATCATAACGGTGGCTGAAGGTTTTATACTTGTGGTACGAACCAGCGAGCAGAAAAATGTTTCGCTCAAACTACACCACTACATTGGCATCTAAACATTTTAAGCCCTACAAACGACGAAAGAAATATATTTCTTAATGATATTTAATTTACCATGAATTATAGACCGAGAAATGTTTCTAGACCATTCGTTTTGAACAAAATTTGAATATGGACAGACTTTGAAAATACGATGAAGTTAGTGACGTTTGACATTAAGAATATTTGTAGCATATTAGGCAGGTAATGTCATTTTGCTATAATCATATTTGTAAAATATTTTGTGACCTAGGTTTTTACAGGAACTTTTTTCAAATTTTTTGATGTTCTTTCTGTTCTAGAAATATGACCATTATTTTTTTAAAAATGTAATTCGTAAAAGCCATTATCTCTAAGCGTGGTTTTTGACCCTGAATTAAACAAAAAATTCAAGTTGGCCGTGTCTCTGAAATTTTTGCATTTACATATATTAGAAATTGTATTTTAAACTTTCATCAACATTTTCCTTTTTGTTCTAATACTTGTTTTGTAAAAGCCCAATGTTCATATTTTTAGCATTTTGTTCAAAATTCACCCATTTTTGAATGTATATTATTTGAAACAAATTTGTTTTTGCATCGAACTATGTTAAGAAAACACGGCGTTGCTATTTGGAAAAATATATCATGCCTATTTAAATGGACAGCTGAGAGTAATACGCTGTGGTAAGAAAGCAACTTTTGTATAATGTTTCGAATAGTACTTTTCAAAATGAAAACAGTCGCGAAAACCAGAACATGGTATCTCAATTTTAGAGATATGTGGATATTTCCAAGGTACACCCTGTTTAAGTAAAAATAATTTTAGGTTGGATCGCACATAATTTCAGATAAATCTTAAGTGACCCACTCTGTATATGTTTTGTGTCTTGCGTTTTACTATAGATTTGGAGAAATCTTTGCGACCATGCGGTCATATAATTAGTGAAATATTCGAATATGGATAAGTTTTCTACCAAAAATTACAAAATTGCGAAATACTAAAATAATAAGAAACACGTTGATGAAAGATTAAAATCCATTTCGTTGATTTGGAAGAATACAGTCACAAGATGAAAATTCTATTTTCAATCAACTAACACGGAACTATTCAAATCCACTTCTTGAACTGATACAGTAACCGCTAGAAGGCGTAATGTCGCCGTTTGGGATTCCAGGTGTATAGCATAACATACTTATTATTCCTTATTTTTTCTGCAAATAGGCACATCTTGATATAGAATAACAGTATTTTTCACAATGTAGGTTTAAAACGCAATTATGTTTTAGTGCAAATTTTGAATTAGGATATTTTTCGTTTCATTTCATTAGTAGGAACTATTTCATATCCAACATTATATGTGTGTGTCTCATTTCGACTTGGAACAGTATTTGTGAAAAAGATAGATTATAACTTTTGATTTTTTTTTAATAAGTGATCATACTGACTTTTTAAGGGGATTAGAGTTAAACAAACTTTAGTTCTACTTGCAGCACATGTTTAGGACATTCCAATCCACAGACCACATGGAACCTGTTATTTATAATGTAATCCCAATGTGGTAGGCAGGAAGGCTGGAATTTTGGATTGCTCCTGCTGAAAGTTCGTGGTTTTTATCTTGGTAACGGTGTTCTTCAAAATCAACATATGTTCTAGAATATTTAAACTTGAAATGTGAGTTATCTTCAGGGCCGAAAAACCCCCCAAAAAACTCTAACCCTTTAATCTCATTGTTAGGCGGTGAGAATAAAACAAGAGGATTCGGACCTAAATTAGTACATATGTTGCTGACAGTATAAAAAGCTTGTGAACTCAGAAGTGCTGTATATGAATGAGATATTTTTCATACTGCAACCATACAGTTATATTTCATCAACGACAAACTAACATAGGATCCTCTTGGTTAGTGCTCGCCACCCTTACTCACACTCTTTAAGGTGTCTGCTAAGTCTTAACTCTCCTCGACCTACATTATAAAAGAATCAGTTATAACACGAAGATATTGTCATGTTACACCTCTTAATTCTTGCTTTTCGCTAAGAAAAGGAAGAGGCATGCATGACATGTACGTGCAACTTGAGGTTACTTTTTTGTTTACATCTCTTTGGACAGTATGGGCATTTGAATATGGGAGGCATTTGGCACTCGTACTTTTGATGCCGCCTCAATGAACCCTTGCCTTTGTACTTCCTTCCACATTTGTCACAACTGTATCCTTCTATCAGTTCCATCAATAGCAAATCTGAAATGAAAATCATGATGAGATTGAACAAAAGACATAATTTTATTCAAATACAACAAATTTAAGGATATTGCAAAATACCTAATTTCTCAAGGGACTAAATTATATCAAGTCACTTGGCACGCAGATACACTTTTACCTTACCGCTATTCATTCATACATTTCTATAATTTGTCATTTTCTACACATAATGGTTATTTTTAATAGGGAATTATTCACTGAGTTTTTTTTTGGCCGTTCCAGATAACAAATGACTCATTCTAACTTGTAGAACATTTGTTTATAGAATATTTCCACAATATCCAGCGTTTTGAATAATTCATTCCAAATTTATGTTCGATAAACTATGGCTGAAATGCCGATACTAGAATTTATTGAAGGTGTTCAAAACTTTAAAGTGGCAATCAATTTTCCACCTTTTTATGTCTAGTTTGATAATGCCTCTTCAGATTTCCTTTGACTTTCGTTTTGTATTGGCAACCGAAGATACTGCAACAAAAGTGAGGCTCATGTCCACACTCCCATCTCTCAAAAAAACTAATGATAATTTAAACATAAAATTAACATAACTTGAGAAACCAGACTTTACAGCTGTGTAACAAGTCTAAGTTTCTTCTGGTACATGTGCCGACATTTGTACGGCTTGCAACATGTATAATAAACTCCTGGGACGAAATTTACATGTGACAGGCACTTTTAAACAGACAAAATGTTGTAGCGACCTTGTTATCTTAAAAATGTAACTCAAATGATATTAAAGCTGGAAAAAGCTGTAGAGAGCTGAAAACCATGCAATCACTGTCAAAACTTTATAATAATCGCTGTTATTGAGGTAATGATCATTTATCACCCCTATTGCCGTTGCCAATCCAAGTCGTAAAGATCACAAACGCTAAAAGACACAATGAGTAATTTGTATTATTCAGATAAAATAGTAAATATTGTTCATGCAAAATCTAAACGTTTACTATTGCTGTATCTTTTAACTTGCTGCCGTAGCATGAACTTCTTCTATAGTCAAGAATAAAAATAATTTTAATTAGACAGAACTTTATTCAGAAAAATAAATATCTAACTAAAAACAAAAAACACAACTTGAATCTAACATAACGTATTTTAAACCCTCATATGTATGTATTTAAACAATGAGTAATCCTGTAGCGATTTCCTCTTTGCTGGTAATGGATAAGTTCATAATAAATCAGGTCTTTATAAAATAAGCATTTTTCCTACAAAATGGGCGCATCTTGGGATATCGATGAATGAATCGGGTCCATACGACCTGACTTAAGAACTTAACTACTATTTTTGTAAAATATAATTTTCAACACAAAATTTTGATTAGGCCACCAAATTTTGATTTCGAAAATTATATATCTTGAGATATATTTTCCAACAGTTTAAGCGTTTTCACAAGAATAATTGAAACATTTTGTCAGGGTATGTTTTTAGAGCTTGTCTTGCAATCCAAATTTATTTTATGTACGACTGGGAGGAAAAACGCGTACAAAGTAACCTATGTTGCAAAAAGTATGGCAAACATGAAAATGGTGTAGTGTCCGAGTAAGGTAAACTATCTCGAAATAATGATGAATTCTACCTAGGCATAGGTACCGTATTTTTCCAAGGCCATTTGACGGTAACCTTTACTTGGACCTTTACCGTCAACATTATTTCAAGACCTGCTCAAAATGCTAAAATTTTTATGTTCGGGTGACTCCTTAGCTTTCAAAAAGTTTGAAGGTCATGGTTTAGAACTAATACCTAAGCCGTGAAAAATATCAAAAATCTCGCTAAAATAATGTCTGCCCAAGCATTGGTTTATGATTTCTCCCTAGCTATTGAATTGCATTTTTTTAAGAGAGAGAATTTAAGCTCACTGTTCTCGAGGATATCTCATCTATTAGATATTAGACCTTGAACCTTTTTCTTGGAAGCTCAACGCGAAAACTTCCGCTAAATTCATTCTGTTGACTAAAATATAAGGGCTTGTTTAAATAAATAGACTTGATCTTGAGATGACCTTGAACCAGGTAAAAATCCATTCCTTCCAACGTGGTTCAAAGATAAACTTTTTTGAAGCTCAGTGAAATTTTTCTCCTCTATTTCCCGAGTTAAAAATTTAGGATCACGTTAAAAAAATAAAGCCGGGGCCCGAGTACAGTTTCTGTAAGTCTAAACTACTACTGTCTACTCCTACTTTTGTTTTAGCTGGTCGTAGATAAAATTTGGGGGAAAGATCCGTTTGCGCACCTCGTGTTAATTTCAAGCCACTGGCCGTAACCACCCGCTCAACGAAATTGGTACAAAATTAACTACTATGCATCACCGGGCGTTACATCCCTTTCTAGCTTAGGGCGGTAAGGTATTCAAGTCAGATTCAAACTACCGATGATATAATAGTATGACAACGGCTTTAGATATATAAATAGCAATTGCCACTGCCTTCACACTATGTGTAGTAAGTCTCTGTAATGCACGATCCTAACATGGGCGGTCAAATTATCCTTCCTCTTCGATACAAATCGGCATCCAGGAGCATCACACTTGAAAGTTGCTTGTTTTCCGCATTCATACCTTTTATGCCTGCTCAACGAATGCGAGTACTTGTATTTCTTTTTGCATACATCACATTGGAAAGGGTGGGGTACGTGGTATCCGTAAGAGCCTTCTGAATCAGGCTGTGGATACATGTCTCCTAAAAGCAAATCTATAAGTTAACAATACAAATATTGCTTCATACATATTTCAGGCCCTTTCAATTTGTACAGTATGACGTCACGATTATTTGCGAAGCTATATAATAAATCCATCCCTAACTGAAACAGCTAAAACCTCTTAAATAGTGTCATTCCTAAATAGATAAGTGGTACAACAGAGTATAACAACTGCTGGACGGTGGACCCACTGTATCGCGACGATTTATTTATTTATTAACCTACTAAATGATTACGTGATGACCTACTTCACTCACGCTTCCGCTTGGACATACAATGCTACTGTACCACTTACTATATAGCATTTCCAACTTTTTTGCGGCTTTGTGTGTTTACCCTGTTTTAACTAATATTAATTAAATCCACTACAAATATCTGAAATAGCAGTAATAACTAACCAACATAGGTACTTCAGATGTTTGAATGATATAATATCTAGTTTCCATGCCAAAGAAAAAATGACTCAAAGGAGCGACTTGGATTCATTTTAAATAAATGTATTTCACATGAACGTATATCATAAATAAATACTTAGATAAGTTTTGAGACCTAGAATTTTCTTATTCACTTCTGAGCAAATTTGATCTCTTGATTTTTACTTCCATCGATTTACAACTTTTACGTAAAACATAAGAAATATTCCTATTACAGCTATAATGTGAAAATTGATATCAAGATAACAAGCAACATGCTAATAAAATACTCTTTCTTATTTTTTACGAGAGAATCACAACTCGGTGTGAAGAAAATCAAGATATTAAATTTATTCTAAAGTGATTAGGCGTTATAAAAATAGCTTTTGTTAAGAGGAAAAGCAGATATTTTTTTAAGCTTTGAAGTTGATATCTCAAAATTTAACATATCTCTCATTGCTCTTTCTTTAGATCTATAATGTTCGAGAAATGAAATATCATTTAACCCAATAAAGAATAAATAATACGTTTTTAGACGATAGCTCAGTTTTTCATGAAGCTTTTTATTCCATACTATAACTTTTATGTTACACTTATCCAAATCCATAATATCTTTGGCCTATTTACATGCTCATTAAAAAAATATATTACAATCAATTCACCTGTCTTGTATAATCTGGACTTTTTAGAGATTCTGAACCTCTGTATGTTCTTATATGAATCCGAAATAAAATGAAAAAGAGATCATTTTTCGTGAAATATTATCTACATTTTACAAATTTAACGTGCTAGCTTTTACCATTGATTAACATATTCCACCAGAAGGTAACCTACTCGAGACTCGAGCCTCTACAAAAATAAGCATACTTACTCATACTTACAAATACCGGGTATTTCGAATTCAAATTCTTTAGGCAACTAAGAAAATGGAAGCTTTATTTTTTATTATGGGCGCGATATTGAGTTTTTCACAGGTGAATATCGTTTTTAATTCTGGTTTAAAAAACCTATATGTCCAAGATTGACCTAAGTTGTTTCACAAAATCTAATATTTTCATAGTTGGCTCTGGCTCACATGTTTATCCGATTAAATCACCAATGTTTCAGTTCAAAGAACAATCAGATAATTTGCCCATTTTTCGATTATAACAAGCGTTACTTTACCGCGATGGAGGCACTCTATGTGGCACCTCAGCCATAATTGATAGTACAGGGTGGGGCAAAACTTTTTTAAATTTGTTTATAGAATTTTATTTTGAATATCATCATTCAATAATTCAAACTCAACGAGCATATCATCGTCATTTCAATTTGCGAAATTCGCCCTCTGAATCAATGATTCGACGCTTAGTGGCACGATTTCAGCAACAAGGCACAGTTATGGATCTCTCACGATGGGGAAGGCCACGTTCCGCAAGAAATGAAGAGAACATTCAACGCATTCAGGTGAGCGTTCAGGAGAATCCGGAAACTTGAACCCGAAGACGTTCTGCTGAGCTGCAGATGTCTCGAAGGTCTTTACGCAGAATATTAACAGGAAATTTACATCTGTTTCCATATAAAGTGCAGCTAGTGCAAGAACTAAAACCAGCAGATTTCCAAGAACGACTAGCTTATGCAGTTCGCTTGCAAAGAATGGCTCGAGAAGATAATGAATTTATTAATTCTCTGATCATGAGCGATGAAGCCCATTTTCATTTGAATGGCTATGTAAATAAGCAGAACTGCAGAAAATGGGGTACCGAGAACCCAAGGGCGGTTCATCAAATGCAATTACATCCGCTTAAATGTACAGTATGGTGCGCAGTTACGTCTCAACGAATTATTGGACCATTCTTCCTCGAAGGCCACGATGGGAATACTGTATCTGTAGATGGCGAGCGATACCGGGATATGATTCAAAATTTCTTAAGACCAGCTCTTGCTGACAATCAAGCGATGAGGTTCCAAAAAGATGGGGCCACTGCGCATACTGCTCGAGCCACTATGCACCTTCTAAGGCAGATTTTTTTTGGCGAACGTTTAATTTCGAGAAATTCAGGATTCAATTGGCCCGCCTGCTCGGCGGACTTAACAGCCCCTGATTATTTCCTTTGGGGATATCTGAAAGGAAAGGTGTATGTTAATAAACCCACAACCCTGCAGCAACTAAAGGATAATATTCGAGCAGAAGTAAGTGCTTTGGCGCCAGATACTCTGACTCGGGTCATGGAAAATGCTCTTGCAAGAGCTGCACTTTGCGAGGCTGAAAATGGCGGTCCTAATCTTTCACACTTAAATTGTAAACAAACCCCAAATATTGCATTTTACTTTTGTGTAAGGAAAAAAAATAAGAATAAAAATTTAAAAAAGTTAATTTTTCAAATCCTTTTGCGACTTTTGCCCCACCCTGTATTTGAATGGAAAATGTTTGCATCGGTCTAGGTATGGCGGATATGAAATATGTTTAGGGAGCTGCATCATCGTCGAAGCTTTCATTTGCCCTACGATGTTTCTATCAATTACATAAAATAATACTATTTTTAATGCTTTTCATTTATTAATATATTGTTCTTTATTCGATGAGTTGACAACAACTGGTCAACAATAGGAAAATTACCTTTTTAGATTTTTAAAGCCTCATAATATGTCATGCTCTGCACAGTACCAGATCATTAAAACCGAAAATACGGGCCCTTCACCTACGCCCAGTCTATAAAAACTGGAAGAACGGTTGCATGATGATATTATGAAACAAATGACTATCTGATAATTTCAAGGCCTACTTAGGCATTTTTTTTTAAATAACTAAGCTATGACAGTGTCACATTATGACACATTACATATTTTTAGAATAAAAAAATCGATTTACCTGTACAAAAGGGACATGTTGAAATTCTAATTATGTCATCTTGCAGAGGAGAAAAAGCGACATTGTGAATGTACTTTTTAATTTAAAATCTCATCTCGAAGTCAGCAAAAAATAAAACGATTCGTCTATCTCTGTAAAAACTGGAAACTTTCCAAGTATCATTTTCTTAATTTCTGCTATAAACCACGATTTCCCTATTTTACCTACTTCGTATCTCTTACCGTTTCCGAGATCCCAATTGTGAGAGCGGAATTTAAGACACCCGGTATATTTGTTGGCCACCGTCGTTAGGTTTCAGCGTTGCCACCTTTCGGACTGTTGCCACAGGTTGAGATTTACTTATTTGTCGTCGAGAAATTCTGAGAATACGAAATCTTATGAATCATACGGAGGGATTATTTTTCCTTGAAAAAGTAATTAAAAGGAAAATGTCTGTTTTTATTACTGCGATTCTACTTGGGGGCATGACTGTCATATTTGAAATTGTAAGTGAACGTTTGCATACAATATATGATTGGGTATCTTCTTGGAAAATACGTTAATCAATCATTTTATGAAGCTCTATGTTTAAAACAATATCTACTGTGACTGGGCTATAAACAATAAACACTATAGCGTATTCAAATGCCATTTACGGCCCGTCGTGACAAACACTCGCGGGGCGAGCGGCCCATACATGCCTCGGTAGTACAGCGACAAGCAAATAGAAGCAGCGCGGCGACTGAGTGCTCATGTTTGTTTTGACGCGGTTTAAATGAGTTTTGAATATATTTTAATGCTATAAATATTCAACTTCTCAAAGCCTACTAGGCAACCTCCTTTTTGACACCAGGTACGCTGTGGCACTGCTTCCAGTGCGATCTAAGTTCATTCTCTTCGCTGAACCAAATATTACAAAAACAACAGTTGTACTGGAACTTAGCTTGACTAGTAGGTAGTGCATTTATACAAATCTGACACTGATGCTTGAACGTCCTATGACAGTTGTCACACTCCAGAAGCCCCACGATGTCTGGATGTTGTTCTAAGTAATGTTTGCGAACGTAGTCAAGCCTTGAGAACAGTTTGTCGCATACTTTGCATGAATATCCTGAGCTGGTATCTGCAAAGGTGGTGTTGTTAGCATGTTATTATGGAAAATTGGGGACATGTATAAGCACACATACCAACCGAAAAATGATACACTAACAAGGGTATCATTCGCATCAGCACGTGATCAAATTAGGTCCTTTTAGACAGGGTGGTTATTTATAGGACAGAAAGTACAATGGAAATATTGCGAAGTTACAAATGTTGCAATGCGGAATACAGGATCTAATTTCCATTCTATTTTTCTGATCAAGGTAAAAATGCTTTGTATTTTTAAAAGAAACATTTATGATTTTACCCATCGTGAGCTATCCTTAAAAAAAAGAATTTATTACAATCGCTTTTAATAAGATATATTTTAGGATCTAATTTTTACTCTCTGTCCTACAAATACGGAGGCCTTACCTTGTCATGCAAGGTCTTGACATATTCAATTTAAAAGTAACTATTATCTTTAGTAATTCATTTAATTAGTGTACTGTTGATTGTAGAACCTGCAACAACTTCGTTTGTCGTTCATTTCTTAAACACTAGACCATGCGAAATGACTTCACTTGACTTTTCCGCAAAATATTGATAAATAATTATTGCGAACACTCAGATAACAAAAACATCTGGAGGCGTGTCAATTTGTTTAATACTGTAAAAAGCATATTTAAAACGCGATACACTTCCCATATATAAACATATTTTTGCTATGTCTTAGAAGGCTAATATCATATTGATTGATTGACAACAACCTTTCTGTAGACAAATGACTTCATAGTTTTTGAGGGTGACTTCGAAGTTGAGTCATTTATTTTAACAGTGAGTAAATCTGATCAAAAGAAATGTTTTTTTCCTTTATCATTTTTCTGGTAAAATTAAAGTAACAAAGTTATAGCCCTTTAGAAGTTTGAGTACCGCCCTGTCTCAATAATAATATTATGTGCTCGTGTTTGGCGACAACGGATATACTCCGCCTTATCGGTTCATCGCATCGGAAACAAAAAAGCGAAAGAATTTGAAACGTTTATCACGATGTTTTTCGTCAGTCGGTAACGCGTGAGTGAATAGTGGTGTTTGTTGCGTGACTCAAACGAAATGAAAAATGGCACATGTTTGCGAAAATGCTGAACTTGATGGACATGATTCTTATTTACGGGGGGGGGGGGAGTCTTTACAAAATGCTGCCGCGGCATCACAGATTTGTGCGAATCGGTTTCCCAATCGAGTGCAACCAACTCCTCGTGCCTTTGTTAATGTAGTACAAAGGGCTCGTGAATCAGGTGACTTAAGACCTCACAGGGGAGGGCATGCCGGTGCTCCAAGACCGGACGATCAAATACAGGGCCGCACTGAAATACTTGTCGGGAGGATACTTTATAAAACAAGGTAACATTTTTTTTATTTTTTTTTTATTTTTACACACATATTTTGGTTTATTTTCCTTCTACAATCATTATCTGAAAATTAATGACTCAACTTCAAAGTATACGTCGTTCGATAATAATGGTATACTTAGCAAATTGTATCTCTAGAAGGAAAGACATTTGCAATTATCCTTAGGAACATCATTCGGTTGTCCGTAATTTTTTTCTAAAACGGCCAGTTTTTGTATAGTAAGCTATAAGTATTAACCGCAATAACATGATCGGGTAATATTCATTTAAAACCAAAACATCGTGTTAGAGGGTACATCCTAATTCTGATCTGACTTCGCCATTCCTTAATCTTCTTAGAGTGGAGAATCATCGATAAAATTCCTGCGCCGCAATGATTTTGCGAATCTCAGCTTCATCCATGTTATGCTGTCTTCTTAAATGTCGCCTCATGTTGCTCCTTTGTTTGCAAACGTATCTGCACACATAGCACAGAAACTGAGGATCTTTGAGACACTCGTATTTCTTATGCCTCCATAAGGAACTTGCCGAAGCGTAGCGATTACCACAGATCTTGCAGGAATAATCCACTAAAAATTAATACATGTTAGTTTAAAGAATTAGTACATATACGGTAAGAGATATGAAGTCTGTCAAACAGAGAGACAATCAAGCATTTAGGCAACTGAGAAACAGAAATGGCACTTAGGAAACTTTGCAATTCATATTACATACTTCCAAAAAAAAAGGACAAATTATCCAAAATCGTTTTGATTTCTTTTTTTGACTTTATTATTGGAGCTCGGATTTCAGAATAAATCGCACATTAGCATTACATTTGCTACTCTACAAGGTGCGGTAATTAGAATTTTAATATGACGTTTCGTCTCTTGTCCCCAACTATCAATTTTAGGGTTTTCAACTATCACAGTGACATTCGAAAAAACCTAATATGCCATAGTTTGCTTGGAAAATGAGACAGTTTATCACGAGTTCATTCAACTACATCACCAACTAAAGATTGCTTGCTTTTGAGATACATGTTCGAGCGACATTCAGATTGACTATACAGGGCGTTACTTGATGATAGGCCGTAATGACAAGGACGCAATCCTGAACCAAATTAAATAAGAGTTCGTATAAACATGTATCCTAAAAGATACTGGGTGTCAAAGTTTAAAGAAAAAATGATTTTTATTAATGTCTCAAACATCCATGTACCTGTTTTGTTGAGTTTTGGTAGTGTTGCTTATTGCTAAGTTAGCATTAATTAGATACCAACTTTGAATTCCCATGGCGTCTCGGAAAACAGTCTCGCTAATAGTATTGACAAAAAGTATACGCCACTGACTTTTAAAGAAATATATATATTTTTTTCTCTTTTGGTGTCTCTTCGTACCTTTATCTTCGAGTAAAAATAAAAACAACTTCAACACATGAGAAAAATTGTTGAAAGAAAATGAAAGCAACTTTTGTCGTTGCTGGGGAATGTTCTTCTGTTGTTATGAACATATTTTTTTTTATTTTCCGTGCCAGTTTGCTACTATTTTCCCTCTGTCAAAAGGTAGTTTTTTTTTAAATTTAAACACTCTATATCTTGGATACTAGACTTTGAAGGACACACGTTTATATGAACTTTTCTACCTGAATTTGTTTCAGGAATACTGCCCTTGAATAAATGAAAAAAAAATAGCAAAACCTTGTTGTTTATTCGACGAGTAAGACAAACTAACGAAGATTGCTGTCTTTTAGGCCTTTCAAGTTTTATAGTATCAATCCATGTCATAAGATGCACAGATATCATATCATTAAAACCGTAAATATGGACAGATCATAAAAACTGAAAGAATGCAAAGCTGACTATATCATGAGACAAATCACTATGTGATCATTTCAAGGTTTACTTGAGAAATTCTGTTTTCAATATTTACAGTTTTACAATACTAGTGCATGAGGTATTATATATTTTTTAAATCAGACATAACCTCTGTAAAAATCTAATATGGCGCCTATAAGAAAAAATAAAGTTAATGATGGAGTCGAGCAAACATAAAAACGATTTTGGGACATTTCCGGACATACTGAATTGCGAAGTTTAATAACTATCAATAAGACAAGTTACCTGAATACGCAACTTTGCCCCTGTTCAACTGACTGCGTATCTCTCACCGTTTCCGAGATCTCAATGATGAGAATCGAATTTGAAACATCCGGCATAGGGTGTATCACAATAGTCAATTTTTTGCATGCGAGTATTAGAGCACATACATAAAAATGCTGTGGCGGACCCCCAACCGAGAAATAGGCTCCTGAAGGACAAAAATGGTGATCGGTTGGTTTTTGAGGAACACTGTATTGTTGTTATAGTGTTCATAAAAGTCAATTGACTGACTGTTTTAATACCGTTTTTATCAATTCTCACTGCAATCTTAATTAAGTGATCTCATAAGTTTTCCGTTATTACCAAAATTGTTGCTGTACTAGTTAAAAAATTGATAAATTTCGTTGTGGGATTCTAAGGCTATTAAAGAAGAACCCATTATTAGTGTCGTCTTTCTTTTACATAAGCTTGTGAGAATGTTTTTTATTTTAAATTCGTTAAAAAGATTGACTACTTATTCTGACACACCCTGTATAAGGTGTGAGATCCTTACCTGTAGAGTTAATATTGCCTTTGACCATGGAAGGACAGGAAGACTATTGAGAAAAAAATTTTTATTTGTAGCTTGGAGTTTAGTGGTGTTCCTTATGGCTAAATAAAAAAATATCCATTTTTCAAAAAATATATTAGAATATAGATTTCACACACTTTGCAATAATCCAAACTCAACCGTTATCCCTTAAAATAAACATAATTATATTTACAGTATTCATACTATATCTAACAGAAACATGATATTTAAAAGTCGCAACAGCATTAACATGGATAAAATATGTTTTCCATAACAAATAAAACTATGTATACTCATTTTCACATTACATAAATTATGGTCTCGGACAAGAAGTAAGTATATAAAATTAACTGCAGAGTTTACATGCATTTGACAGTTGATTCAATTTTATCAAATCTCCAGTATACATTCATCCCATCTGTTTAAGAAACTATAACTTAAAAGCAAAAACTCTTGATCGCTTCTTTGTCCCGAGGCTGTCGAGATTGTGGAACTATCCACAACGGGAGGCTTTTTCTAGATCTACTAACCTAAGGCACCTGAAAAATCGGATCAACAAAATTTCTTTGGGATTTAGACATCTGCCTGCGCGGCTGCTTCGGTGTAAAAAAAGATGTCATTTCTTGCTTATATCACGCTTATCTACTTCACCGCGTAATACTTTTAGTATGAGCAAGCCTGATGCTTGTTACTTATCTGCCAAACTGCAACCGCAAAATTTAGGATTCAAAAGTATTGTTTATGCCATACTTTCCTTCCAAAATGTAACACATTTCATTTTTATCAAGCTTTCGGTGTTCAATTTATTTTATACACGTGAAGCTATATCGGTTCCATGGAAAAGTTCTAATTTAATGGATTAGAAGGAGTTAGTGTTAAGTATAAATATAATATGTTTCCTTTGATTTCATGGACAATGAGATTATTTATTAACAGTCTACAATTTATAAAAAAATTAAATAACTCAAGAACTTAATACGTAAAAAGCTTATATTAAATCTTGTAAGAAGGGGAATCCAAATAAGTTAGAATATACAGCGTGTTCTCTTGAAAGTTGCTCAATCAGTAAAATTAATACATGGAATGATTAGTTTCAAACTGAGGTTAATCAAAAAATACTGACACTAAAGTCACTGTCCGGGTATGTAGGCTTTAGTATTTTTTTCAGATATAATACCCAACTCAATAACTGATAATAAAAACCCTTGAGTATGTTACGCCAATCCTGTTTTTTTTAAGATTTAATCCGAAAATGTAAGAAAAATAGGGCGACACTTTAAAAAAAATAACTTTGATATGTGGATCAAAATCGAGATATACTATATAATTGAATTGACAGTATTTCAGAAATGTGTCTCCAAATATGTATATAATGCTTTTGCCTCTACATCACCACAAGTTCCTGAACCCCAGAAAACGAACACTATCAGCTACATGTCCATCTTATGCACCATCCGGCAATGATTCAGCATCCTGTCTCGCATTTTCGCCTTATAGTTACAACCCACAATTGGGCACTCAATTTTAGGAGGCTTATCACACTCATGCAGTATGTGCCTTTTCAAAGTACAAAACAGTTTATAGTGCTTCTTGCATTTGGTGCATTCATAATCGTCTTCGCCGTACTTTGTATAGCCCGTGATCGGTGGTGGCTTCTTTCCGCAGAAGTATCTGATGTGCCGTCGTACTGAACTTTCTACTTTGAAAATTCGGCCACAAGAGGGACAGGGAAATTCGCCGTATTTTGGTTTAAAGTCATCTGAAAAATACAAGAGGTTATTTGAGACACAATTTGTTTTCAGTTATACTTACTTTGAGCAAGACCTCCTTGTGAGGCCGATTATCAAAAACAATTTTCACCTTGCATAAAGACGCTATTTTGATCGGCTAAAATTATTTTTTTTAATCAAATTGATAAAGGTTATTGGCAACTTATTCGATTTCGGTATAAAACGCATTAACATTATTTTGAAACTATTTTCACGAATACATTATTAGTTTTACAATAGCGTGCAATTAATGTTCATTGAAAAAAAATGTATGAAAATATATCATTGTACATATTTACTATTTCATTATAATGAAAGACCCATATATGTATGTAGTTTAAGAGATACAAGCAGATATTTTCACCACAATGTCAGTTTTCAAGTTAAATGACTGATTAAATTGACCTTGTATGGTTCGGACCAATTCAATAAAACCTGAACTGTATAAGTGACGATTAATCCCACAATAAAGAAAAATATTTCGAAAGTTACATAATGGACAAGTTTACTTGATTATTTATTTGTTTCGTTTTTTCCAGTAAATAAAGAAATATAATAGCTGTTTATTTGTTAAAGTGACCTTCTATAGTCCAGTCTCCTTACAATATTAAACTCAAAGAATAATCAAATTAAACAAAATAATAGGTATATTTGCAATGTATTGGTAAATCTCATACAATCAAAACAAGAGGACCAGAATATCTTTAAAACTAAAACCTAGCTTATTAAGTAACAATCCTAGAATAATTGGTAAAAAATGTGTATAGACATAGGAAAAAAATTAAAATTACAAATGAGAATAAATACTGCCTCGTACCTATACGTGATCAACTTATATTCAATATCTGACACCACATAAGAACAAAAACTGCATAATCAATTCTTCATATAAATTTTGATGTAACATCTGGAGTACCACAAGGAAGTCATTTGGGTCCGCCTTTTAATAGTATATTTAAATAACATCAGCCAAAATATCAAATTGTAAGTTTCCATGTACTGAAGACTGTAAAAATATCTTAATAACTCAGATAAATGTAACTACATACGATTAACTAAAAACGTTAATAAAATATAATCAATTAGATAACGCTGAATTGCAACAGGTACGAGTAGCTAAAGATGTAGGTACCTATCTATATTCCATAATGAGAAAATTATTAATGCAGCCAATAAGTGTTTGGGCTTCATAAGAAGAAGCGCCAAAAATTTCAAAAATCCAAGACTTGTCCTCGACTTTTGTGTATCACACCCATGTATCAGTAAATTATATGTCGCCTCTGTTGGATGGAATCAATCCTTCCTACGCCACGCATTCGTAAAGAATTGAAAGAATCCAATGTAAGTGTTTAAGTTCACTTGCCTTCAAATATGGTACTCCTATCACTGATAGTAATTAAAAGGTGGTCCGCGGGAGCGGGAAGTTTTAAATACTTTATGATCCTAAAGGCAATTTGATTTAAATAAAATACAGTATAACATTAACACACTAGTAATATGCCATTTTTATTCCTTAAAAATAATACCGCATAAATGTCCGTTCTTCTCTGTATGCTCTCTTGAATTCTTTCATAGAAATTCGCCATAACATGATGCAACATATCCACAGGAATCTTAGGAATTTCTTCTATAATGTTTCTTTTAAGCTCCTGAATGGTTCTTGGTTTATTAATGAACACATTTTGTTTTAGGTAGCCTCACAAAAAGTAATCGCAAGCCGTTAGGTCTGGCGACCTTGGCGGCCAGTCAACGTCTCCTCGTCTGGGAATAACATGTTACGGAAACAATCTTTGCAAGGAACTTAATGACGCTTTCGTGGTGTGTGAAGTAGCATCATCCTGCTGGAACCATGTTTGATTATTTTGTGGAAATCTGCTCAAGCGGGGACTCAAAAACTGGTTTATCGCACACAGTTAATGGAAACAGCATTCTCATTCTCATCTTCAAAAAAGTAGAGCCCTATAATTCTCACTGAAGACATCGCACAACATACAGATATTCTTACACGATCGTTGTTTTCAGGCGTTCGTACACTTTTCTTTGGTCCTTTATGTTTGACATTGCCATCTAAACCTGTTGGTTCAAATTAACGAACCCAATTCTTTATAGCATGAGCGGAAGGAGCTCTGCCATGTCGACCAATTTGAAAATAAAGAGCGGCAACCACACAGTTGTTTTTATAGTACGACTTAATCACAAATGCACGTTGCTCACCAGACCGCTGCTCCATGATTACTAAATGGCATACAGTGACAGATAATTTCAAAAAACATAGCCAACTATGCATAGTTACGGAATAACAACATTATCAAAACTTCGCGCTCCCGGGGACCACCTTGCATGATCCAATCATGAAAAGATTCAATATGTTATCACTGTTTAATAGAAGAATAATTTCTGTTATTTGTTATATACTAAGTGACATATAAATCCGAACACCCAGTTTAAATGGTTTTATTTTAATAAAAGTTGGTGAATCTATTTATCTTACTATAAATAACAAGTGAAAAAATTTTCAGCCTTATCAGTTGGACATTCCGGTTTTTATACTACTTTTTTTCAATTCACTAACGCTCTAAAAATGAATATTTCAGCCGCAGTAAAGAATCAACGTTGGCGGATTTTGGTTCTTGACATCCTTTACGATCGGTTACGATGCCTAGAGTACGGAGACCTGTACGATTTCGTCAAATTAGTGAGTTTGATAGTGGCCGTATAGTGGGACTTTGGGAAGCTGGACTTGCTTTTCGGACAATTGCAGTTAGAGTGCAAAGAAGTGTAGACACTGTGGATAGGTGTTGTCAGGCATGGCTTCGAGAAGGCCGTACGCAAAGAGCAAGGGGCACTGGACGCCGCCGTAGAGCAACAGACCGTGAAGATCGCCGCCTAAGATTATTGGCCTTAAGGGACCGTTTCTCCACTACCAGGTCCACGCAAATGAATGGTTTGCAGAACACGGAAGACCTATTGACATGCGAAGTGTTTACCGACGAATGAGAAGTTTTGGCTTGTTTTCATACCGGCCACACCGGCCCTTTAACTCGAGAACACCGACGTAATCGCCTTGAGTGGTGCAGACAACGGTCACTCTGGGATCAGGAATGGAACAGTATTGTCTTTAGTGACGAGTCTCGATTTTGTTTAGGCATGCACGATGGTCGTGCCAGGGTTAGAAGGCGACGTGGTGAAACGAGGAATCCACAGTTTTTTGTTGAAAGACATGTTCATCACACTGTTGGAGTTATGGTTTGGGGTGCTATAGCTTATGGTTCCAGGTCACCTTTAATCTTCATCAGAGGTAACATGAACGCACAGCGTTACATCCACGAAGTTCTAGAACCCCATCTTTTACCCTATTTCGACACCCTGGCAGATCCAACTTTCCAACAAGATAATGCCCGACCACATGTTGCAAGAGTCACAATAGACTTCTTTCAACATAATGATGTCACATTGTTACCATGGCCACCAAGATCTCCCGACTTATCCCCAATTGAGCACGTGTGGGATATGATGGGTAGGAGATTGCTCAATTTGCAACGTCCTCCTCAGACTCTAGAAGCACTTCGAGAGGAGTTGGTGGTTGCCTGGAATGAGATACCACAGGAGGACATTGACCACCAGATCAGAAGCATGCCTATGCGCGTTGGAGAATGCGTAGCACATCAGGGTGCATCCACACATTATTAAAGGTCAAAGGGCTTTAAAGCAGTGCAATCATTTTGAAATTTTTATCATTTACTTATTATGCTTCATTAAGTACTTATACAAAATTTTATTAAAATAAAACCATTTAAACTGGGTGTTCGGATTTATATGTCACTTAGTATATATACAAACTACATGTTCAAGTTACCACATCATCGTGCCAACTTAGGTATAAGTTCTCCATTAATAAGAGCACCAGGATCCTACAATAAATTTTGTGAAAAGTACTTGTTTTGTGATAACAGTATGTTTCATCGTATAGTACAAGTTTTTAAATCAATAATCACATCATATTAGTCTTTTTTCGTAGTCAGTATATCTTAATATCTCATAATTTAGTACGTGTTACTATTGTTATAACAGTGGGTGTATGTTGGCTTTGGCGGCGAACACCACAAATTGTAATAAATAAATAAATATTTCGTGCAATAGTCTCATTTTCTGGTTGTATCACTGCGGATGAAAAAACTACTGACACTTTGGGTACCATCAATGATTTGTAGTTAGTCATATACAGAAATAAAGTTTTGGTTCTGGTGTCAGACTGAGACGCACAAACTGAATCCAGCGGGATGATCTCCCATATTTATGCAACTCCTTGTCCTCTTGATAAAATTTTAATTCTAGCATCTAAAGCTTGGTCCTGCCAGATTCCTTATCACAAAATATTTTCCTTGATGAAGTCTGATAGGCAAGAATCAGTGCAAAACTGCTGGTAACAATCAATATCACTTATAGATTTAGGCTGGGCGCATACATTCGTTTGCCGCGTTCGATTTCCGAATTCTTTTTCCGTGTTCGGAGACCCGAATGCATCAAACGCTAATAAAATACATACGTTTCGCGTTCGTAATAACGGAACGGATAAAACCTGGTGACGTCACGCAGAATGCAGCACTGGCATACATTTTTAATGTACCGCCGCACAAAGTCGGAAATTTCCATCCAGAACCGCGCAGTGACGTGCGTATTGAACGTCACGTCGTTGCATCAAGAGCTCAAATGCATCAGGAAAATGTATGAAGCAGAAGAACTAACATAGGCTGTTGAAAAGTACTCCTGCTTGTGGGATATTCATGACAAGGACTACCACAATAGAGATGTGAACGATTTGACGTGGGAGCATGTAATTAAAGAGGTTATACAGGATTGGAACTCGTGCACAAAAGTGGAAACAGAAAACAAGAGTAAAATTACTTTTCTTTAACTTTTGTTATAAAGACTATTGCCTATTGTACTTTTATTGTTGTAAATTGGTAATCCTTTCGTTATATAGGTATGATATTTCTCCTGCCGGCGTCATGAAGTACTGAGCAAACTCGTATCTTATGCTTCGGGCTCGGTTTGTAGATCTATGTTGTGTATCCAGAGATGATCTCATCCAGGTATCTTGCTTCCTTAATTTATCACGTATGCCATTATGGAAAGATTGTATTGACATCCTGTAGAAATCAAAGAATTTATTTGGATGTGCTCGTAACTTTGCTCTTTTTAGATGAAATGGACTCTCGTAGATTCTCCAACTGTTTAACGGATGCACCCAATACCGACGTTTCTTTTTCTTCTTTTTTGATAATGATAATAGAAGTGCAATCGCAATTTAATCGTCGTTCTCCATCGCCAAGCATTCACAAAGCCGCCACTGAACGTACTGGTAGTATAATATTCACTTCAAAAAATTGAACGTTTGCGCGAGGCTCACGGAATTCCGAATTGGAATTCCTGATTAGGAAACCGTATACGGAAAACGAATGTATGCGCCCAGCCTTAACGCATGATACTATTACTCGAGAAGATAAACTCACGCGCATAACATCAGTATCCCTTTCGGTGTGAAATATAATTAAATCAGTGGATTAAACATTTAACTATGGTGAACTGTACTTTGGTGGGTTGTTCAAGCAACAACGACCAGAAAAGCAAAGATGTTTGAAATTGGTGTATATTCAGGTCTTCAAAAAACAAAGAAGTTTTCGAACAATGTGTTCTGAAGTTTTATCAGCAATAAAAACTTAATGTATACACAGCAAGGATATGTTCCAAGCATTTTGTGACTACTATTTAAACGGGAAAACTATGGGATTAGGTCAAAATAAATGGAAGTTGAAAAGTGATACAACACCTTCCCTTCATCGGTTAGTGTAAGTGCAGATGCCAAACATCTTTTTTTAGATATAAAATGTATTTTTAAATTCGGATGTTAAATAGATGTATTAATAAAAAATCCAGAATTGGGAAGAGAAAGATGAATATTGTAAAATAAACACAAGAAAACCGTGACATCATGCACAACGGGGTACGAAATTCAAGAATATCTTCCCGAGTTATAATATCATCGATTTAACGAATGCCTACAAAATAACAAAAGAAAACATTACATCAGCAAACACTCTAAAATCTGCCCGTATCACAGTGTTACTTAATTTTCAATTAGTTTGCCAAAGCATTGAGTACGTCTGTTTAAGTTAAACCACACTAAATAAAAAGCAACAAAAGATGAAATATCGAAAGCAGAAGGTTTAAAAAAGGATATTGGCACATGATTCAAGTACATATATTCTGTCTTAACTTCACACATGCACTTAAACACAACGATCAAGTCGTAATACAGAAAATAGGTAAACACTAAATATGGTATTAAATAATTCGTACATGCGAGTAGGTATACGCGATTATTTTAAGCAGTCTTTCTAAAAACATTCGGTTTCTTTACCTGTAACTATTTTGTGGTTGGTTTCAATATTTACCAACAAGCAATATGGCTATCTCACTTGAGATTCAACACCCTGAGAGAGACAACGCTGACGATATACAACTAAAACTTCTAAAATCAGATAAATTTACAGAAAACGCTAGGCAACGTATTGATACTTGGTCAAATGATTCTCGGTAATATGTCTAATGAGATCTCCTTTAACTCCAAAAGCTTTATTACAGATACTGCAATTAAAATAAGAAACCTTGCTGCACTGTAGACGTATGTGTTGCACACAGTTTTTCTTGTACTTGTACTTTCTGTTACATCTCAGGCACATCGTGTAGTTTGGTGTTACTTTGTAACCTTTGCCTGAAATATATTTTAGTATAACTTTTATTATAAGGAACAATCAGAGTTAATTGAATTTATGTGTGAGAAAACAAACTTGGGTTATGTGAAAGGATTTATGTTTGTGTACAAAATATATAGATTTATTTATTCCATTAGAATGTAATACTACAACAGGTATGGTTTTCTATTTACAATTGTATACAGATAAAATAATCTAAAAATGTAAGGTAATAATTCAACAATGAACTGCACTGCAAGCAACATGTCCCGATTCATGAAAAACCATGCCTAGAAGACATTTTATTGGCATATTTAGCATGATATTGTATATATTTCTGAGGTTATCGGCGTGCCGTGACCAGACCCGCAAACATTACATATTTTCAACATGGTCTATGTAGTGTATTGGTATTTCAATAAATACATGCTTGGGCGTGGCGGAACCGCTTCTAGCAGTACCACCCCGGCGGAGGCACTTCGGGGAGACAGTACAGTTAGGAACGGGGGCGTGAGAGCTGGGCGTGCGATACTGAAAATCTGGACTACGCGCAGACGATACAGTCTGTAAACAATTTCGAGGATTATTATGATTTGTTTGATAATACATGATAAATCGGCAGGTCGGTGGAAAGTAGTTTACGCGATATATGATGAAGCCATTCAAGGTTCATTCGTGTTGATTTTCCATATAGAGACTAGAAGACGCATGTTACCGTGACTATACAGAGTGATTCAAAACATACTAGCAATTTTTCTAGAGCAAAAGTACATACAAAAATAACGAAATCGCTATAAACATATCTCCTAAAATGTCCCATTACCTTGTAAATCTCTACACCGCTGATTTGATTGAATAAGGACAAAATGTGAATATTGTTCAAATAACGCTGACGAATGAGGGTCACTCCCCTAATACATTGCAGACAATTTTCAATGTCAAACTTCGTTGAATCCAGCGTATTTTTAAAGTAGAAACGTATTAGGAAACCAAATCGTGTAATATTCCGCGTATGGCCCTAAACGTTAAGTAACTATGGAATGACATACACGTTTTGAGAATCACTTCTGTTTTCTTAAAATTATAAAACTCACTTTTCTCGGATGAGATGTATGAGAACAGAAGTTATTATCAAAACACGTGTGCCACCCCATAGCTATTAAACTTTTAGTCCCGACTTTATTATTGACTCGCAGGAACTAAAATCTTGATCCGGATCACAACAGACCAATGAGAAGGTGTCTTTCTAGTGATGGATCAAATTAATATAGTTGATTTCTTATAAAATATCTGTCCAAGCAGCGAACAAATATACGAGTTTTGTAAGAAGTAATCCACATATCAAATGCAATGGGCTGCCGATTATACCACTCGACAGAGGCTGGGTTCTCGATGAGTAAATAACGGTAGATTCGAGAGAAATCTCACAAAAAACAGCAATTCTAAGCAAGACTTAAAAGAATACATAAATCGCGACCCTGTCCCGATGCGTGTCCAGGGTCGGCTGCCGCCCAAATCCTCACATAGTTGCCAAGTGTCCCTTGCACATGCACCTTATCGTCGCACACATCACTAAACCACCACGTGACCCCCCACTTAAATCGAAGGTTACGAGATACAACAAGAGATTTAACTACTAAAGAACAGATAGAGGGTGTAGGTGGTACTTGCCAGCATCGCCATCTTACTCAATTACTACTTCGCTAGCTCCCTTATACGCCTTTAAATTAATATTTTCCTTCGATCGTTCGTGACCGTCCATGATACCTATCACATATGAGTTTGGCCCGGCCTGTCGTGGAACGGTATAAGATCCCTCGGACGAACGAGGATGTCTCCTAACCAAAACCTAGTCCCTGATCCTCGCATTTTTCATCTGCTCACTCCTCAAAGTTCTGAAATGATCCTTCAGCTCTGCAAAATCTCTTAACAACTTCATCAATAAAAGTTGCGTACTTCCCCCCTCATCCGGTACCCCAGTAGAATATCTTTCAACGGAAATCGCGATAGCGCGTCGGCTACTATATTATCCGCCCCCTTACAATATTCGATGCGAAAGTCAAACTCTTGTTCCAAAATAATCCACCGAGGTATTCTTGCAGAACGCAACTTGCACGACATCAGAAAGCTGAGCGCCTTGTGATCAGTAACGAACACCAAATCCCTTCCTAAAACTAAGGTACGCCACTGCCTCAAGCAAAACACTACCGCCCATGCCTCCTTCTCCATCACCGTATAGTTTATCCGACCCGCCTTTAACACTGCACTAGCGAAACAAACATATCTACGCTCCCCTGTATCATCTAACTAATATAAGCTTCCCCCAACAGCGTATGGCGAAGCATCTGACTGGATATAAAACGTGCGTTCAAAATATGGATGTGTGAGCGTCATACTCTCAAGAAAGGCTCTTTTGGTAGCCTCAAAGCTATCCCTTTCCTTCTTTCCCCAACTTCACTTTTCCCCTTTTCGTAGTAACCTTAATGGTATAGTCAACTCTGCACATCCCGTACAAAATCGTTGCTCATAGTTAACCAATTCTAACAACTCTCGTGGTTCCCTTAAATTCCGCGGAGTAGGAAAACTAGGGGTACACTCCAACCCTGACTCATCAATTCGCACCCCTTCAGACGTAATAACGTGCCCTTAAAAATGCACCTTATCTCTAATGAACTGACACTTCCTCAATTTTACTGTAATTCTTGCGTCGAGAAACCGTTCAATGATGATCCTCCAATGTTTCAAATGCTCCCCTATATTGTTGGAATAAATGAACAAGTCATCTACGTATGCTTGCGCAAAATCGTTGCACCTCTCTAAAATTCCATTTAAACACCGTATGAGACTTTTCATAGACATGGATAGTCCAAAAGGAAGTCGCCGAAAAGTATATGTTTCCCCCTCGTACATAAAACCTAAGTATTTTGTGTGGTCTGGAAACACTGCGATCTGCCAATACGCTTTAGTTAAATCAACCGTGCTCATCAACTGCCCTTGCTTAAACTGTACCAAAAGTACCGTGGGATTAGGAGGATTGATAAAATCTTTTTTCACCTTAGCGTTTAGACCCCGCGCATCTAAACAAACGCGAATCCTTCCGTCTTTCTTTCTAACACATACCAAAGGCGAAATATAACAGGCTTTTTCCTTTTGTATGACCCCGGCCATCAATATTTCATCTAATTGCCTTTTTACCTCCCCCCTGTAAGCTATAGGAATAGGATACGAAACAGCGTTGAATTCACTATCATCTGTAAGCTCTATTTCCTGGAAATAATTCTTCACTCGAGCAGGCAGATCTGAAAATATATTCCTATATTTTAGCAAAACGTCCTGCAACGCTACCTTACCGCTATCATCCAAATTCGTTTTTTCTACGGCCGCCTGTATGTCTGTCTCGGTGTAGCATTGACAATTACCGTCGCGCTCGGTCAGTGGCGTCTCATCCGTTAAACGTTCTGGGTCGGTATCCTCCCAGAAATCATATTTCTCGCAGAGATGTATCGAAATTTTCTGCCGCTCTGTTGGGAATGTTAACTCGACGCTCAAAGTTAACCCATTTACAATTAAATTCAATTTCGAATACTGTTAATCGAGACGAGCTTGGCACTTGTATAGCCAGTTAGATCCAAAGATAATGTTACAATTTAGCCCTGGTACTACTAGACAATTCACTTCCATACGTACCCCTTCTACTTCGATCGGAACCAAAATCTGCGATTTGATTCTTTAGGCTTTACCCTCACTGCGACCGATACTGCTTTCTGCGTTATGGGCAAATTAGGTTACCCAAACAGACATCCAGTTTAGGAAATAATCTGCTCTACTTCCGCCTGGATGTATTACATAAGCCAAAGTCATTAAAAGCTCCCTTTACTTGTCAACCCCCCAAAATCTCTCTTTAAAGGCTTGCTGACATGTGGCAAAATCAACCAACAAATCCTCCTTCAGACTTGCCCATTCGGATGCCTAAGACAACCTACTGCTTGGCCCAATTGCATGCTCTGGTACTCATGCGTCACTGAATATTTACTCGATTCTTCTCAAAAATAGCATCGGGTGAATCCTCCCGTAAGCTGAGTAAGTAATGCTACCACCCCCTAATTCCTTCCAATGAGCAAATAAACCCGATCATTAATTGGGTAAAGCCCCTGATCTACCCCTTTTGAAACTGAGACAGTATCCGCCTCTGTCACAATCTCTTCTGACATGGCAACCTTCTCCACCAGCTGACGAACTGTATTTTTCAATTCAGTGACAGACACCGCGCTTCTAAATCGACAGGCGCACCCCCCACACTCTCCTTTCTGTTCTTCCTCTTACTCCTACCTTTTCCTGACATGTTTTCCTCTTCTAAAGCAATATATCCTAATAATATTAAGATAACCTGACAAACCTACTACTAACTACAATACAATAATGTTCAAAATAATGTTCCCTGGTCTCCCGGCTCCTATCCTCGTACTACCTCGTCTGTACTCCAAATCGCCTGAACATCTCAACAAACTCCTAACTGCTACCAGCACGCTCGCAGATGTGCGTGAATATCAAATTAGAAAATTCTCACCAAGTTGCATCAAAATATTTCACACTGGCAACACCTCTTCACCCATGCCACCTAGAAACAGTCTTCCTACCTTCCTCAAGCCCCACGTGCCGCTATCTCGCGCGCCGCCGATTCTACCCCTATCCTTGTCTGACTCACGTTGCTTGTACCTCCCGACGTCGTTTTACCGTCGCTGGGCGGTAAGCTTGCCAGCGCTCGACTGCACAACTTGTTCACGTGAATACCGCGTGGAAAACGTCTTCCACTTCTTCCACGCTGCCCTGTACTGCTCGTCCAATATATACCTGTCGGCACAACTTCCACAATCGAAACGCCGAAAAGTCACTACCTCACGTTCTGTCTCTCAAAATCACCGAAATCTCACGTCCCCGTTGCGGCGCCAAATGATGCAATGGGCTGCCGATTATACTAATCGACAGAGGGTGGGTTCTGAATGAGTAAATAACAGTAGATTCGAAAGAGTACACGATTTAATGAAATCTCACAAAAAACAGCGATTCTAAGAAAAACTTAAAAGAATACATAAATCGCGACCCTGCCCCGACGCGTGTCCAGGGTCGGCTGCCGCCCAAATCCTCACATAGTTGCCAAGTGTCCCTTGCACATTCACCTTATCGTCGCACACATCACTAAACCACCACACAAAATCAAGAAATGATTCATAAATCACCTGGTTTAGACCAATTATATAGCGTTTTCGTAAGACTGGTATCGAAAATTGGCTGATCGGAAACAAGCATCATAAATCCATGTTGTAGATGACAGAACTATATTCAAAACAAACACAAAACCCGATAAAATTGTAAAGAGGATAATAACTCGGTCCGTCATTGGGTGTAGATTTCAACAAACTCCTTAATTATCTTCCATTTTCACATATTTCTGGTGCTGTATCTAATCCGCATGTCGTCCTTCAAGGTAAATAGAGATGCTTCTGGGTTACAATTATTTTAAACACCTTTATCTGGCTTAGACGGAGGCATACTTGTTACCTTTGCTTTATTATATTTTAGAAAAAATGGTAGAAACCTTTAGCAAAAATGGTAGAAACCATTACAAAAAATGGTAGAAACCAAAGAAGAAGTTAGACAACAAAAAGAAAGGTCTATAATAACGTACAGTCTATAAACAGTAAAATGGAAACTTTTCTTTCTTGTGCTTCTTTGTCTGCTAGAGATGGGGTTTGTATTCGAATTCAGATTCAGATAATAACGATACTGGACCTCTTAGCACGACGCCTCTGATGCTGCTTGTCAACTTCCACGTCTCGGTCAGAGTATCATATTCAAGATAAGCTCGCACTGATCGTAGCGACACTTGAAATAACTATTTTTGTAACCAAGTTTGCTACATAAAGCCCCAAGTATTTCCCGACAACCTGCACGCAGGAGCGAGATGTCATTTTTTGTACATCGTGAAATCGATAGTTAAATAACTATCAAACTATCAAAACAACCACTGATTAATTTCATGCTAGTAACAAATTAAGTCAGCAAGTTTCAGTGTGAAAACTGTGTTTAAACATGTTTCTCATAGCGTTGAATCACCCTAATTGACACATGTGAATATTTGTGAACGCATCCCCAACGACAGGTGATACATTTGTAGTGCTGTCAACAGTACAGTACAGTAAACATGAGTAATATGTATTCACACACAAATGTTTGCTATATTAACACATAGTAGTTGAACCTAATAACATTTACTCTTCAATTCAATTAAGAGTCAAAATGGAGTGTAATATGACCAATTTAACGTTTATTTTGATCTACTGCGATTTCAGTCTCACGACTTTTCGTGATGTTGTAGCACTGGGCAGTTCTGTGACTGGCCGCACAAGGCAGTTCTGATTTCAAATATAATACAGACTTTCCTGTGCTCTTTCTTTTCCTCAAGAAACGTACGTACGTTATATGCAGATTGAAATACTTTTAATAAAAATATGATTATCAATACTATGCATAAATATCGCGCACAAATGAGGATGTGTGTGCCAACAGTGGTTCATAGTGCTCAGTAATTGATGTCATATCAATCTAGGCGTTATATGTATCAGATTTGATCCACGATTCGGGCAGGGATTAAAGGCTCCTCTCCGATTGACCAATTTTCGAAGCAATTTTATATAGGTTATGATCTCCAGATCAACTGAAAAAAGTATTTTTCTAGCCAACCAGGTGATTTACAGAATTTCTTGATTTAGTATGGGGTTTAGAGACCCTTCTTACACAGCTATATGCTTTTTGCTGGTTTGACAGATTTTAGAAGAAATCATTTGATCCATTAGGTACTAGAAAGATGCCTTCTGATTGGTCCATTATGATCCGGATCAAGATCTTCGATGTCGTGTCAGTAAAATCGGATTATTAGTTTAGTAACAAAAGAGAAATGTATGCTTTAGATTCACATTTTTTCTGACCTCAAATTTGACCAACCATCGGTGTATTTGATACGTTTGCCCTCGCTTAACGTATCAAAACGTAACAAAATCAATGCCAGATTCCTATTTAATCAACTGCAGTTTGTGTGTTTAAGTTTGCGTGTGTGTTATGGCAAATGTAGCTTGAGCAACCTCTGGTTCTATGGTCAACTTCTCTCTAAGGTATTAGCGAAATAGGTAATTACTTTCATCCATTTCGTTACCTAAGTTTTGTTAATGTTTGTCAAATTACCGCATAAATGAAACAATGAACAATTTAGTTAGAACAGGTCATGTTGCCTGCTCTGCAGCCAGCGCTTCATCTAGAAACGTAATGTAAAACATCAATCTTGCTCCAAAGTTCACTTTATAATTTCAGTTCAGAGGCGTGATCTCTCCGCAGTAGTCTAACTTTACAGCGTGCACAATCAACATGTGAGACTTGAGGCTTCCTTTTCTTTTCGTTTTGTAGTCACAGTTCGGAACAGTGCATGCGAAAGCTTTTTCTTTCCCACACTCAAACCTGGTGTGATTGTATAGCGACGATCTGTGCCTGTAGAGCTTTCCGCAGCCATTTGGACACATGTACATTCCTACAACATGGATGACATAAAAAGTACGATAGGAAACTAATTACAAATTGATGTTAGAGTGTATGATAGCGATAATATAACACCTTTGCTTCAGAACTGAGACAACGCAAAATTGCACCAATCGAGCAACATGATTGTATTGTAGAGAGTTGTGATTTGCCTAACTCATACTAGAAAAATCTATATAAAACGAACGATCGTAATAACTGAAATAATAGGAGTGAGCCTACAATAACTAGCATAACGCTAAAATAGTTATCCATGTTGGGATCACCATTATAACTCATCGAGTGCAAAAAAATGTATTCAAGGTAAAAGCTCAAAAACGTGTTTTCTGACAACGCGAATGCTCTGTTATAAAAAAAATACAACTAATCCAGGCTTTACTCCAACCTGCATCGGAAAAACTCAATTTTTGCTAGGGTAACAAATGATGTAGAGATAACTGTGGCCTCAAAAATGTTGGATTTTTTGTTCTCGAGTATACGGCAATGTTAAATCGCCAAGAGAAGCATCTCGATGCATGGAACAATTTCCTACTTGTTTACAGGAGGAAGAAGTATAGGGAGGCAAAAAGGAAGAAGGGAGAAAAGGAGAAGAAGAAGCTATTCCAATCCATTAAACAACTAGCTTGCAGGTGGTGTGGATATGTCTGCGTATTCTAGTGAACATAACTTTTTCAGCTCATCGGATCGCTACGTCTCAGAAACGGTAATTCTGAGAAGCAAAGTACATCCCGAAAAACCATCTCACTCATTTCCATCGGTTTTTCGGTCTGTCTGTTTGTCCGCTAACCTTTGTCCAGTCGGATTTTGATGAAATTTTCACATAATGTTACTACTATGCCAATGACGAAAAATATTTATTGCTTTTGTAAATTGTTTCAGTCACGGCGGACAAAAACGTCAAAAGCGAAAAAAATCACTCAAACTTCGTTATTTAACATTCTAGAAGATCCAGATCATTTTGAAAAAAAAATTAGTGGTAGAAGCTTGGAAGGTGGGGGTTTATACTGGGTGGGGGAGGGTTATCTCATTTTTTTTTTTAATTTAAGTATGTATATAATTTATCCATAGAAGGACAATGCCTGCGCACGGATCATATGTATGTTGAATTACAAAAGATAAAAAAAGAAAGATTAGAGAGAGAAAAAGCAATCATTTGTAAGAATGATAGCATCTACTGCGTAATATTTGAGATTATTATATTAATGTTATTTCACACAATCGTGTCAATATTTTTTTTAAACTTAATGTATTCCGTAATTTTTTTAAATTATTTGGTAAATGTTCATATAATTCTGGAGCTAAATACAGGTGAGATCGTTTCATTAAAGATTTGTTTGGTTTAGGAACATTTGTTGCGCGTAATTTATATCTATACTATTTTTAATTATGTCGCGTTCACTAATAATTTTGTGATAATGGTTTGTAAGAAGTAAAATTGTTTAGTATCATATACTTGTGCATCATTATACAAGTCATCAGTTGGGTATAATTTTGATTTGCCCAACATTGATTTGTTGTTCTTTGAAGCACATCTAATTCGTTAAGGTACGTCGTGCATGCAGCACCCCATACTACTATACCATGTGTTATATGCGGCTCGACTAGAGCTTGATATATTAAAGAGAAGGTGGTTATAACTTGGTAGATGATTAGATAATGATGAAAAAGGTAAAAAATGGGTTTTAGTAAATTAATTGTTAATTCTCTTTACACCTCTGACATAGAGGATTCTTCTGCTTTCATTCGTTGTCCTACCTAGAGACCTAGACCATGCTGGTGATTGCCAATAAGCATAAAACAGCTCTGGTACACGGTTCGCAGTCTGTTGGTCGGACGGACGAAAAGAAGTATTATTAACAAATAATATATTTTGCTATTATTGAGTTGGACATTTCAGTTGTCAATTCTGAGCAAGGGTGTGACATGCAGTGCGGGTTAACCTCTCCTTTCTTAAGATATATGTACATTACAGAGTAGTGTACCATTCCACAGTAAGCTTAAATACATTAACGGCATTGAATAGTTGTTGCAAAAAATAATATAGAAGAATGAATCTTGCCAGAATATGATGTTTGCTTTTCCTCTGCGACCGATACACCACGTTTCATGTTTTTTAGCAATCATCAGAACGGTATGAGTATAGTGATTTGAAGTTGGTTGCTGGAAAGCAAACAAGAGGATATAAGTCGATTCAAAAATATGATGTGCGAAAAATGAAGGTGGCACGCCGTCTATAAGTAGCTTTGCCAATCACGTTACTATCAGTAGATCCATATCCTTTTGTTTGTATTTCCGTGATCTGTCTCCAAATGAATAGACGTATACCGTGCAGACGATTGCTAAAAAACATTGAACAATGTTGTATACTGTTGGTTATGGTCGCAGAGGCGGAAAGCAAACTGATCTTATTCTGCCCGTGTTTAAGCAACTTTTACATAGTACATCAATGCTGATGGCATGGTGAGTAAGTACTTTGGCTTCTTGGATGCCGACACCATCACTTAACGATCTCAGGAAGCTACTTGCTTGATGCCGTGCGTAGGGGTTGATAGTACCGCGCTTGACGAAACTACTCATACCCCAGATAGATACAATAATACAGCGTACCTGTATCTAGAATGAAATATTTTTTCAAAGTATATCAACAAAAGCATCACGCCGATCAACTTGGTACCAAAAAAGCATTTTTAATGAAATTACGAATAGCTATCGAATGCATGGTTTGCATCCGCACCTCTCCGATAATTTGCAAAAATAACTTTTTACTTATGAACGTGAAAGGATTAAAATTCAATGAAATCCCTAAATGAGAATGCTGAACTAAATCTGTTTGCTTTCCGTCTGTATAATCATGAACAACCGCATACCAACGTTGTTCTATGCTTATTAGCAATCATCGGTGTGGTATCGATCGAGTCATCAACGTCAGGTAAACGGAAGGCAAACAGGCAGGAATCGTCTTCTGAAAACTCAAAATGTTGTGCACAAAAAGGTGACAACATTGACAGTGTTGACATCTCTTTGTCTCCAAATAAGCCCTTAGAAACATAGGATATGTCTTCGTTTATTATTTTCTATACTGCTTATTTTTATTGCACTGATAGTGACCTGCCCTCACACTGTTCACTACAATTTGAAAAAGGTAACGTCAAAGTAAGTGGTTCCCAGTAGCAGTACGCCGTATAAAAAAACGTAGATGATATGACATTATATGGATATATTTCTTGTTTATTTAAGTATAAATATCTCTTCCTTAGCTTCTGTACAAGGTGCAGCTTCTGTTTCTGTAAGAAAATCGTAGAAAAACAACATAGATATTAAAGCTTAGTATTGTGATACTTAATATATGTGTAGTGTTACCGTCTTTCAGTTCTTATTTCTATAAACGACCAATGCAAAATGAAATTGCCGTTAATCACCGGGAAATGACGTAAATACACAACCAACTGGAGGAATGTTAAAAATAAAATAATAGAAGTGCGATATTAACACCATTGGCAGGTAATGGCATTAATAACCATCAAACAGTAACCAATGGCGATAGCGAGGAATGTAAACTTTTGGCAATACCAACTCCCGGTTTCTGGTTTTAATATTTATTTTGTCTTGGTTGTCCATGACTGGGCACATTTGATAGAACGAGGATATTAACGATGTTGTCCATCCGTAGTGGGCATTTACGACAGTGGCCGCCCATTAACGCCAGCCCCAGTTATCGTCATTGCTCCTAACAGATACATACATTACATGTTTTAAATATTATCGCTTATTATAAAATAATATGTTAAATACAAATTTTTTCACTCTAAACAGTAGAAATATTGATTGTATTTCTACTCATAGTCTAATTACAGCGATGCACACCACTTCGATGGCACTCATGTGCTTTCTGACTAGTGCCTGTTGCTGAAGCAAGCGACAAGGATATACTTTAACTGTTTCTCTAAAAGAATGTATTTTCATAATTTTAGACTAAACCTGTATTACTAACGTGCACCGTGCTGAAGTGGCACACAGATACAAATGCTAAGATGCAGCTCAATTACTAATTTTCCTGGCCTATAAACTTTAACAGGCATTTTGGTAGGTTTAGCAGAAGTCAAACCTGAAGGCTCAAATCAAACATCTATACGGATTCCGAGCTATGAACAGAGTGAATACAGTGGGCTCAGGTGGATTGAGTAAGTACTCAGTAGCCTCGATGCTTATCTTACGTCATTGCTCCGAGTTTGTTGTGCTGCAAATTATGAATATGTCATCGTGTCATTCCTCTCATGCTACAAGAAGAGACATCCCCGATAGAACGAAATATTCACTAAATATTTATTTAATATTTAATAATATTTTTATCTTACTTAAATATTTGTTTTCTTAAACAAATATTTAATAAATATTTGTAATGTAATATATTTATATAATATTTATTCAATATCTTTTAAATATTTTAAATACAATATTTCTTTAATAATATTCATGAAATATTTACTTTTCAATCAATGGAAAATATTAAATCTCGAATATTTAGAAAATATTCATTAAGTATTTTCGGCTACGGCGCATGTGCGTGTGACCTCGAGCGACCAATGGGATAACAGCAAGCTGGACCGTTTGCCGGCATCCATTTTACCTGTCACTTTCACTATGATAGCGTGCTCCCTGTGTGTACCTCCAAGTGGTTCATTATTTGAGTGTTTTTTTGTGGAAAAGGGTAAGTTTTTCGATAATTACACAGCTTAATTTATCTGACTAGTAAACATTATTGTTCCAGCTGAGTATGAAGGTATTCCCAAGACAATAAATAACTAGCCTTAAAGTGTAACAGTTATTTGGTATTGGTGGATTTATCTGAGAATGAATGCGAAAATTATGTTCATAATATCCCAATGAAAAGGCATATAATCGCAACTTGATGGAGATATTTACATCCAAAATGCTTTTTTTTATATCTCAATTATCATTATTATTTTTGTCGTAGTACGTTCAAAGCTTTCAATAGTAGAAAATACTATACTTTTGTCTCTTGAATTATAATATAAAATCACAAAATAGCTAAGTTAGCTTCCTTACTAAAAAAGTCACATTTCAACCAAATCAATAAGTGGTCTATTTTCAAAAACCTTTTTTCTTTAAAAGTTAGACAAACGATCAAGTTGTGCCCATGGACATTTTTCATCAAGATATCTAAAATAACATACCAAATTTTCTTAAAATTTAACCAGATCTAGAACTATCATAGGCAGAAAATGTGGGGTCTTTTTAGGTGCATTATAGAGCAGCTTTTCAGTGACCGAGTTGAGCTATTCGGAGTAACTCACCATGCTCAGCACCAATATTGTTCCAATGCATTTTATATTCTCATAAGTACACTGGAAAGCAGCTCATGTATTCAATAATATTTCATATAATTAGTAAGTTTGATTTTTTTCAGAAGAGTGGACTTGCAAGATGCCGAAGAGTCTTAGAATGTTTTTATTAATAATATTTTCTCTAGCATTATGTATATATATATATATATATATATATATATATATATATATATATAGAATGAATTTTCTTTATAAACCCAATTTTATATAAGCATTCCTACAGGTTTCGCTAAAATAAAGAATAAAGAATTTTCTATATAAACTGAAAATATGTATCAGATAAATGCTTCAAAATCCATAAATATTTAATAAAAATATTAGATATTTCATCAAATTATAAAGTCGATATTTAAAAATCTTTCCTCATATATTTTCAAAATATTTGGAAGAACTATTGCAAAAATATATGAATTATATAACTAAAAATATCTATAATGAGTATTTTATAAATGTATAAGAAATATATTTATTAAATATTAAAAAATCTGTCGCTACAAATATTTAACAAATATTTTTTAAAAATACACCTATTTAATAAATATTTAATGCTATCGGGGATATAAATGTTTGGCCAATTTTAAAGAATTTTAGTGAAACTTTTTTCTCAGGACATTTTATAAATGTCAGTGAAATATCAATGCGCGTGCTGACACGACAGGCGAAACTTTGCAGTTTACAAGCGACATACTTCATATCACAGAACTTGTAGAATCTGTATTGAGCAATTGTGTTCAATAAAGATTTTCAAGGAAAGAGTATCGAATACTACTCACTGACAACGATTTCGGCCTCCACGGTGGCCTATTTCAATTACCCTTGACCTATGCTGCCCTACTTAGGTAAAGGGCAGTAAGGTTCATTTACTTTTTTTTAAATATTTACTACAATACATTTATTTTATACAACCATAGTTATGTTTTCATTGTGTCAAATATTTCTAAGCATTAAAGCAGTAAATCAATTTTACAAAACAGACTATGCTGCTTTTATTCTCTCTATGATTCAGGTACTGCCGTTTTGCCTTTTAAAACCTGTTATGATGCTTAACTAGTTAGTTTTTTATGTAACAATTCTATTATTTGTGAATAAGTATTTATCGTTATAATTAATAATAATTCCTTTTGCTCCGAAAGAATAATTTCTAAAGTTATTAACTAACTAAAATTATTTTTGTTCAATGTGATTATGAAATGTAATTAAATACTTATTAAATGTAATTGAATAATTATTAAATTATGTATTAGAAGTTGAAAAGATTTACTTTTGTGCTATTTATTTCAATATGAATAAAATAAAATGGTGCATAGGTTGAGACAATAATATAAATATCTTATTAAAAACTACTACAAAAATGCAGTAACTTTGTTTTTCCAGAGCGTAAAAGCAGTAAATCACATGCTATTGATTTTTTACGAGAATTAAAAAAGGAATGTCATTTATTTTAGGCCTCGACAACAATAATGATCCGAATTCACATTTAAATGAATCTCCATAAAATCACGTAACTTTGTTCTGTCGTAATAATACAATTTACTTAGTTTTAGAAAATCCATAATTTTCTGCCTTTCAAGTAAGTAAGCGGTATGGACCTTTGGACTTCAAAAACGTTTCCCCTTTTTAAATCTAACAAAACGCCACAATACATTTCTGCCTGCGCTCCACTCCAGCACAGATCATGTTAGAAATGCAAGTTAATTATAGAGAGAGAGAGAAGATTGGTTGAACAAGCAAAACGAACCATGCTCACGAAGGTGAAGTTCTTATATATCATATTTGCAGAAATTATCATTTTTGCTTCCATGGGAGTAAACCTTCGTATTAAAATGGTTCATACATTTAAATTTAATTAGTAACACGAAATGTGATAAATAAATATCAAAGCATAACATGAAATATTCACTTAATGACTAGAATATTCACAAAATGACTAGAATATTTTTCAGTATTATACAAATATGGTAAATGACTTATTTGGTATACAACTAAAGTGTACCTACATTTTTGTGACAACAAAAATAATCTACAACGAAGTGTTGAGGTTTAACGAGTGAGATATTTACTAATTTAATAAAACAAAGGCAATACAAGCAATACTGGAGGAATATGCAGAAGGCATCTACACACAGGTGAACTTTCAATCTGTATGGATGGCAAAAAAACTGTAAACCAACGACTTAATCTGACAAACTGGAACGATATGATCACCATCGGAATTTTATTTTAACGCATATCTAAAATACCAGTATACTGATCAGGTAAAGCTGAAGAAATATTAAGTATAGACTACAATTACTTATTACTTATTCAACAACTAAATCTATTCACCCTAAAGCAAAAGTTATGTTTTATCCTCAGATGCATGTCCAGCTCCTGTTTGTAGTAATACCTCTTCTCACAAACATAACACACGTAGGATTTTTCCTTGCCGCACTCTACTCGTTGATGTCTCCTTAGGTTGTTCTTGATGGTATATGATTTGCCACACTGCATACAGTAATACCTTGGTTTTTCTAGAAGGTAGATGTAGTTTAGTTCGAAAGGTCAACTAATAAAGACACTACACGTCAAACTAAGCAACTTTATTATTCTAAACAGTTTACCTTACATTTTACGATTCATTATTGTAACAAAAATAACTTCCATGACCAAGTAGCCACACTGCTTCTCCTCTAAACTGCGCAGATCGAAAATGCGAGTTTACATCTTTCTAGGTACAGCCTGCAAAAGCAAAAAGTTCGCCAATTTTGGCCTGAAATACAAGGTTGAAAACATTTTAAAATAAGCTAATCTCAAAATTCTCTACAGGGTCTTGTACGGTAATGTGTTAACTTTTATTTGGATATTTGGCGACCTCAAATATTATAATTTTTAACAGAGTTTTTAAGCATTGACGTCAAATTGGTTTAAAAATATTTTTGAATAAATTAAAATTTATTTGTTCTTTGGATCATTCTGAACAAAAAATTGTTTCTATTAACTTCTCCAAAGCAGACCAATTTCGAGTTATAAGTGAATGTATGTAATGCTCTCAAAGTGGGTAAATTCAATGCTTAAAAACTCCGTAAAAATTATAATCTTTGAGGTAGTCAATTATCTAAATTGAAGCTTAAACCTTGCTTTACAATACCCCGTGATGTATTTTGATATAATTTTATTATAAAGCAATTTTTAACTTCGCCAATTTTGGCGAAGTTTTGATTTTCGCAGACTGTACAAATTAGCACACTTACTTTCCAGGTAGGAGAAAGTGGAATTTTCAATTTTCAACGCAAAAGGAGATGCTTGAATACCGTTACGATTTTGGAAAATCATGTTTCGAGGTTTGGCATGCCTCTGTCTGAATATGCCTTCGTAGAGAAAATTTCCTTGAAAAAGTAGAGCTGCACAAATTGCATTTGAAGGAAGGACTTTTCCCACAAGCAAATCTTCTGTGATTGTTTAGAGAGGACCGGTGTTTATATGTGTTTCCGCATTCCTTACAAGAATATTTCCCTGAAATAAAGAAAATATGATTTCCAAGAGCACAACCAAGCTTTCTTCGCCAATGAATTCAACTAATCCTGCACTTGAGCATTAAACTTGGAATACATCCTTTGCATGTGAGGTATAATTCAGTGGAACAAAAAAGTATTGCCACACCCTATTTTTTTTTTAGAGTTTACTTGATAACTAACATCCAAATAGTTATTTCTGATGACAATAGATTCAACAAATTAAATATATAAGAATAATAATAGGAATTATGAAATTCGGGGGTAAAAGAAAATTTGCACACCAAAGAAATAAACAAGTAAAATAACTCAATAACTTGAACAGAAATGGGGATAAGGCATACATTTATATTTCAGCAAAAGTTACTTTACAATGTTCCTGAATCACTGAATATCAATCCCAACTACGATAGTTGCTGGCCATGAAGGACTGAAAAAATAAAATGTCTGCGAAACGACAGCTAGAAAATGTTCTTAAGCAGAAATGGGATCAAATTAGACCAGAAATAACTCGGAAATGCCATGCCACAATGGTTTCAGGCAAGCCATAATGGATGCAAATGACAAAGTACTAGCGGTAAATAAATTTTGTTAAAACTTTTTTACTTGTTTGTGTTTTTTTACTGTCCGATACTTTTTGTCCTTGAATTTTATAATTCCAATTATTATTCTTATATTATTTTTGAGTTTCACTCAAATAAATCTAATAACAAAAAAAATTATCTTTACTTTATTGGGATTACAGAAAAAAATGGGGTGTGCCAATACTTTTTTGTATATTCGTATATAAAGCACCGTAGAGTGCCATGAACGCAGGGTAATGGCAAGAATGTTACGTTTACGAAACCTTTTGCATATACTGCGGTTCATATGCATTAATAAGACGTATCCGATCTAATGTTTTTGAATCAACAAAGTCTATATTATTGCAATCTCAGAGTTGTCATCTATAACCCAAACAGATGACATCTGTTTACAATAAATTGATAGCCATGCCGCACTGTAAAAATAACATTGGGCATTAAACCAGAGCAACTAATTATTTATTTAAATTCACACTATGTACAAATTTCAGCATTTCACAAAAGAAACTAAAAAACTAGACTTTATACTGTCCATACTGTCCACAAAACCGTTGAAATTGCTTTTTTGAAAACATGTTTTTAAGAAAAATTAGCATTGCACAAATTACATTTGCAATCAGGGCATTTCCCACTATTAAATCTGAAATGATTGCCCATGGAACTTCGATGTTTATATGTTTTTCCTCATTGATCATGGCAAAAACTACCACAAGATTCGCAAAGATTGCCGAGACGTAATTTTCATTTTATTAAAAGTTTTCGTATGAAGTATAAAAGATAATGTGGTCAGTGATACAGTCGTAAGATATAACATCAAAACGAATAGTGTAACCTAAATGAGCTTTTACAACAATAAGCCTGTATTTCTAATATAATTTATTATACTGAGTATTTTAATATGTAGACGAAACATTAATTATCAATAATACGTTACTTTATCTCCATAAAATACGTATGGTATATCACAAATAAGGTGAAAACGTCATAATAACACTGCTTTGTATTGAAATACAAATGATGATAAAACAAGTAAATTTGAGATTACCCAAATGTAAATAAAAAGTCCTTAAAAATATATAACACTTTGTGGAAACACACAAGTTTAGTTCTCAAGTATAATATAAAAGTAAGCTACATTACCAAGTATCAAATGTTCAAGCTATTTGAGGGGCTATCGTCAGCCCACCTTTTTAAGGAAACAGTGACCGAAAAATTCCCTCCAAAGGTTTTAACACCGGCACTAGGCCAGAGAACCCGGCTTAAAGAAAATGGATTCGGGACAAATTAATCTATGGCAATTAGTTAAAAGGGCATACCTAAACTTGTTCCACTAATATAAAATCAAAGCAGACTAGATACATTTCATCCTAGAATCAATTTTGATTGTTCTTTTAATGGCATTTACTTTATATATCTGCTTATAAAATTTCTCCGAATGGCTTTCAAAGCTGTCCTCTCAACGAAAAATTGACTTATGCCCTTTTAGCTGTTTGCCTTAGAAATCTAATATGATAACACAATTGTCCTTTTGTGATATTATTTCTACATGTTAACGCTCCGCAGTGCCCCCGTTTGTTCCATCGTCACTCATTTTCTCATTTATCTTTAAGGTTGGGCATAGGAACGATAAAGGCCCAACTGAGAAAAATGCTATGCATTTTTTCAAAAATTTAATATGTTATATATAATAAACATGAAATTCGAAACTATGGCAAAAGCCGATTAATGTAGTCAAGTTTCAATAAAATTGTTTTTGCGCAAACATCTTTCCAAAAGAGATTTTTTCCTCCTCTCTATTAAGCCCTCACCTGCCGATGTTGTTTTGAACTTAAAAAATAAATAAGTTATGATAGAACTACAGGAGGATTGGAAGTATTGCAGATGCTTTAAAAAATAAGTAAAAATTGCCGGATTTAAATATGAGTGTCTATAGGTACATTTTATTATTCAGAATTCGCTAAATTCATCTTTTTTCACTTCAATAAATGAGCCTCCAGACATAAATCTCTTACAAGGCTGAACATTATCTCTAGACATGTTGAATTCCTTCGGAGACACAACGTTACCTTCAGAGGAGTCTGATTTGTTTGGTGACTCAACTGTACCTTCAGAGATGTTAGATTTATTTGAGAACTCAAAGCTACGTACAGACATGTTGAGTCTTATCGGGGACACAACGTTACATCCAGACGTATCAGATTTCATCGTGGACTCAACGGTACCTCCTGACATATTGAGTTTAATCGGGGACTCAACGGTACCTCCGGACATGTGTAATTTAATCGTGGACTCAACAGCACCTCCAGACAAGTTGAATTTTTTCGGGGGCTCAACGTTAACTAAAGTACTTGTCTCCCGTCTACTGTAGGCTTTAGTAGATGTACCTGGAAGATTCGCTGTAGCATCTCGTACCATTTCCACATCCTTGTCATCATTGAATTTATCAAAACACGATACACCATGCACAACTGCAAGATGCAGTCTCAATTGCAGCTGCATTTGAGCCTTGTAACCACACAAGTGGCACGAAAACTCAGATACATCTTTGCGCTTCCTTTTACCTATACTCAGAGAGCATCCACTTCCATCTGGTAATTTCCTTATATAAAGCCAAGGAGCATCTACAAGCACACACCTCAGTGAAAAATACGAAAAAACTGGTGGAGGTGGACAAAACAATGTTTAGTTTATATGCTTTCTGAATTGCGTGACGTCCTGAATACTATTGATAATCATCAGAAACGACGTGCAATCAGAACATCGTACTTTTATGCTTACACATGGAAGCCGTAAGTACCAGTTAGTCCCGTGGGGCTACATTGCCTACCCCCTACAGAGACAATCACAAACAACGAAAATTTCTAGGACGGAATTCGAAACCGCATGGCTTCTGGCAACGGACTAGTTGGCACCTGGCCGCCGCGCCGCCTAGGAAAACTACAGATAATAAAATCATCTACCATCTACAGAGACAATCACAACCTCAAAGCTAGGAAAAATCCACCTAGGACTGTATTCAAACCCGCATGGCTCACGGCAATGGGTAAGTAGATACATAGACAAGGTTTAAGGCTAAACATTTGCGCCAACGAGCCGCATAGACCAATTACAGACATTTATCATCTACCCACTACATAAACAATCACAAAAACTTTTCTAGGACAGAACTCAAACCCGCATCGTGGAGACTCATCTTGAACAATTTATTGCGCCACCGAGCCATCTAGACAAACTATACGCACGGACTAGAGCATGTGTAGACAAAGGTAATCCGAAATACATCTTTTGTAATAACTTTTACGTCGAGGAAAATATTCATCTGAATTCTATTGTTTTTCTCACGATTTTGATAACCATGAAACTGTAAAACATCGATGATAGCTAATAATGATGTCAATTAGATGTAATCCATTAGTGTCAAAAATACTCGAAGCTGAATGAATATATTTTCAGACCAAATAACACACATTAAAAGAAACTAAAAATTAAGTAGAAAAATAAGTGTTTATTAATACATACAAGTAGCCAGAACTAAACATGTTGAGCTTCAAAAAAAATTAATCTCAAAAAGAATCATCAATACTGAAGATATTATTATACAATTTTTGCCACTAGATTAAAGAATTAGTCATAGTGAAAGACACCTTGATATTATTTGTTTAACAAGAAGTTTATATATAAATAGGAACCACTTAAGATGACATCCATGTCATTACGCTAAGTCAATAGCCTCACATTTTTTCAAGTACGCAATGTGACAATTCAGCTTGAGTTGAAACTTAGGACCAGTTACCAAGCAAGTTTTGGTAAATACTGTTTCCCGTGGATGTACCTGTTTTATCAAGTATAACAATTGTACAATTTGGTTAAAGGCATCTGATGTGTGCTTCTTATCATCACCCAAAAAAATTGTAAAACTTAAATCTAAACACTTTGAAACATAAACTATTCTACTGAGCATTTGTGGCTGAAATGAAGCTATCATGAAAAAGGAATATCGCTCTAAAGCTTGCAGGATTTGAGATCAATCAATTCAACACATATTTACATCATTTATATTCGTACCATGTTTCGCTTTCAATAACAATCTTTGAATGAATTATTAGGTCACAGCTTTGAAGGTTATAACCTTGACCGTCGCAGAAAAGTTTTTTCCTAAGCAGCCGAGTCAGCAATAAAAAATATTCAAAAGTTAGCATAGCATATAAAAAATATCTGTAGTTATGTATGAAAAAAGTCAGTCATTTTATGTGCTTTCCTCAAGTTTAATGAAGAGCTCAGGATTATTCTCCTGCAGTATCCCCAGCTTATCCTGATGCCTCCTTTTGATGTGCCTCAATTGGTGTGACCTTCGTTTACTCTTTTGATCACAGAATGGACAAGGAAACTGTGGCTCTTTTCCACATTCGTACGTCAAATGTCTTTGCAAGGAATCCTTCCTTATATACAACCTATTACAGTTAGTGCAGACAAATGAACCACGAATTCTTGATGTTCTCTTTTTCGGTTGATCATTTTCATCATCTGCACATTTTAACCATGGTGGAAGATGCTCTGGCTGATCTGCTACTTTCAATTCGGCTGTTACTGGCATATCTAAAAATATTTATTTTATTAGTATTAGGCGTTAGTACCATAAGAATCAAAAGGTCGACCAATTCAATATGAAGCTTGTATATAAATTCTGTTACATTTGACGTCTTTGGCTTATGCATAAACAGTAAAAACTGAGTCATTCCTACACTTACCACGCAACGCTGTCGTCAGTTGATAAGGATTTATGTTCAGTGCAAGTTAGCATTTCTCAAAATAGTTAGATATATCAGTCAGTCAAATAGGCCTACACAATTTTTCCATAGTCCCCATCCACTTGACAACGTTGCGATCTAGATATTTCTCCCCTGTCCTACTGTCACTACCGACCATCTGACAGCGTTACTATGACTAAACTCGCCACTCGCCAGCCAACAATCGGATAGACATAGTCCAGATGCGGGTATACCCAGAGACGCGTGCGTTGAAATTATTTCTCTAACATTCAAGGGAGCCAAAATCATGATCCTCATTGAATCTTCAAGATTTTGGCTGTAATGGTTGCAAATATGTATGGAGGAAACGGTTAATTTGAAATGAAACATGAGCGCATGAATGCAGACAAGTATGTTGACGTTTTACACAATACATTGAACAACAATACTGTAAAAAATGAGAATCAGGGATACATGTATATTTCAGTGGGATAAAGATCCTAAGTACACCGTTACTAAAACAAAGACTTTACAATGTTTTTGCATAACTCAAAACTGCACCGCAAACACAGTGTACGAAATCCCTATCAAGCATTTGTGGCAGTTGCTGGACCTGTCAAAAGACAGTACACGATGTTCTGCTGTAGAAATTGGACCAAACCAGACCTGAGATAATTCAGAATCCCCATGGCTCAGGACTTAACTGATGCAAATGGTATGATGACAAAGTACCATCTGTAAATAAATTTTGTTAACACTTATTTACTTATTTGTTTTTTATTGGTCCAATGGCTTTTTGGCCCTTGAATTTCATAATTCCAATAGTTACTCTCATATTATTTTTAATTTGCTCAATATATCGCTATCAAAAACAAAAATTTGGATGGCAGTTTTCAAATAAATTTAGTATAAAAAAATTCGTCTTTTCGTTATTGAGATTCAAGAAAAAAATAGGGTGTGCCAATACTTTTTTGAGCCACTATACAGATATATATATATATATATATAAAAGACATGAAGCATGTATGATAAAAATTGTAAAAGTGACATAACATAAGTACTAAGGTTAATCCGTTTCAAGCTGAATAGACAATACGTATTACGGATATTATTTTGTGGGGTTTCAATAGATATCTGCACAATTTATTACCAAAATTGTCGATATGTGAATGTGTGTTTCATATTTCGACAATCGTTATCCCTGTCGCTCAATGCCCTAGCAGTGATGTATTGTCTAAACACTTTTATAAATTCCTACTAAAGGACAGGAAATATGTAAATTTTTCCTATAATTCTGGCGAAAGTAATTTTTTCTTTGTTGTTATCGTTAGATTATTGCTTCCTAATGAGTCCAAACTGGCGTCAAAATCAACGAATCCATCGGAACTGTGCATTTGGACCGTAAATCATAAAAATGATATATAAAGTGACGCGAAACCATAGGAAATATGGAGTTCACTAGATGTTTATAGCTATGGAAGAATAACATTTCTGAACACGGACCTGTCTTTTTGAGATCCCAATTATTGTTAACGAGTTTTTGTCCAGCCGATGTAGATTGGAATTGGAATGTTGAATATTTGATCGGTTGTTTTATGTTATGTATCCAGGAAAATAGCACAACATTTCTACTCACAGTGCGTTCTGGTTCATGTTAGGCACTATTATGGTAAAAATCCAAGAAATGTTGTGTTTTGGTTCACTTATAATGCAATAAATTCACGAGTTCACACTGTCAGTTCAACCAACTGATTTGGTAGCAGGACTGGACTTGTAAAAATGCTACTAAAAGGAGACGATGCAGAAACGGGAAACAGTTGTAAGTATAGTCGTATACTCGTAGATAACTTTTTAAAATCATTTGAACTGTACATTTGTGTGAAAAACACAAATATGATACAAAGTGACGCGAAATTATAGGAAATATGGAATTTCCGAGTTGTTTCATAATTTAATAGCGTGTAGTTCATTTTTATAATTCACTATTTATGTTATTCATACGTCAGGTTGCACTTTTGAAAAAGCGCCACAAGCACTTCCAATGGATAAGTATTGGAAGTAAAATCCTACATAAATCAATCTGAAGCATCATTTTCATAGTTACTGATTTTAAGAAAAATCATCTTAAGTAAAACCAGTTTGCCGCTGATACCTTTTTTTCAGTGTCAGTGATCTATTTGGTGGGTTGTGAAAGGATGATGAGACTATAGTCAGTGCTTTGCATCCCGGGACACTTCCCAAAAGTTTTAATTTTTAGTGGAGGCTCCATGAGGAATGCAGGTGAAATTATGTCTTCTATCACTGTCTAGTACTAGCGTTATCCGCGTGGTGACGCCCAAGTAGTTGCCTATCCTCAATAGTACAAATTTGCTTGCAATATCTACGAAAAATCAAAAGATAGTCTACTAAAAGGACTGGTTTATTTTTTTTTAGGATCCTCTTATAACCTGTTGCAGTTATTACATTTTCACGAAACACTGTTTACCTAAAACAAATAGATTTTTTTCTGCGAATTAACATTTACTCGATAAGCTATAATTACCACATTATTTATATTTAATCCAGTGGCTAAAGTTGCTCATTTGAGCCATGTTTGTTATAAATGTGCAATCTCAAACTGGATTTTCTGTGGGTTCTGTGATGACAGTAAGGGCACTGGAGCTTTGGCGGCTGGCCGCATTCTCTCAGATGTACCAAGAGGTTGTACTTCTGCCGAAATCCCCTTCCACACATGCTACAGACGTTGTCCACTAAAAAATATCGACCTGTTAAATGTCCGATCCGAAAACCGCTATTTGAAGAATGTCATACTGAATACCAAAAAGTATTCATTTTTTTATTTGTTAATTTTTTTATAATGGTCCAGTCAAGCACTAGGCAACGAAACATTTGCCTGACTCAAAGATTTTTTCAGAAGTCCTCTCAGAAAATTTTGGTGAAGTAATAGTAGTTCGAAATACGATGTCTAAGATCTCTCCCGCATCAGAACGACATAGCGGCGTAGCTAGCATCAGCTTTTTACTTCCCACGCCTACTGGCGAGGAACTATTGTTATCGCGGGAAATTTCTAAAATGAGATATTATATTTTTTAGATGTTATATAACATCACGAAAAACTGTATGTTTGCTAATCCTTACCCAGTCTATAACTTAAAAAGTAATACTTGGATTTAGATGAAACTTGCGGACAAGATTACTACGCCAAGGACGAAAAAGTCAAACTCCTTTTTTAAAGTTTCAGAGGATCCTGATCATTTTGGGCATATTTCACACATATATTACCTGCCCTTGAGACCGGATGATGGAAAATATATCCTAAAGGAATTTTCATGACGAAACAGCTGGTATAAAAATACATGGACACCCTTTGCGCAATACTGGACACTGGACGATACAGTGCTTCTTATATCTAATATTTTGTCCAAGCCGTACAAGAAATAAATAGGTTTGGAATCATCGAACCACAGAACTATTAGTGACACAGCCAGCAGAGCTAAAATAAAAGGTTACCTTACCACATTGCATATAGAACAAAATTCATGACAATTCAATTTATTTAGATTATGACCATTGAATGGATTTATTTTACCTTCTAAAACTTATATTTCTATTAAATTTTGGAGATATTTATAAAACATAGCTGGTTTGCCATTTATTAACAAAATTAAAATAATCGAACCTCATCGGTTCAGTTTTTTGTTCGTCGACTATGTGTTCCCTTTCACTGTCGTTTAAGAACAATTTCTGCAAAACTCTCGCCGACTTAGTAAGTAATTATATTTTTTCCTCCTAATTATTTGTTGCTGATATTTTTCAAAAATTGTTTTTTAGCTACAGACGATGATGGCATAGACCATCGAAAGCTCGAGACAAGGTGTAAGACTCTACTTATGTAAAACTTTGCCTTCTACCCAAAGAAATTCAAGGATATTGTCTCCTAACAGTTAAGACAATCAACTATGAAAACTATGATATAATATATATATATATATATATATATATATATAACTTGAGACGTGGTCATTGTCGTCTAGACCAGTTAGGTGAAAAATTAAAGCTTCCGCCTTTTGTTGGGTACGACAAAATTTAAGCAAAGAGGACTCTTTATACTTTTTTTAATTCTCTCTAGCTTTCAATGGACTTTGCCATCATCATCAGGAGCTGCAATTACAATGGTAACAGTAGCAACAAAAGTGTAAAATGAATTTAAATTGATGATGATGGCAAAGTCCATTGAAAGCTAGAGAGAATTAAAAAAGTATAAAGAGTCCTCTTTGCTTAAATTTTGTCGAAGTACCCAACAAAAGGCGGAAGCCTTATATATATACTCTGATCGTATAATGTTTTATTCATTCCCTGATAACAAGGATAAATTAAAAATGACAGAAATGCTCTTTATGCTTATTTGCGTATGAACACCATTCAAATTTGATTTTCAATGGGCTTTGTAAACACAGTACAGTCATGAAATTTCAACTTTGGCGGTTGACCATACACTGTGTCTCATGTGTATCAAAAGGTTGGACCTCTGCTGGAAACCTCTCCCACACATGCTACAGACGTAGAAAATATTTACCTGTTAGGACGTTCAATTATCTAGTTTTGAAGGGGATACTAGCCTGTCAGTATCCTAAATCATTAAACGCTAGGGATCGATCAAAGCTTCGTCTTCGGTTTCGGTCGCATTCAGCTAAAAAATCCACCTGCCGAAAACGCCTACCAGAAAGCGGGCGTATTGTGGATTTGAAAATGTGCACAATCTTGGTCAGCGAATGGTACAATTGGAACATTTTTCAAAAGGTCCTGAGGAACGTTTACGAATATGGGCTTCAAGTTCATTTTTCTACTCTGAAATATCTTTACGATTCCATTTAATACCACTTTTTTCAAATAGGTAACTCCGGAGAAGCAGCAGCACTCCGTCCGTATGGAAAAGACATGTTTTTCAAAATTACCTAGACTAAAAACACGTTATGCAGAGTATCATGTCAGTCAGCTTATCGTGGTCCTGTAGCAAACTCAGATGGTAAATGGCGTTTTAGCATATTCACTAGATCATTACTCGACACATACAATCGCTTTTATAATATACTAAGTGACATATAAATCCGAGAACACCCAGTTTAAATGGTTTTATTTTAATAAAATTTTGTATAAGTACTTAATGAAGCATAATAAGTAAATGATAAAAATTTCAAAATGATTGCACTGCTTTAAAGCCCTTTGACCTTTAATAATGTGTGGATGCACCCTGATGTGCTACGCATTCTCCAATGCGCCTTGGCATGCTTCTGATCAGGTGGTCAATGTCCTCCTGTGGTATCTCATTCCAGGCAACCACCAACTCCCCTCGAAGTGCTTCTAGAGTCTGAGGAGGACGTTGCAAATTGAGCAATCTCCTACCCATCATATCCCACACGTGCTCAATTGGGGATAAGTCGGGAGTTCTTGGTGATCATGGTAACAATGTGACATCATTATGTTGAAAGAAGTCTAATGTGACTCTTGCAACATATGGTCGGGCATTATCTTGTTGGAAAGTTGGATCTGCCAGGGTGTCAAGATAGGGTAAAATATGGGGGGTTCTAGAACTTCGTGGATATAACGCTGCGCGTTCATGTTACCTCTGATGAAGATTAAAGGTGACCTGGAACCATAAGCTATAGCACCCCAAACCATAACTCCAACAGTGTGATGAACATGTCTTTCAACAAAAAACTGTGGATTCCTCCTTTCACCACGTCGCCTTCTAACCCTGGCACGACCATCGTGCATGCCTAAACAAAATCGAGACTCGTCACTAAAGACAATACTGTTCCATTCCTGATCCCAGAGTGACCGTTGTCTGCACCACTCAAGGCGATTACGTCGGTGTTCTCGAGTTAAAGGGAGGACCCAGTGTGGCCGGTATGAAAACAAGCCAAAACTTCTCATTCGTCGGTAAACACTTCGCATGCCAATAGGTCTTCCGTGTTCTGCAAACCATTCATTTGCAATGGACCTGGTAGTGGAGAAACGGTCCCTTAAGGCCAATAAACCTAGGCGGCGATCTTCACGGTCTGTTGTTCTACGGCGGCGTCCAGTGCCCCTTGCTCTTTGCGTACGGCCTACTCGAAGCCATGATTGACAACACCTAACCACAGTGTCTACACTTCTTTGCACTCTAACTGCAATTGCCCGAAAAGAAAGTCCAGCTTCCCCAAGTCCCACTATACGGCCCCTATCAAACTCACTAAGTTGAAATCGTACAGGTCTCCGTACTCTAGGCATCGTAACCGATCGTAAAGGATGTCAAGAACCAAAATCCGCCAACGTTGATTCTTTACTGCGGCTAAAATATTCATTTTTAGAGCGTTAGTGAATTAAAAAAAAGCAGTATAAAAACCGGAATGTCCAACTGATAAGGCTGAACATTTTTTCACTTGTTATTTACAGTAAGATAAATACATTCACCAACTTTTATTAAAATAAAACCATTTAAACTGGATGTTCGGATTTATATGTCACTTAGTATATTACCAAGCTATTCAATCGCGTTTTCTTTCAGTGAAGCCAGTGTTGGACTGGTGCATATTCCAAATTTTTATAACAGAACCAATTTATATATTCATGTATTTTTGGTGCACATTTTGAACTAGTTTTTCACTCAGTGTAGAAACATACAGGACTTGGAGCAACTCGGGCTGGTATTGTCTACTGCCTTCTGCTTCAATTTCGGTCTTTGAATGAAGCCGTGCTATTTTCTCGTGGTTTACTATTATTTTTTTCAACGATTCATCATAGTAACACGGAAAAGGACCAAGAAACGAAAAATATGCTTCATTGACAGATTACTGCACGCGACACGACATGAGAGTTGTTTAATGTTGTATTGGGAGCAACTTTAGGATCAAAGGTATTAACTAAGGTAGAGTATTTTAAACACAAAAACTGCGCTAATTTTATCAGAAGAAAACACTATATCCCTAAGCCACAGAAGCAAAGCGAATCTTAGGCTTTCGATTCTCCCATCACTAGTGTGATGAAATGACAATTTGTCCCTCCTTGGATTACTTGAAATAGTGATGTGCCTTCTAGTTCGTTTCATTAAGTTGCGTTCAGTTCTAGGTACTGGTTCGTGAACAAACTGCAACAATACCATAAAAAATATATGTACAGAAACATAGCAGATATTCCAGTCTGTCAGTCGAGATAACGTAAAAACGATTCAATTCATATCTTTTAACCGTTCCAATGCATTCCACTGTTTGCAAATGTATTCTCGCAACACTAAGATTGTGAGACACTAATTTCAAATGTCAATTCTTCTTTGGTCTATTCTCCTTCTCCAACGTTACTGTAGTCAATGTTTTGTGATCACTTGTCTCTTGTTGTTTTGAGCTTGTTGGGTTTTTTCTGAAAAATGGATTTTCCGTATAAAAAGTGCTCCCTACAAGATCTTTCTCCACATATTACACTGTCGTGTACAGTTAAATCTGCACTAACCCCCAAATACGGGGTTATGTTGAGTGTACCATGTACCATCACCGATGGTGTGACTGATACACTGAAATCAAAATAAAAAAACTGCAACTGCAATTGAATGTATGAATGAAATCTTGAACAGTTTCGGACCAGTGGTGTCAAAATGTCGTTGAGGAATTGGAAAGAAGTGTATGAATGTGTTGAAACGCAACACCTAACAAAAAATTGAATGAAAAGGCTTTTTCATGTAAGAATGCAAGTAGCAATAAACATGGAGAAACCTTCAGCTAAACTGAAAAAAATTGATTTTATTCAGCCATCAAGCATTTTTATTTTAATTTGGCTCAGTTTTATATAATTTCGTAATATTTAATAAACTGAAAACATTTCAATGGCAAGCTGTCACTTTATATTTTACAGTGTTTTGTTTTGAATACTTTGATGCTATTTGCTGCCAAAAATTTGACGGAGAGGTCTTGAGGCTGATTGGGTATATTTGACGGACTGTTTAGTACTCGTACCCTATTGGTGCAGAATAATGGTTTGTTAAATTGAGAAATCTGCCCTAAGGCCCGTATCGTCAGTCGTCCCTACAATTGTAGGGCGCCTCTATGGCCTCCTTGATTGTCATAGTTTTCTACTTTTCCGTGTCAGCGCTTGATTTTGAGGTTATGTCACAAATATCTATTTGCATCAAATTGTGCTTGCTTTTGAGTTATATCATGTTTTATCAGCCTGAAATTTTCGGCAATTTAAAAAGAAAACATATCTTCACAATAGGAGAGCACTGACGCTGACACGGGACAGGTACAATCTAGAAATTTTTGAAGGAGAGAAAGGAGTATGACAAACAAGGAGGCCATAAACGCGCCCTACAATTGTAGGAACGACTGACGGTACGGGCCTAAGCCTACCAATTTTTAAAAAAATTAGATAAGTCATTCGTCAGATATTCAATGGGTTCCAAACTTTTGTTACAGCATGTATATGAAATATACATATAAATATCGAAGACATTGATAAAAGTCGACGAAATAAATCTACTGTGAATGAGTTTTCTCGCCAAATCCGTAAAACCATTCTGTTCATATTGACAAAATTCTGGAATTTCTTTATAATTGAAAAGGATATGACATATTATGTGGCGTGTTGTGCGGAAATAGGCACTGGTTCTAAGTTTTGGGTGTATTCAAAGTTACAATGCAAGTGTGATTTTACAATATAAAAATGATTTCCCCCACTCCTGCGTACAACTGGACTCAGTGGCGGGACATGTAGGGCGCTTCACGCAGTGGCAGGACATGAGGTATATGGAACATATTATAATAGTCACTTATAACCAAGTTGCTACATATACAATATCGTCAAATTTACCTTTAACCTAGCCAAGTATTTACAAGTTCGGACCGTTGCAACGGCAATCTAAGACATCTAACTTTTGAGATTGACCTTAACAGATGGATCATCTTTGCTAATTATGGGTACAAACCAACGTTGTCATAATATATGGTACGTCATGAACGCAAAGATCCATGAAAATAAATATAGCTCTATTGTAAATTCAAAAACTCAATTTCGGTTGAAAAGTTTGTGCATGCAAAACTACAAGAAGACCGGAAGGCAAACGGTCTGTCCCATTTATATACCCCAAGATTAAAATTACAGCAAATTAATTCTCTCTGCTGCTAATAAACCTCGATGGCAGCTGACAGTTATTTGGTAGCCAACACTGAGTCTTGCAAATAAAATATAAGTTAGCTGCAATTTAATAATTGGTTGATTCTATTGACATTTGACTTACAACTTTGCTTTACTATTTTGTTTCTCAATATACTCATTATTTCACTCTTTTGCCTGCAACGAAATTTGAGACAAATAGGCTATAGTATAGTCCAATCGCGACTACCGTAGTTTGCTGTTATCACATACAGTGATTCAGCCATTTTGAAAGAGGACGAGACCTCAGCGAGTAAAGAGTAAGTTCTATTAGAATCAACATTTCTCTGTCTAATGAGGGACCTTGTTATTTTGGATTTATTGGATTTATGATAACATACACAGCTGTGGCGTTAGTAGTACTTCAACAGTCATTCCCTTCTGAATCAACCGGGCAGAAATAGGGAAAAGATCGCAGAGCAATGATTCCTGGTAAGTACGTTCGTTCAATTTTTCAATTGTAGACTGCAAGACACCGAGACACGACTTTCAATCTTTCCAAATTATTTTGATCCATTCAGAGCATACTAACTGAATTAAGTATTACTATGGAACCGGGAAGTGGGAATTTCTTACTTCTTCTTGAAGAAAATGAAATTTTTATTTATCTATTTGAACAGACCCATGAACATATTATATTAGAGCCCATAAAGGAGATAAACAAAATATCAGCATAAGACAAAGCGTAAATATATGTACCTTAAGCAAAAGTTAACAGATAGAAAAAAGAATATTAAAATAGTATATATATACAGGGTGACTTCGAAGTTGAGACATATATTTTAACAGTGAGTAGATCTGATCAAAAGAAATGTTTTTTTCCTTTACCATTTTTCTGGTAAAATTAAAGTAACAAAGTTATAGCCCTTTGGAAGTTTGAGTATCGCCCTGTCTCAATGATAATATTATGTGCTCGTGTTTGGCAACAACGGATATAATCCGCCATCGGTTCATCGCATCGGAAACAAAAAAGCGAAAGAATTTGGAACGATGTTTTTACAATTATTTTATTCAGTTGTGTTGTATACACTCAGTGTACAGTCGGTAACGCGTCAGTGAATAGTAGTGTCTGTTGCGTGGCTCAAACGAAATAAAAAATGGCACATGTTTATGCGGATCGGTTTCCCAATCGAGTGCAACCAACCCCTCGTGCCTTTGTTAATGTAGTACAACGAGCTCGTGAATCAGGTGACTTAAGACGGCATTCCGGTGCTCCAAGACCTCGCGATCAAATACAGGTCCGCACTGAAATACTTGTCGGGAGGATACTTTATAAAACAAGGTAAATTTTTTTTTATTTTTACACACATATTTTGGTTTATTTTCCTTCTACAATCATTATATGAAAATTAATGACTCAACTTCAAAGTCACCCTGTATATATATACAGGGTGTCCGCAAAGTTGGGGTTTTCCTTTTCAGAAACAACTACCATTGAAATAACAAAGGTAATGTGTAGTGAAACGAGGGCGACCAAGTAAAAAAAAAATAAAGGAAAAAGTACTCACTCTCCAGTTGACGAGAATGGCTAAGTACGTCTCTGCCTGAAATCGAAAGTTATTCACCCCATTACGCGTGAACGTAGATTCGTCTGTCACCAATATGCACTTCAAAAGGTCCGGATTATTGTCATGTTGATGCAACAACCACTCACAAAACCGCACTCTTGCTGGAAAATCATCAGGTTGAAGGGCTTGTACACGTTGGCCGTTTGCCACACTTTAGTTTATGATATTTGCACTTCTCTAGCCACGTCTCTAGTGCTTGTTGAGGGATTCTCGTCTACGCGATTCAGTAGTTCTTCCTCAACTTGCACCATTCGTGGTTGTCTAGGCCTCCCACTGTGCCCACCTCGAAATTCATCCAAATGGCCCGTATCCCTGACTCTCTGGACCAGGTACACAAATCTGCGGGGCCTTGGATGATGTCGTCTAGGGAAACGATCTGCATACACTCGCGACGATTCTGTAGCATTTTGAAGACATTCGCCATAAATTAACAACATCTCAACGAGTTCATTATTGGTGTATGAGTGTGCCATTATTATTAATTTTTTTTTGAAACGCAATCGATTATACGGATTCGTTACCTCTATACGCGTGACCCTTTACCGTCGGTTGAAGGTTGCATACTGACCTGACACACTGACCCCGACCCCCGACCCAGTTCTGTCGTCGGGTTCAGCTAGTAGCCGGTACCAGTCTGAGATATCGCGGCGGGTCGCGGCTACAGGATGGTATTCAGATATTTTCGATGTTGCAGAGCCCTTTATCTCGGTTCCCTTCAGACATTGGTGTATATGGTACTAAGAAAAATTGCTTATGTTTTCAAGATCTACACGTCGTGTAAAGGAAAACCCCAACTTTGAGGACATATATATATATATATATATATATATATATATATATACGTACAATGTAGGGGATTTAGGGAGTGTAAATAATGTATATTGATTCTACAGTTCCGTCCAAGCTTCTTAAATTTTATGGGATGTCACTACTCTTGGAAATGCATTTTTCATCTGTTGCCTGAACTGTATCGCATGAAAACATATTTTAACTAAGAAATCTCTTTTTGATCTCAGAAAGTCCTTGCTCCGGATGTTTACGAGTTATATGCTTCTTGAGATCTACCACAGTATCTCCTTTGTATGAACATCCCTCAACTACGCAGCTGTAACCTGGTTCAGTCTCACATTCACAGCTCAAGTGTGTGAAAGGCGACATTGTGCAAGTTCTAACTAGGCACACTTGACCACTTCTTTCACTATTTCTGGCGTCATCTTTATCACTTCTTCCATTTCCATCTTCTTCTAATGGAGTCCTTTGTTTATTATTTTCTTCATAATTTTCATCTCTACTCTCGCTTCTTTGCCCTTCTTCATCCTTTTGATTGCTCACAGTTGTGACACTTATCATTTTCCTCTTATTTGCCTTTGCCTGAAGCATTTTATTGTATTTAGGATGAATATTGGCCATATGTCTTTTCACGCTGACCTCATACTTTCCTTTGTAGGTACACCCTTCAACTAAGCAATGGTAGCCAGGTTCTATCTGACATTCAAATTTCAAATGTCTTGTTAAAGAATGTTTTCTTTGGTAAACGTTGCCACATTTAGGACATTCGAATATGTCGTATTTATATTTAACCAATTCACTGGTTGTTTGGCTTGCCAAATCATCCTCATTCACTTCAGCTTCTTCCTCAAGCATCACTGATAATGGATCAGCTGACTCTAGCAAATGGGGCCGGACATAGACCCAAACTCCTGGAAAAAGCATGAGTTAATGTTACAGCATACAAAGATGACTTTTACGCACACGTTTAGTAGTGAAAAATACACATACACGTACAATTATGAGAGATATCAGTTAACTCTATAAAAATACGTATTAGGCATATGTCTGCGCTTCTTAAAAATAAACAACTGTAATTCAAATTATAAAATGTTTCAAATGAAGGGTACCTCTAGGAGAAAACTAGTTTTAAAGCAAAGATGCAAATTATCAAAATAAAGGGAAAACTACTTTTATAAAGCAACAATGGTTGTACTACTTTGAAGTCAACTTAGTTCATATCAGTCCCTGGCTATGAATTAGGCTTATGACATGGTTTATCATGCTTTGTAATAATTATTTAATTCTTTTTTCGTGAAACATTTCTGATTAAAATTTATGAAATATTAGATATATTGTTTGTTTTTTTTTGTAGATTATGGTGTGTACTTATGCAAATGTTTAATCTTGATGTGTTTTACCTGGGTTAAGTTGAAAAACAGCTTTGCTGACATCCCTCCTTTTTACCTGTGCTACTTTGTACTGTGTGAATAAAGCCCTGTTATTATTATTATATATAGGTATGTATGTGATGGCATTAATAAGATACACAATGAAATCACAATAATGCAACACAGTATATTAAGAACTTAGGTAAAGTATAATAAAAATTAATTTGAAAAAGTTTACTAGCAAGTATACCAATGTACAGTTTTTCTTAATTACAAATATTATAAACTTAAACGGAAGGTATAAGAAGAATAAAACAATCACCCAAAAAAGAAAACTATGATACAGTGTAAATTTGTTTCAAGAATCACTGATTACTTCTGGGTGCAGGAGGTGAGGTTGAAGAAAAGGGAAATAATATCATGTTATATGTCTTTCACAAGTGCGATGGCGAAGTTGAAGCTTTTAAATATTTGGGTGTTGCGGTTGCTAAAAGGTCCAGAAGACCTTACTGATAGAAGTTCAAACTGACTAATGCCCGGTCACCTAGCTACATCGACTTTAAGCCAATCTAACCTAAAATGTACTATGGTTTTAACATCTCGACGGTCAAGTGTACCGAATTTATGTTATGTTTAAGAAGTTTGAATTACTGAAATGTGGACATATATTGCAGAACCTGATGAAGTATCCTCGTTTCCAGGGATCTGTCTTGTCTCTCGTGTTGTTGCCGTAAGATATTAACGACTTCCTAGCCTGTACGATCAACCCGATCCACAGGTTTGCCGATAACAGCACTCTACACTCTCTTCGGAGTGACAAGCCAATCTCTGCCGGTGAGCGGGAGAAAAGAAACACTAGCAGCGACTTCTTCTCTAGCGAGAGAGCTGGGGCAGTTTAATGCTTCCAAGACACAGTACTATATCTTGACTAAGAAAAAGCGCCCTAACGCTTACACCAAGTTGAAATTTAATAAAAATCATCTAAGAAATTGATAAAATTATCCCAGAAGCATTCAAGAAAACTATATGGATGAATATATAATTATTCATCTACTCTCCGATAGATGGCGCTGCATATCGGTAGCTACCACAACGTCCACCGTTTTGAATGACTAGCTTGAGCTGCTGAAATCCGTTCAGTAAGTCCCAGTAAGCAAGATCAATACGTAATATTAGATACTTATACCAAGTTGAAATTTAATAAAAATCAACTAAGAAATTGATAAAATTATCCCAGAAGCATTCAAGAAAACTATATGGATGAATATATTATTATTCATCTACTCTCCGATAGATGGCGCTGCATATCGGTAGCTACCACAAGGTCCACCGTTTTAATGACTACCTTGAGCTGCTGAAATCCGTTCAGTAAGTCCCAGTAAGCCAGATCAATACGTAATATTAGATATAATAAACCAACAAAACAATGTTTTCATCAAAAAATGGGGGATCTTTAACCCCCCTCACGGAAATTTAAGTTTCTTGATCTTTGAGGATGTGTATAACGCCGAGATATACTAAACAGCTGTTTATTTCGGCTGGTCAGAGTCCAGATCACCGAGGACTTGATCTGGCACGAACACATCTCGTCAACTGTTGCAGCTGCTGGGAAAAAGCTAAGCTATTTGTTTCGAGCTAAGAAATACTTTTCTCCGCATGACGTCCTCACTCTATTCAAGGCCCAGATAAGACCTAGCTTTGAGTATTGCTCACACGTTTGGGGTGTTGCCGCCCCGACTACATTATCTATTTATGCTCTATGCTGTCCAGAGGAGGGCTGTCCGACTATTTGATGATTCTTCTACAACAGACTGTCTCGGGGCCCTTTCGCACCATCGGCCCGTCGGCGACCTAGCTCTCTTCTACCGCTACACCAACGAGTTCTGCTCCTCAGAGCTCTTCTCCATGATGCCGCCGCGCGATGTGCCTGCCAGACAAGACCTGCCTGACTTCGGCCGCCCATCTTAACAGAGTCGAACTTCGTAGATCCAGAACTGGCCGATACGACCGCTACTTTGTCTCGAGGCTGTCGCGATTGTGAAACATTCTACAGGAGGAAGCTTTCCCAGTTCTAATAACCAGTTCAAAAATCGGATTAACAAAATTTCTTTGGGATCCTCATTTTGGCATTTTGCTACTGCCTGCGCGGCTGCTTCGGTACAAAAAGGAAGTTTGGTTTAAAACTGATATTTTTTCTTATTTAATATATCTATATGTATGTAGCAGAGTTCAAACCACTCTGCATTTGACGTGCATGTTATCTAGTACAAGGTCGGATGTCAGATACATAGGATTTGAGAGCTTTTGCTAAGAGTTAGGAAAATAAGTATAACAAACCATATATGGTTAGGTTAGGAATCAGAAAAAAGCGAAATATATGTATAGGGTATTCTATTTAAAGAAGACATTCAATACCACTCTCTATATAGAAAAGACACCGCATGAAAGCTTTATATATAAAAAATAGAAAAATAATGGGCTATATATATATATAGCCCATTTTCTAGCAGGTCATACAAAAATATTAGGGGAAGTATCAATTTGTAGCGGCGACATGAGTTATGCTATCTTCCATTTTGGTCCCTTGCTAAAGTAAAAGAAATTGTATAATGTAATAGTAGAAATGATGTAATTTTTGATCGCGTGATCATATCTCCCTTTTATTCTACCTCAATACAGAATCCGCATGACAATACTATCAAGGTACTTATTTCATATTACTCTGATCTTCCAGGAAAAGCACGCACTGAGCTCTCTCGCTGATGCCATAGACTTGATGACGATTGAATAGGTGGCTCTCTACATGGACTTTCTGGTAAGCTTTGTAGTTGCATTTTCCACAAGCGAACTTGCGTGGCTTGCCGCATTCGTACTTCACATGACGGTTGAAACTGCACTTTGCTGCATACGCCTTCCAGCATTTGGTGCAACGGTATATTTTATCTGGAACTAAGTCTAGTTATCAAATGTGTATATTCCTTGAAGTGAAATAAGACTCTTCGTTTTATGAAACGACAAAACAATATAATGGATGTCCCATAATAAGATGGCAATAGAACACAAAAAAGTGTCCCTACCAAAAGAATCTCCGCTATGGAGATACAGACTTCTAAGGTTCGATTTTACGTTGGCCCGCATGTTTAATAACCCCAGGGTCCAAATTGACCAATCAAAGCGTTTTCTAAAATATCTCCCCAACTAGCATTGTCTAATCCCCGCAATGAATCAATATATCAATCAATCATTTTCAATCATTTATTTTAGCTACAAAAAGCTATTTTCCCATTTGGCCTCCAAGTCAACATTTGCGTCCGGGAAGGAACTAATTTTGGACAAAAAGAATATCATCAAATGTCCATAACTCGGCTGTCTGATGTGAGTAGATGAAACACTGTTTGGCTATCACATCGTCTGCAATATTCCTGGTTTTGATCAAGGTATTTCAGTATACATATAACGTATGTATACCCCTTTAGGGAAAAAGATTTAATAAACCGGATCGTAAAATTAGAATAGCCTTTTGTAGGCGCGAGCACCCGCGTAACTTGATCGCAGATGGTGCCTCGATATCCAGTCAAAGACGATAAGCCAGTCAAATTAGCTCTAAATACTTTTTAAGCATAATATGAATACTTGAAAAAACAGATTATTTCGCACGGAGATCAAATGAATTGAATATTTACCCGAGGCTTGTTAAATTATGAACAATCTGTAATTGAATTTATGTCTACCACTCCTCCAAAAAATTTATCAGGCGAAGTTTTGTACTGCAATGGCACACAGCCATAATAAAAGTTAATTAAGGTGTTGTTCACATCTTCGCTTAACAATCAACATATACTAAGTGACATATAAATCCGAACACCCAGTTTAAATGGTTTTATTTTAATAAAATTTTGTATAAGTACTTAATGAAGCATCATAAGTAAATGATAAAAATTTCAAAATGAGTGCACTGCTTTAAAGCCCTTTGACCTTTAATAATGTGTGGATGCACCCTGATGTGCTACGCATTCTCCAACGCGCCTAGGCATGCTTCTGATCAGGTGGTCAATGTCCTCCTGTGGTATCTCATTCCAGGCAACCACCAACTCCTCTCGAAGCGCTTCTAGAGTCTGAGGAGGACGTTACAAATCGAGCAATCTCCTACCCATCATATCCCACACGTGCTCAATTGGGGATAAGTCGGGAGATCTTGGTGGCCATGGTAACAATGTGATATCATTATGTTGAAAGAAGTCTATTGTGACTCTTGCAACATGTGGTCGGGCATTATCTTGTTGGAAAGTTGCATCTGCCAGGGTGTCAAGATAGGGTAAAAGATGGGGTTCTAGAACTTCGTGGATATAACGCTGCGCGTTCATGTTACCTCTGATGAAGATTAAAGGTGACCTGGAACCATAAGCTATAGCACCCCAAACCATAACTCCAACAGTGTGATGAACATGTCTTTAAACAAAAAACTGTGGATTCCTCCTTTCACCACGTCGCCTTCTAACCCTGGCACGACCATCGTGCATGCCTAAACAAAATCGAGACTCGTCACTAAAGACAATACTGTTCCATTCCTGATCCCAGAGTGACCGTTGTCTGCACCACTCGAGGCGATTACGTCGGTGTTCTCGAGTTAAAGGGAGGACCCAGTGTGGCCGGTATGAAAACAAGCCAAAACTTCTCATTCGTCGGTAAACACTTGGCATGCCAATAGGTCTTCCGTGTTCTGCAAACCATTCATTTGCAATGGACCTGGTAGTGGAGAAACGGTCCCTTAAGGCCTATAATCTTAGGCGGCGATCTTCAGGGTCTGTTGTTCTACGCGGCGTCCAGTGCCCCTTGCTCTTTGCGTACGGCCTTCTCGAAGCCATGCCTGACAACACCTAACCACAGTGTCTACACTTCTTTGCACTCTAACTGCAATTGCCCGAAAAGAAAGTCCAGCTTCCCGAAGTCCCATTATACGGCCCCTATCAAACTCACTGAGTTGACGAAATCGTACAGGTCTCCGTACTCTAGGCATCGTAACCGATCGTAAAAGATGTCAAGAACCAAAATCCGCCAACGTTGATTCTTTACTGCGGCTGAAATATTCATTTTTAGAGCGTTAGTGAATTAAAAAAAAGCAGTATAAAAACCGGAATGTCCAACTGATAAGGCTGAAAATTTTTTCACTTGTTATTTACAGTAAGATAAATACATTCACCAACTTTTATTAAAATAAAACCATTTAAACTGGGTGTTCGGATTTATATGTCACTTAGTATATTTTGTTAATGTTCTCTGGTACGTATGTTTTAAATTTGGTTCTTTACAACGTGGATATGATACTTGTTCCTGATTGCCCAAATTTGCTCTCAACGAGCAAACTTTGGTCCTGCAAAAGACAAATTTTTGTAGCTACACAATATAATTCCTCGCTAAATATTTCAGAAGAAATCGAATATACGCATTGGATCCATTACCTTAAAATGATTTCTGATTGGTCAATTTTACCAGCAGGTCATATTTAGTAATTAGTGACAAAAAAAACAGGACCTACACTTTTAGGTCAATTTGTCAAATTTAAAATTTAGCTGAAGTACGAAATAGGGTGGTATTAAAACATTTTTTTTTTTCAAAAAACGACTCATTTTATCGATATCAATTACGAATAAATCATTTTCAGCTTAAGGATCAGGCTTTACAAAGATGTGACAGTCTAAATTTGTTGCAATACTGCATTATGGCTATCTTCTTAGTGATAATATATTCCGCACACATACTTGATATTCAATCTAACTTTGATGCAAGAGTCATAAAGCAAACAAGAGATGCATTCTAAGTACATTTATGTTTGCATATTTAATGAATTTATTTCAACTTCGGCGCTTTACAGGCCGAACATGAACTTGTAGATGGTGCTTATGTATGAACCGTCTGTCGCAATTTTCACATAGAAATGCTCGGGATTCACAGCATTCAAACTTGATATGTCGATGCAAATGTCTTCTGTGCTTGTAGCTTTTCGAGCAGATTTCACATTTGAAGGCATATTCTGAAAACATTACTGACTTGTAGCTTTCTTACTCATAGGAAAACATTTCCTTCCAGAACACATCGAACTAATGTATTATATTGTAAATAGCAATGTTCTCTTAAATATTTGCAATGCAATGTTTGTTTTTAAAAGATGTGCGTTGTAGACATCCTGCAATGCTAGGAGGTAGGAGGGTGTCCAGTGGGAGAGTTCACATTTCAAATTTGAATTACGCGGTATCCTTATGCGCGAGAAAGTGGGGAGAGGTCTTGATGAACGCATTCGGATAGCCACAATGTAACGCTGGACCGGAGTGCAACGTGCTTTTGCTATCGAGGCTTACGTCAAGAGTGGTGATTCATACGCAGCTGCACACGATACAACATTCGCCGACCAAGAGATGTCCCAAGTAAGAACCTATTGAAAAAGTGGATTAAGAAGTTCCGTGAAACAGACTCTGCTCTTAGTCAACCCATTCCTGGCAACACACACACTGTATCAACCGAAGAAAATATGCGTCGAGTAAGTGATTCGGTAACTGCAAATCCTCGGCGTTCTGTACGGAAGCATTCCGCTTCTTTGGGGATCCCTAGGTCAACACTGCATGGCATAATGAAGAAAAAAATGGGTATTCATCCTTATAAAATCCAATCAGTCCACGCCTCAAAGGAAAGTGATTACGTATTACGGAAATCTTGTGCTGAACGGATGTTGAACCTATTTTCCTACGCAGCGCAGACTCGAGAACGACAAGGCCCATATTCACTTAGACGGTTATGTGAACAAGCAAAATTGCAGATACTGGGCACCAACGAACCCGAAAGAGAAACATCAACAACAGCTACATAGTCCAAAGGTGACTGTCTGGTGCGCCATATACTCTAGCGCTATTATTGGGCCGTATTTCTTTGAAGATGAAAACGATTAGGCATTGACAGTCAATTGCGAGCGATACAGGGACATGATTGACGCTTTTTTGCTCCTATTGTAAAAACAGAACGTCGATTTAACAGAAACACATGGTTTCAAAAGGATGGGGTCACTGCCCATACTTCCAGAGAATCGATGGACACGGTGACAGAGCTTTTTCCTCAAAAAGTTATATCGAAGTTTAGAGACATTCACTGGCCTCCTAGGTCACTGGATGAGCTTAAAGACAACATTCGACGAGAAATAGACAACATCATTCCGGAACTCTGTAAGAGAGTGTTTCGGAATTTGCGCGCGCGATTAGAAGAGTGTGTCCGAAGAGATGAAAACATGCATCCGTAATTTTTGCATAAGAAAGTATTTGTAAAGTTCTTAATAAAGAAAATTTCTATTCGATTTTTCCAAAAAAAAGTTTCTATCAAAAAATATGTTGGATTCAAAATTGTACAATCCTGTAGGTACTGTGGTTAAAAAACTAGGTATGATATCGAAAAAGAGAAAATACGATTCTCTCTCTCTCAGGTCTGCATTTTATTTCGTTGCTGAATCTTCATCGTTTAACAGGTTGACAATGAATAATGTGGAGACAGAGGGCTGCCATTTTAAATTGGATTAACCAATCAACGAAGGGTTGGCTGGTCACCAGTCGCGAATGGTGACGTCACGCCGATAGCGTTGCTTTTTCACTTTTTAATTTCGACCGATGTTTTTCCATTTTTTATTAAGTAATACTCGTATATTTATACCGACATCATTGACTGATATTTGAATCACATGCATATTCCCTATTAGCGCCAATAATTTTATCTATGGACATGAGGAGCAATGGGTAAACTGGGTTTAATTTTTAACGCCTATCCGAAAGAGCATACGATGGGGTTCAAATTTCGCTGACGTCGTAATGTGTACGAGGCCTCGACAACCTCTGTTGCTAGAGAACGAAGTGCTTCTATCTCTTTCTAACACACGTATTACACGCTTCTCGCGCTTCTCTTTCGTATGACGTCAGTGGTTTATGGTTTTCACTGCATACAATTAACATCTTACACAAGCTAAGTAAAAGCCGTGCCTGCGCGAATTGATATTCTAGGATAAATGTTCCGTTGGTTACGGACGGTCATTTGCAGTCGATATCATACAATAATTTTGTTTGTATGGCTGTATTTGATAGCCCCTGATAGAAACTCCTTGTCGGAGTCTTCATGTCTTATTCGGCTCACAGCATAATATGCTGGCAGTATGAAATGATTCCTCCTTCACCAAATTACCAACAGAAAATATACAGAAACACATAAAAACAGTAGGTATGAATTTAATGAACAAAATAAATACAGGTATACTAAAAAATACCCCACCAAAATATATTAACATAATTGTACTCTAAAATAAGGATAATGATGATACAAATAAAAATATGTATACATTATATAAACAAGTACTTTTCACTAACTCGTTATCAAATATTGTAAAATGTGTGATGCTTAGCAATTAAACGTCATTATAGAAACACAATATAATATAAATTACAACAATGAGGAACTTTAGACAACAAAAATCCTCCTAGAGGTGTTGTTCGTCTTTTGGTTTTATTTGCAGAAGTTCATTAAATATTTAACATCTTAGAAATATAAAAAACTCGAAGATTGCCCGAGGCATATTGTTCAAGACATGAGATATCAATCCCGATGAGATCGTAAGCTTCGCGTCATTTAGTAAAATATACTTCAACCACCACAATAATATAAAAAGCCTAGTGATATTAAAATAACATGAAATATTGTGGCAGACGATTTTTTTATCAACAACGCCTACCCCTCTCCCAGCCAATACGAAGAAAAGTTCCACTCTGTACGCAGCCTACTACAAAAAAATGTTCCCCCAAACGTCACTAGTTTTCATTTGAAATTAAATCTAAGATATCTCAGTATTATGAATAAATGGATTATATTCTACGCCATGCCTTCTTTTCATATGCACTGTTAGATGGCCTCTGCGCTTAGCCTTATAATCACATTCTTCGAAAGGACACTTGAAGGTCGGGTTTTTCCCACATTCATACTTGAGATGCCTACTTCTTGACGTGTAGTGACTGTACACTCTGTGGCATTGAGGGCAAGGATAGCTTTCTATTTTCATGTAATGGCCATCTAAAACTGAGGTTGTGATTAGTACAAGAGAGGATCCAGAGGTAAGGAGGTTTGTGGTGCTCGTTGTTTATCAATTATCATACATAAGCTAACAGTTGTAGCTATATAAGTCCAATCTTACATAGTCATTGGAGCCTTCATAGAACTAGAAGCTAAGAGTAATGATATACATGCTCCATTTATACCAAAGCTTATGCGGCAGCCAATCGTTAGCTTATGAATTGATATACATACTTTGTCATAGCAACGTTGAACCCTAACCATAACATATTGGACAATAACGTGAAAAGGGGATCTTTCAAAAGTCATGTATAGGTACGTAGTAAACGAACGACTGACCTTAACGTCGTAAGCATGTGATCAAAATTCAGGTCTGTTTATTGTCTATATTTTACCTAGACATCTGAAACTCATCCTGTGGTTTTCATATCGATAATCCACCATGTTAGTCTGACCAACGAAACCACGAGTATCTTCGTTATTCTATAAAGCTTCTGTCCCAAAGATGACCTTCAGTGTCATCAATACCGAAGAAGGTCACACATGTGGTTTGATTGGCCAGACAAATATACGTTTTGTTTGACGAGTTCTAAATTGTGATTGATATATTTTAAAGATGTAGGAAGAATATAACGTCTTTATTTACAAAATTCACAAATCTCATAATATCCACACTGTGTAAAATTTCTAACTTCCTCGTAATAAATTCTTTCTAATAATTAAGAAGCTTTATTTCCTTTTTTTTTTAAATTACATCCAGCAAATTCAACATTAAAGCGTTGTTAATTTATACTATCAGAAAGCCGCGGTGCAGAGATTAGCAATCTATGCAGTTGCGCATTCCAGATAAGATTGTAAACTTGGAAATTTATTTTTTTGGTAAATAAATGTATTTTAAAAATTTTTGGGCTGTCTGTGTGTTTGAAAATGTTTTTCGAAAACAAAACAGTTTAATCCAAAGATAGACTAAAAAATTAACCAGTGAATTTATGACCTATGCATAGGAAAAACGCTGTAGATAGATTAATGCAAAATAATTGTATAGATAATGTTAAAAGACACATATTACATTTATTTTGTAACTTATGTAATGAATACAAGTCTAACATTTTCACAAAGACATTTAAAAAGCAAATATTTTACTCAACATCAACATCGGGGTGTCTCTTATTCATATGCACTTTCAGCTGAAACCTCCTGGTGCAACTGTACCAACAAAGATGACAGTTCAGTTTTTCTTTATCTCTGCAATCATGAGAGTAGTGAGAAAGCATAGTTTTTCTGTTTTTGTAACGTCTGTGACACTTTGGACATTCTACTCTGTCTGAAAATAAAATTCGACATAATAGATAAAGTTTAAATATTCAAGTCAACAATTATTAGGAAAAAGTATATATTATTCTAATTTTTTATTAACCAGATTTTATGAACATACCAAAAGCATAAGCAAATCATTACAATGACGGCGATATCAGTAAGATCACGAAAATGCTGACATCATTTTGTTACACACCTTCCAGGAAAAATAACTGTTGTGTTGAAAAACGTCTGCTTGATTTCAAGCTCAGTGTGACTCACCCCCCATTATTATATAAATTCATTAATTAAAGTATTGAATCTGAATATAGCCAGCCATATACTGACTTCCAGCATTCAAGAAAGGATTTTTTTACGCCGAAGCAGCCGCGCAGGCAGAGTTATAAAGGCCAGGGCACTGCGGCTGCTATGAGGAGCTTAAAGAAACTTTGTTAATCTGATTTTTGAACTGACTAAAGTTAGTTGAACTGAGAAAAAGGTCCTCGTGTAGATTATTCCACAATTTTGTTACCCAAGGGACAAAGGATCGGTCGTATCGGCCAGTTCTGGATGTACGAAGTTCGACCCGTTTAGTATAGGAGACCGAAGTCAGCTGACTCTGTCTGGATGGCACATCGTTGGAAGTATACATTAAAAAAGTCAGTGTTGGTTTCTGCTACTACCTCATAGATGGCGATGGAATTCCACTTGAAGATGCCCAATTCGGATATTCGTTAGAAAGGCCAAAAAGGGAGTGAATATCGCAGCGCCAGATATGAGACAGTAGCAGAACATTCAGTCACATTCAGTTTGTGACCTGTTACTATTCCATAGATCCGGCTAATATCTTTCGGATCCCCCTTTGGACGCCAGATGGTAGTATTGTATAATGATTGTCTACATGAAAGACCAGTCAGTTTTCGATCACGTTCTTAGCTCTCCAATACGGTACTACAATTACAGTTTTTTAATATTTTTTTTTTAATTATTGTTCTTCACTTTAAAGTCCTGATCCTTATTCATATTTGTGTGATAATGTCTCCGAACAGTGTGAAATTGTTTCTACAAGCTCGTGTTTTCGACTCAAAAGTTGAAGCGGAAATTGATGTATAATTTAATTTTGGACTAAACTTCAAACTAATCCATGAGAAATTCATAAAAATATCCTCTTGTATTTTTTCTAAAATATATTTTGTTATAGCCATTAAAGACTTATTAACTGAACAGGAAGAGAATGCAAGACAAAAGTATGCGGTCGGTAGATACAGACATTGCTGCATTCGTATACGTACCTACGTGCGTATATACACGCATACATTTAAAAAATTAACTAACATGTTTTTTTACTGAAAAAGCTTCACTAAAGGTAGATGCATATTCCAGGTATACACCTGTTAATATATACCTTCCCCTACAAATAATATCGCATAATCGCTGATTCTTGACTTGTTTCATTTTCATATTTATCTGACAATTTTAAATCCACCAACTACAAAATTAAGGTTACGGGCTAGATAGTTTCTAAGGCTGTCCGTATAGTATAGAAATGGAATTACAGGTGCAACACGTATATTGAAAATAAACGTTTTTCTTGAAAATATACATTGAACCGAAAAGTTTATGTACTTTTTCACGATTCCTTATTCAGAGTTTGGGTGTCAATATTTAAGTGTAATTTTCAATAACAAGCTACAAAAAATACGATCAACATGACTCTTTCGTTTAAGTTTACCACTAAACCTTTCTGATAAAACAACGTACGGCTAGATTAGTTTTTCGGACTTCTACACTATTATTACTAATACTGTACAAAGAAGTAATTTGCAGGAGGCTATATAGATACGACAGATGACGCTGATTGGTTAAAAAAGGAATTTGAAGTTAGAAAAAACTTGAATTTCAAGCACATTTATCCTTTATTATTAAACTAAATCATGCTTTAAAAATAACTTCCATTTTGGGTGCTACGGCGGAAACCAAGTACACCGACGTTTGGTCAGAAAAACAGTTTGAGGTTAGAAAAAAATTGAAATCCAATATTTCTTTTTTGTTGCTAAATTAAGCATCAATCAAAGAGAAATAGGTATATGCTTGCGATTTCTTCAGCGACGTCAGTCGTATCTGAACAACTTCCCCTTAAAACTGGTTTATTTGTCAATTGTTTCCTAAAAAATTTGCGATTAAAGAGATTTTTAGTGACCGATTCTATTAGTGCATAATCTGTTATTTTAATTAAATTAATAGCTATACGTGATCGAAGTCAAGAACATGCTAAAAGTCCCAAAAGAGCTTTAGGGTAAACGGTACCTGAACGGTTAATGCGGATCGAGGAGCCTTTTCGCTGGGCAGATAATAAAGCTACCTCTCAAAAACAAAATAGTTATAGGCTTAAACAACTTTTTTGGTGACAGATTCCGATTCCGGAAAAGGAGTATTGCAATGTATTGTAAGGATATGACGATCCATATTGTATTTCCTTTTGCTCTTGAATGCACACATTGGACAACTGAACATCTCCGCTTTTCCACAGTCTATGGCTTTGTGCACCAGCAGAGTGTTCGCATTCTTATAAGTTTTTCGACATTGATCACATTGTACCTTGGGATCTGAAAGTAATTTAGAAATAGTAGCTGTTCGATATGACCCACTCATCAAATTATAAAATGGGACTAAAGCTGGAGAGTATTTGATCAAGTTGTCCTGCTATACTTACACTGAAGATAACTTTAAATAAGATGTTTCCTAAATATGGGGCAAACATTGAAGAAGGGCATTCTCTAGAAAACATATTTTGCATGTTCGTGATGATTGACAGAAGGGAGAGGTTAGGAACGAGTCTGATGTAGACGAAAGACTTAGGGCATTCAGTAGCATAGATATGGAATATCTGAAACTCATCCTGTCGTTTTCATGCTGTTAATCCTGCCCTAAATTGGGGACAGGGTCGATTCTACTGTGAACAGGTGAGAAAACAATTATATTTATTATTACAACTATATTATACACTTAACGCTGCCAGATACTTCCCGACGACCATAACTTCTACCAAACGAGACGCTTTAAACAAGGTATCCCACTACAGATTGAAAAAATGTTTTATACAAAAGTTATAGATTCTAGTAAATCTGACTCCTTCAGATTCATAAAGATAACCGTCAGAGCCATATCCATCTAAACAAATGTTTCTTTTAAATTCAAGCATTTGCCAACAGTGGCCAATACTTTAAATATACCAGGTTTTTAAAACTCACCTTTAAACAAATCTTATAAACGTCACCACATGTGTTCGGAGGTACCTCAAGCTAGTTTAACATCTGGAACTTATTCTGTGGTGCAAAACGTTCTACCGGGGCGCCAAATAAAATCACAAATATAGATAAAAGGTTACTGACGTTTCGGTCACTTTCCAATGCTTCAAATTCAAAATGTAATATTTTAATCAGTCTATATACATATATTTACGAAATATCAGCACATTTATTACGCTTGAACAAAAAACGAGATGTAGTTACAAATTACAATATATTATAAAATACAGTTGTAGGGAACTGCTTTGAATTACCAAGAAATTCCATGTTGTCTGAGGATATGTAATTTTAGGTTGAATTTTCTTTTACATTTGTAGCAGCAAACTGGACAGTTGTACATCTTGATTTTTCCGCAGTCCATAGCTTTATGAACAGATAAGGTAGACATATTCTTGTAGACTTTCTTACATGAATCACACGATACTTTCAAATCTAGAACGACCAAAGGTCAGTAATTTTTAGCATAAATATTGATAAAGATAAACAACTAATACCTTTCTAAAAAAGTAAAACCTGACTGCAGTAACTGAAAAGAATGCATATTTAATTGTGCTATCGTAGACGAATATAAGGACACCTCAGAGGTCAAAATTTATCAGGTCGTTTGGGCTATAGCCTGTAAAATAGAAATTCCAAAGTTGGTAGAGTGTGCGTTTAAAATCCGCCTTTTTGATTCTATAAAATTGTAGTAAACCTAGCATCACTCGAACTGACAAAATAAATCTAGAGAAGATACCTCATACGTCAAAATCCACTAGGACGTTTAAGCTGTAGCTAAGACGAATCACACCTCATAAGCCCATGCAAAAAAACATAACCGTCCTTCTGAGGCAGTCATGTAATAACAATACTTTGAGTCGGTTACTGCAGATTTAAGAACACGAAAATAAGGTCTAGCATTTTTCGATGATCAGTATCCAATATAACGAGACTTCACCAAAATTCTGTATGATGCCTACATGGCGTCATTACCTCCTCATACACAGTTTTATAAAGTTCACTCTTTAGTTAGCACGAATATTGTCGAGGAATAATAACGTACAAACAAATGGGTTTTAAAAGTATAATATAAAAATAAGTAAATGAGATATTCTCAAGTCTAGATAAAAATATAAATAATAGGTACGTTTATAGGGGTATAAATATAACTTTGTTGTATAATATATATAAAAAGGTATAAAAATATGAATCTTCCATGAGGATAAATAAATAATATATAAATAACATTAATAAGTTTTCCTTTAAAAGTACTAAAATATGTGATATGCATTAACATTAGAGGGCTTTGAAATACTTACAGGTTGCATAGAATGAATTCACTTATTTTATCGGTAAATAGTTACGTCTAAAATGCATCAAGTACTACGAAGCTGCTATTCTATACAAGAGTTCCACTGACTTGAATATAGGATTAGAACACTATTTTTTACTGAACGGGAACATAACTGTGCGGAATTTAGTTGATGCTTTCAACACTTCCTGCATGTTTAAAAGATACGTGCATACCTGTAAGTAAAACAAGTCCTATGACCCAACAGACCAAACCAGTATCCAAATTCTAGTATACTTCACGAGTTTTTAGGTAAAATAACTATTGATATTAATTACGCTTATAACAAGGGTAGGGTGAAATAATTATGAACACTTGTTTAGAGACATCTTACATGTCTACGAATGGAAAGCCATTACAAACCAAAAACACAACAGATAAGTAAGTATGATTACGGCAGCACCTGCTTTATCTTAGAAAGTTTCAAAATAGTATAAGATAAATAAAAACCGAAAATGCAACAAATATACCATAAATATATAATAATTGTTTAAGCTTTTGGTAAGACCCAAGTTACACTACGGAAGTTCTGAATAAATTTTAAGATATTTTATTTGAAGACAAATAGCTAACAAAGGCCTCAGATTTTTTTATTTTTGCGTGTATCAGGGCTATAAAATAGAAACCTCAGATAATAACCAAAACTAAAGACAAAAAGTAGTAGAATTAGGGAGTCCACAATGTAATATTTGTACCTAATAGGTTTCCCTCCACCAAACATGTCATCTAGATACCAGGAATACATTTTCAGGATGACAGACAGCTTTAACACTCTCTATTAAAAAAAATGGCTCATCGAGATATTTGCAATTTCCTGGTAGCTACGTGTACTTAGTATAAGGTGCAAACCGTCAAGTCTAGGCTCATAAATAATTGTTACGTATATTACACAGACCGACAAGATGTTTATCCAAAAACCAGAGTATACCTTCCCGAATACGTGATTATTCCTCGATGGGTTCTAGTTTCCGAGATATACTTAAGTGCAAAAACGTCGATTCTTGCCTGTGTTTGAGGTTATGTAGAATGGAGATTTTTTCAAAAATATGGCCAATTTCCACTTTTCCGAATTTCAGAATTTTACTATATTTGACACGCTGTGCTTTGGATTATAATACACCAGAAATTTAATAACATGTAAATGTATTTTTATGAAATAAACCTGCCCACTAAAAAAAAGCCATAAATCCTGAACACTGAATTCATAAAATATTTGACACTTCCCAAACCACAAACCCACAACTGACCGTAACCCTTTCAGAGCTGAGATAACCGGTATTAATTTCGATTGTTCACTTTTTTTTAAATAAAAAATTTCTTTTATAATAAAAAAACAAATAAAAGCTGAACTGAGATCCAGATCAGAAAATTTCAAAGTGTCAACCACTGCGAAAGAAAAAGAGAAAAAGATATTCAAGCAAAATCATCGGTATTTAAAATGATTGAGCGCATCAAAAAACCTTCGGGAACGTATACTCTGGCTTCTGGGTAAGACGACTGGCTCATTTTTGTCGGCGTATGTTATGGTTTTGGATTCCACCATGACTGTTCAGGAAGCACCTGGTCTGTACAGACCTCAAAAACATTAAACTCCTCTCCTTTTTTGCTACAGTGTCGAAATGGCAACGATGCATCAACGGTGGCAGCAGCCAAGACCCTACCGGTGCAATTTTGCCACTAGTTACCTTAAACGCAACCAAGGCAACGATAGTATTTGCATGCTGCGTAGATTATGAGCGATTATATGCGTTGTTCAACACTTCTTGCTTATGTTCTTTATGTTTGGCCATGACGTGCATGATGAAATGAATTTTCTGTTTGCCTTTATAAGGACAGTAAGAGCATTTGAACTGCGGCTCCTTGCCACATTCCCATCTCGCGTGGTTGTACAAAGAGCTCTTCCTCTTGTAAGCTCTTCCACACTTGTTGCAGGCAAACTGATACTGCTCACCGGTGATCTGTTCTAGGGTCAGTGATTCTAAAAATTACAGTTATCTATTACGTTCATCCAAAAATGTTTTTATAGCCCACCAAAAACAGTCGCGTGATTGTCGATTTGCTTGATAAGGCTAGTACCAAATTGAAAGAGAGTAGCGTAACACCATTGATTAACGTATTCTACCTGAAGACAGCCAACTCAATTCTATATACCCGTGCACAAAAAATTACCGGAGATGAAATGTAGCATCATCTAGCAGAATTTGTCACAGCTATGTTTCTCCTCTTCGTCCTCAGTAGTAATCTACTCTGGCAACGTTACTGTCCCATAGAACTATGTTAGCATATATTACATTTGACATAACTGTGATAAAGTCTCATAGATGCCGCATTTCATCTTGGATAATTTTTGGACGCACAAATACAGTATTAGGTTCATAGATAGATCAAGGCTCTCCAATGTGGTATTTCATCATGGTATTTAAGATTGTCTCATATCTCGAAAACTTTTGTGTGTGTATCCTCCCATACCCCCACAGTATCTACACTTCGTGATGGTTCAAGTTTAAAAAAATCATTATCAACCAAACTAACAAATGCACGACTGGTAAAGTGAGCTCGGAAAATATATATACAACTAGTTTAAAAGTCTTTATTTTTAGAAAAGGAATTGTTAGTATTACAATAAATAGACACCTTATACGTTAAAAAGCAAGGATAAAATAATACTTGTAATATGGTTTTAAGTATATACAAATATATACAAGGGTTTCATCTTATGAATTATCAATGTATGATTTTTCTTCAGTAGGTTATAACTGAAAAACAGTCAGACAAGAAAAAGTTTGTATAGTATATAGTTATAGTATATCTTCTATCTACATCATAGTCTTTCTCAATGTTTCCAAGGCCATTTCCCTCTTCTTATGGGACCTGGTGAGTTTATGTCTGGCCAAAACGTGATGGAACTTTGCACTAAAGTCGCAATAAGTGCAGTAATACTGAGGTGTTTTGCCACAATCATTTTTTAAGTGAGTATAGACAGAGGTTCTGTGTTTGTAGGGCTTTTTACATAATGGGCATAGAAAGTCGCCGTCTTCATTTTGAGTTATTTTAGTGGTAACGTCCCGATTTGGATCTGGAAAGAAACGAGTACGTTAGTGCTAAAAAACAGAGTAACAAAAATAATATACAGACCACTAAAGCCATGGTATACCTACTTGTGGGGAGGATGACTTCGTCACATTTTGAATGAATGCAAAAAATCCCATTACATAAATATACAGGGTGGCCAAACACGTGACGTCATAAAAAAAAATTAGATTCCCCACATCGAGAGGAACCCAAATCACCCCCATATATATGGTCCGATTTTGTTTAGTTTAGGAGTTATGATTTTTTTTCGGATTTTTCGAGAATTTTTGAGTTCTGTGTTTATTTTTACCATAACTTCGTTAATAATTGTGATAAATGCCTGCTTTTTTCACGATTATGTAGCTAAGACCTAAGGCTTAACTATCATATAATCATTCAAGTCATGTAACTAATACTACTTTTTAATTTTTTTCAAAATCTACGAACATAACAAAAAAGTAAAAAAGTGCAACAACTTTGAACGTTTGTAAAAAATTGAAGAAACATGTTCTTACTATTCGTAAGTATCTTAAAAACTTCCTTACGGTATCAGCTATTTACCGTAAAAATTTCATCAACCTAGCTTTACTACATGCTACCGTAATTGTGGCTCAAATAGAACCGAACCCAAAATTGGATAACCCTTTGCTCAATAGAAATTGTTAGTTCCGGAAAAAAATTTTGCAAAAACCACAAAAACACGTTTGATTTTTACTGAACAGCAGATTATTATTCATTTATGTTATTTACAAGAGGTTTTCAAAATGTCTGCCTCTAACAGAAATGCACAGTGTACACCTACGTATGAAATTTTGTTTTAAATCTCTAAATGCTTGTGTGTTGTTTTTCAACACATGTGTCGCTTCTTGAATTTTGTTCCTCAATGAATTTTCATTTGCACATTCTTGGGCGAATGTTATGTCTTTAAAATATCCCCAAACAAAAAAATCAATGGGGTTGAGGTCAGGGGAGCGTGGAGGCCATCGTATCGGTCCGTTTCGTCCGATCCATCTGTCTGGGAACCTTTCGTTTAAGTAGTTTCGCACGATCGTTGCGTTGTGGCATGGTGCACCATCATTCTGGAACACCATGTTCCGTCTGGCTTCCAGGCTTGAATCTTCCAGCAATAATGGTAGGCTATTTTCAAGGAAGCTTTTGTAGGCTACCGAATCCAACCTTGACGGCAGTTCAAATGGACCGATAAATTCCATATTGAATATTCCTGACCACATGTTCACACTAAAACGGTGTTGAAATGTCGACGGCCTTGACTGGTGGGGGTTTTCAACAGCCCAAGTATGTAAATTATGGATATTGAATATCCCTGTTCTTTCAAAACGTGACTCGTCAGTCCATAAAATTTTATCAAAAAAATCGGGATCCTCTCGTTGTCTTCGCAGCATTGTCTCGCAGAAATCCACTCTTAACTGGTAATCTGAAGGCATCAACGCTTGAACTCTTTGAACATGATAGGCATGATAACCTTCTTCATGAAGAATATTTTGTATCGATGTTCGTGGTATTCTAAGGTTTTGTGCCATAGATCTCGTACTCGTTGAGGGATTCCGGCTAATTTCTCCAAGTACTACTTCTCTGCGATCCGGATCAGCTGTAGGATATCCTTCATTGCTTCCTCGTCCTGGAATGCGGCCTGCCATGAAAGTGTTATGGGTGTTAATAAAAACACGGTGGTCTGGGTAATGCTCAGGTTGTGGTCCGCCTCGGCGTATAAGTTGTTCCCGGTACAGCTGAGCTGCTAAAGCGCCGTTGCCTTGAGCAACGCCATAATAATAATGCATTTCTGCATATTCACGCAACGTATAGTGCATCACAAACTTCTTAGCAAACAAAGTCCAAATCAGTATGCAAAGCAGAGTCCCGGAATATTTTTTAGAGCACGAGGTTTCGGCTGATATGGCCTCTTATTTCGTCTGCAGGTGACTTAGCCTTTCGTGGTTATTTATACCAGAACGGCTGAGGTTCCCAGACAGATGGATCGGACGAAACGGACCGATACGATGGCCTCCACGCTCCCCTGACCTCAACCCCATTGATTTTTTTGTTTGGGGATATTTTAATGACATAACATTCGCCCAAGAATGTGCAAATGAAAATTCATTGAGGAACAAAATTCAAGAAGCGACACATGTGTTGAAAAACAACACACAAGCATTTAGAGATTTAAAACAAATTTTCATACGTAGGTGTACACTGTGCATTTCTGTTAGAGGCAGACATTTTGAAAACCTCTTGTAAATAACATAAATGAATAATAATCTGCTGTTCAGTAAAAATCAAACGTGTTTTTGTGGTTTTTGCAAATTTTTTTTCCGAAACTAACAATTTCTATTGAGCAGAGGGTTATCCAATTTTGGGTTCGGTTCTATTTGAGCCACAATTACGGTAGCATGTAGTAAAGCTAGGTTGATGAAATTTTTACGGTAAATAGCTGATACCGTAAGGAAGTTTTTAAGATACTTACGAATAGTAAGAACATGTTTTTTCAATTTTTTATAAAGGTTCAAAGTTGTTGCACTTTTTTACTTTTTTGTTATGTTCGAAGATTTTGAAAAAAATTAAAAAGTAGTATTAGTTACATGACTTGAATGATTATATGATAGTTAAGCCTTAGGTCTTAGCTACATAATCGTGAAAAAAGCAGGCATTTATCACAATTATTAACGAAGTTATGGTAAAAATAAACACAGAACTCAAAAATTCTCGAAAAATCCGAAAAAAAATCATAACTCCTAAACTAAACAAAATCGGACCATATATATGGGGCTGATTTGGGTTCCTCTCGATGTGGGGAATCTAATTTTTTTTTATGACGTCACGTGTTTGGCCACCCTGTATATTAATACAGCAACTTCAACAGGCGATTCCTTAGGTGATTCAAAGACGTACAGTTTTCATAAACATAGCGATACCTCCACGTAACAGCGGTCTGCGCCACCGAATGCACTCAAACTCGCTGACCAGATGTGAGCTGAAGTATTCTGGCAGTTCCTGGCTGAGCGAGTTTAAGTGCACTCGGTGACGCGAACGTCTGTTTCGCGGAGGTATCGATGCTTCCGATAACGCTTCTTTTTAACCTTACTCAATTTTTGCGTTCACGGATGTAACGTTAGACACTAAATAAAAGATAAGCTAAACGCGTCAATAGAACCCATACTGTACCTGTAATGTATAAATCTGTAATAAATGTTAAAAATTTGTCTAGTGTATTTAGTGAATACGTGTTTTCGTTACGTTATGAAAATAACGTACTATGTTTATTTGAACTTCCTTCCAAAAAACGATTCTTTAAAACATCCCTTGTTTAGCCATGTACTTTATTAAACTCCTATATACACATAACGAAGAAGATACGAGGAGATCTACTATGAAAAAGAACATTCAAACATAATCTTCCCAATTCAACAGCTCTAGTCCTGAATAAAAATGTTTAACTAAAAATTGATTAGAAACATAAACGGCTTTTTGTAAAATTGTAGAACCCAAGAATTGATGATTACATTCCAGTATGATTATAAATTTAAGAAGCATACAAAAATGAAATGTAACATTTGGAACTTATCCTGTGGTTATTTAGCTCATGAATCTCCAAATTGTAATAGCCGTCAAAAAAACCACAGCTATAGAGCTGAGGATTTACTACTACTCAGTTTGGTGGCTTTTTTCAAAGTATAAACCAGAAAATGACAATAAAAAAATAAAATATGAGTTAAATAAAAGATACTGTCATTGTCACGAAACGTTAGTGAAATTCAAATCTACATCTGTGGTTTTATTTGATGCTCAGTGAGACATGGAGATTCATACAAAAATAAAGTTTTTTTTAGAAAACTTGGCGCCTCCAAGATCTTTTTACTATGCCCAAAATACTTAATACGGTTCAACTGCATTCCTAGCATTTAGCAAATGTTCACTCAAGATTACTCGGTTGACAGCAAAAGCTATGGACAAACCAACAGAGAGAAACACACAGAAACTAGTGGCCTGGATATGTTTGTGATATAGAAGTCACAGATCGTTCCAAAGAATAATTTCAAGTAAAAAAATATTTGCAAACAATTTTGCCTTTGCCTATGCATGGAAAGCAAGATATGTGGAAAAAGTAATCAATGTTCCTTTGGGTAAATCTTATTCATGTATTATTTATAAACAATAATTTAGTATGAAAATTTCAAGTCACTATCAAATTCACGGATACAGTCCCGTACATTCCTCCATAGAAACTTCGTGCACCCTTTTCAGATGCCTGATCAAGTTGACCTTTTGTTTGGCTGTGTAGCTACAAATCTGGCATTTGAACTGTCCTACGTTACCACATTCCCATTTGATATGTTTAGATAAGGAACTTCGGTGTTTGTAACCGTGGCCACAGTTTGGGCAGCGGACTGCGTACTCTAAAATGAAAATATTCATTCTAAGCTTGTTTTTATTATCTGAAAGATAGTTCGAATAATACGCGATTATATCAAATAGTATGTTTTGTCCTAATAACACTGCTTCCATTAATGTTGGAAAATATATGCCGCTTATGCTGTCATATTTATTTGACAAAAATCGGCAACAGATCCTTGATTGACAATAGCTTATGCTTCTTACATTACCTGTCGGCAGTAACAGTCAAATTTATGAAATGGACACTATGTCGATAGTTTTTTGGGACAGCAAGATCAAAACACATTAGTACCTTTTAGTCTATAATATTTTGTCTTTGGCATCAGTAATAACGAATACAATACTTACAAGATTTGAAAAACGCAATGAATACATCTCACATACAAAGAATTCTCCTAAGCCACGTAATCCCCAGTGACTAGAAAATGAACGAAACACATTTGTATAAGCTTACAATTTTAGGTTGAGTTCATCAACTTTACTTGACATATTTCACCAAAAATCAGTCTGCAGACAGTGTTGCCAAGGAAAACTCGTGAAATCAAGACTGAAATGCTCTTCTTAGAGTACACTATTTTTAATACTAAATTTAAACGAGTAGTTATACCAAGAGGATACTGCGTGAAATGTCTTTGAAATCCACCAGCCGGCTCCATTGACCTTCATTACAGGTTTACAACAAAAACATACCGATCTACAGGGTGTTTCAGAAAGACATGCCCATATTTCTACGGTAGAAACTACATGGAAGAATAACAAAAAAAATTCTTATAAATATGGGTCCAAAGATGATCCCCTACTGATAAGATTTATTTATAAAATTTTAAAAAAATATATCTTCGGGGCGGGTAAAGGTACTGAGTTACGATTAACGATAACGATAACGATAATTTTTTTCTTTCAAGGAATTTTTGTCAAATATAGAAGATTTTTACTTTGTGAATTTTTTGGGGATATGCTCTTTTCATTAATTAACCGTGATTTGGAGGATATTTTTAAAAGTAGCATTTCTGAGCGATTTCCGTGCTTATTCTAGGGAAATTCTGTCCCACCCATCTGGCAACGCTGTGCTTTAACAGATCCGACATATACACACTTTCTTAATAGTCTAACATCCGGTCGCCTTCATCTGCAGGTATCTGTTTTTTTATAAAACTTGTTTTTTATGAATAATTAATAGTAGAACAGATCACCTACGAACCTAAAATATTCTGCGCATACATAGTAGCTAGTACTCGATTCGATCACTGCGCCCTCAGTCAGTTTTGGGGTCGTTTTTTTTTTTCATTTCGCCTGTTCTCCTAGTACGTAGGCTTCATGCAACGTACGATCAAATCTAACAGCCAAGGGCAAACTGCTGTCAAAGGTTACCCCATAGTTACAGCTACTTAGCATAAAAGCGCTGCACTGCTGAACCGCATTACGTTAACTGAGTGGTCCCATTGTGTGAGAAATATATTTCGGAGACTACAAATTTATTATAAATATCCCCAAGATGAGAAAATGCCCAAACAGTAAATTTGAAAAAATACTATAAAAGGATTAACTATCTGGAACTCCGCATGCATCTCTAGCCATCGCTTATTTCATGGACGCCATGTTCATAGTATGGCCAGTCTATATCTCTATATTCACCTTGTATATCTTCTCTTGGTATAACTACTATTTGCTTTAGATGTGTCCTCCAGGCGATACTGTTACAATCAGTACCTTAAAACATTGGCTTAAGGTTCCTATTTCTGGAATAATGAGTGACCAGAATATGTGAATGTAGCGCATCTTTTCTCTTGAAGTCTCTTTGACAGAACTGACATTTGAACTTTGGGTCCTTGCCGCACTCGTACAGCAGATGTCGCTTCAGTGTTTGTCTCCTCAGGTACGTCCTTCCACACTGGAAGCATCTGTATCTGATCTCTAGAAATTTCATCTAACATAAGCACGTTTCAATAAATAAGATATTCTCTACTTACTTTGAACAGAACCATGCGCTAACACAGAAACTTAAAAAGTAACAAATGTCACAAAAAGGCTAACATGCTCTATGCTCAATTTGACCAGTAATCATTTTGTGTGAAGAACTCTGTGTGCGTTCACAGATTCACCTTCAAAGCTTAAAGGCTGACAGGAGCGCACTGATGGTTTTACGATATACCCTAGATTTTAGTACTGATCAAATGAATTCAAGTCTCTCCAAAAAGTAATAAGTCAGTTTGAGGTTTTATCAATTTCCCACGCTCCTAGTTTATAGTATTTTGACTCTGGGCCTCACGCTTGATAACCTTCAGATTTACTCTTATTAAGAATATCTCATCCACCCCACGGAAACTATTTATTTTGATGAAATATATGTATGAATTGCTTCAATACTATATTAAATATATCATATTTATACCTGGTTAGTAAGTAAGGCTATTGAACAGAAACAATGTTTCATATGCTCTTAGCTCAAGTATGTTGCGATTTTAAGTATAGGTATTTCAAATTATAAAGAGGGGTATCAAATTGGCAATGTGGTTCAAAGCATACGAAACATTTATTATTCAAGTAGAACGAATGTTGATCTATATATACAGGGTGACTTCGAAGTTGAGTCATTTATTTTAACAGTGAGTAGATCTGATCAAAAGAAATGTTTTTTTCCTTTAACATTTTTCTGGTAAAATTAAAGTAACAAAGTTATAGCCCTTTAGAGGTTTGAGTACCGCCCTGTCTCAATAATAATATTATGTGCTCGTGTTTGGCAACAACGGATATAATCCGCCTTATCCGTTCATCGCATCGGAAACAAAAAAGCGAAAGAATTTGAAACGATGTTTTTACTACAATGTACAATCTTATTCAGTTTTATTCAGTCGATGTGTCAGTCAGTATCGCGTGAGTGAATAGTGATGTTTGTTGCGTGGCTCAAACGAAATAAAAAATGGCACATGTTTATGAAAACGCTGAATGTAGTACAAAGGGCTCGTGAATCAGGTGACTTAAGACCTCACAGGGGAGAGCATGCCGGTGCTCCAAGACCGCACGATTAAATACAGGTCCGCACTGAAATACTTGTCGGGAGGATACTTTATAAAACAAGGTAACATTTTTTTTTTTTTTATTTTTACACACATATTTTGGTTTATCTTTCTTCTACAATCATTATCTGAAAATTAATGACTCAACTTCAAAGTCACCCTGTATATATATATATATATATATATTTTTTTTTTTAAGACGTGGTCATTGTCGTCTAGATCAGTTAGGTGAAAAATTAAAGCTTCCGCCTTTTGTTGGGTACTTCGACAAAATTTAAGCAAAGAGGACTCTTTATACTTTTTTTTAATTCTCTCTAGCTTTCAATGGACTTTGCCATCATCATCAGGAGCTGCAATTACAATGATAACAGTAGCAACAAAAGTGTAAAATGAATTTAAATTGACTCAACTTACAGTAGTATGTGAGGATGTTGCTAATTGTTGTTTACGTATAGGATGAGGGAAACGTCCAGTAACATGGTGAGAGCTGGATAGATTGTACAATGGTCAAAATTATATAAAATATGACAAGAACAAGTTAAAAATAGATTAAAAATTATTTAAAAAACATTAGAGCATTACATCGTGAAGCCACTTGATGATTGCACAAATTAGTGGTCATGGAATAATGAGTGAGATGAAACCCTTTGACAGAAGGCCGAAGGATCTCAATGTCTGTGTTGAAAGATGGAACGAATTGTGGGCGTGTGCCAAACGTTGCCAAATCACTTCAGATGATGTGATTTTCTGAATTTTATGTAAGAATTTGTTAAACCGACCAGAGGCAGTTGAATAAACTATATTTTAATTAATGGGAATTTAAATTAACAATTATTAATAAATCGTGAGAAGAGAATTATTATATTTTGAGTGGAATGAAATTTACTGGTGGAATCGGCCAAAACACAGATTCTAATTATGGTTGTGAAGAGTCGAAATTTGGGGAGATATGTAAGTTCTCCAATTTTTCGCAGTTTAGCAAATATGAGTAAATGACACTCAGTTGTTTAACATCTGTCTTTTTGTTGATACAGTTGTTATTCATGAAGATGTGGGACATTTCCAGGAATAAACGTTTGGAAAGGTGTTTTTCTTTATCAAGAACTTTGATACTTGTGTAATTCATAGAATGCCCTGTTGTGTTAACATGAGATGCTAGAGCGCATCTTTCAGGATGAAGCCTGGCATCACTTTTGTGTGATGTAATCCTTAATCCTTTAAGAGATCTGGAGGTCTGACCTATGTATATTTGGTTGCAGTTGTTGCAATTGATGGAGTAGACTGTGTTGGTTAAGCCAAGCAGCGGGACTTTGTCTTTCATTTTTGAAAAAATGCAGTTTATAGTGAGGACGGATTTGCAAGCAATTCGAAAGTTCAAAGGACTGCACAGTCTGATCAGCTTAGGGGTCAGTTCCTTGATATAGGGCAGGACAGCAAAACCAGGTCTGGAGTCCGGGTTGGTGCTTGTACTGTTAGGATTAATGTTATTATTGGGAATTACATCAGTTCCGTTATTGGGGGTTGTGTGACTATTACCTGCATCACCAGAGTTCGGCAAAATATTGGAAGGTGAACTAAATAAGATCTTGTTAATCAGACACTTCGGATAACCATTATTGATGAACAGTTTTGATAGTTTACGTAAATTTGAGGTGTGGAAGGTATTACCTGAGATGCTGATTACCCTTGTTTTCATCTGTTTTACCAAATTGATTTTAATCCCTAGCTTATGGTATGACCTAAAATTGAGAAACCGACCTGAGGCCATAGGTTTCTGGTACCAGTCTACCAATAAACTGTTGTTGTTGGTGCGAATGAGTCTTGTGTCTAGAAAGGGGACAGACAGGTTCTCATCTTCTTTTTCAATGGTAAATTGGATGTAGGGTCATGTTAACACAACAGGGCATTCTATGAATTACACAAGTATCAAAGTTCTTGATAAAGAAAAACACCTTTCCAAACGTTTATTCCTGGAAATGTCCCACATCTTCATGAATAACAACTGTATCAACAAAAAGACAGATGTTAAACAACTGAGTGTCATTTACTCATATTTGCTAAACTGCGAAAAATTGGAGAACTTACATATCTCCCCAAATTTCGACTCTTCACAACCATAATTAGAATCTGTGTTTTGGCCGATTCCACCAGTAAATTTCATTCCACTCAAAATATAATAATTCTCTTCTCACGATTTATTAATAATTGTTAATTTAAATTCCCATTAATTAAAATATAGTTTATTCAACTGCCTCTGGTCGGTTTAACAAATTCTTACATAAAATTCAGAAAATCACATCATCTGAAGTGATTTGGCAACGTTTGGCACACGCCCACAATTCGTTCCATCTTTCAACACAGACATTGACATCCTTCGGCCTTCTGTCAAAGGGTTTCATCTCACTCATTATTCCATGACCACTAATTTGTGCAATCATCAAGTGGCTTCACGATGTAATGCTCTAATGTTTTTTAAATAATTTTTAATCTGTTTTTAACTTGTTCTTGTCATATTTTATATAATTTTGACCATTGTACAATCTATCCAGCTCTCACCATGTTACTGGACGTTTCCCTCATCCTATACGTAAACAACAATTAGCAACATCCTCACATACTACTGTAAGTTGAGTCAATTTAAATTCATTTTACACTTTTGTTGCTACTGTTATCATTGTAATTGCAGCTCCTGATGATGATGGCAAAGTCCATTGAAAGCTAGAGAGAATTAAAAAAAGTATAAAGAGTCCTCTTTGCTTAAATTTTGTCGAAGTACCCAACAAAAGGCGGAAGCTTTAATTTTTCACCTATATATATATATATATATATATATATATGCTACCCCGGCCGATGTGAATTAATTTAGCATTCACACTTTGCTGCTGGCCTATTATGGCCCAATATGTGAATGGAACATAAAAATTACATTGGTAAAAAACTACAAAAACTCCTTGAAGAATATTTTTATGGCGCACTTACTCGTACACATTGGAGCCAAGGCACAATATACTCTCATTTAGCGCCAACGTTGGACAGCCCCGGCCAATGCGCATTGGTTTAGCATTCACACATTGGTGTTGGCCTATGATTGCCCAATATGTGAATGTGGTATTAAAAGTAATTTAGCCAATGTTTTCAGAAAATGCGGACATAATAGGTACCACTTTTTTGTAGGTTCTCTCTTATTGTATGAACAAAATTGTTATCTCTGCAGTAGTTCGATTAATTTTAATGTAAAAAACCTGCAACACACAGCATTTATCACTATGCAAAATCTCTTTTATATTTATTAACATCTCCAGTCAGAATAAATCTGTCAAAAAGCAATTGTTGCACATCGAACATAAGTATTGCATTAATACGACGTTACGGTGTTACACGTCTAGGTGGTCTCCTGAAAACACAACCCTTACACAACTCTAAATATGTCTCTATGGCTGTCCTTGGAATATTGTATTTCTTTTTCAACAAACTTTTAAGCTTGTCTCTCTTTCCGTGATTGGTCAATTTGTGTTGTTCGTCAATGATGTCGAAAAACTCTTCAACTGCAGCAACGCAAATGACGTCCTTGCAACCTTCTGTGGGTTTTATTACTAGTCTTTGCTGTCCAGATATCTTGAGAACATCGTATTTCCCTGCGTAATATCTTTCTTTGCTCACTATTTCATTCGTCCTGTTTTCAAGTCTTTTAGCTTTGTAACTATTTACTATGTCGATAGTTTCCTGTATTCTGTTCCAATACCAAGCCTTTTTGATGCAGTTGTCATATGTGGTATTCAGCATTGCATAAAATGCGTCCTTGTTTACCAATTCTGTAAATAATAAATCAACCTAGTCAAAATACGTATTTTAAGATATACAGAACGTGTCGATAGCATGGTAAGCAGAATTCCAAACATGATCATTTCCCATGTGGTCTTGAACGAGACAATTCAAAAAGTATATACATACCATCTTGCATCATCATAGCATAAGCGATACGTAAACTTTCAAAACTAGGCGTAAAAATTCAAACGGTATTCGTTTGAATTATCCTGGTACAATTTTGTCCTGTGAAAATTTCGTTTCGGAGGTACAGGCTAAGAAGTATTATGAATTTGTTGTAGTTGTATGTAAATCACAAAAATAATATTAATTATAAAAACCGACATTATTAAAAAAATAACAAAATGTTCTTCAAAAATAAACAAAATGTCCATAAGGATGACGGAGTCTAGCTCCAAGCTATTCTATTCAACGATCAGAAAAAAAAAAAGAAAAGCAAACATGACAAGGTAAGGCATAAATATAACTAACATTGACACACGTAAGAACACAAATTAAATATCGGCGAAATGTATACACTCGTGGGTAAAAATTCAAAACTAAAATGGCATATTCCGCACTCGGTCAAATATTACATCACTTGTATCTCGAAAACTTCTCTCTCAACTTTAAAGGAAAGTTCTGTAATACCTTTTATAGAATTTCCAAAAAAACCGGAAAACCATTTAACCTGAACGAAAAAGTGAGTTTCTGGAATATCATTGAAAATTTGTTTAGAAAATGTTGTCGCAGATTTGGGTCTGACATGCATATTCGTTAAAAGCGGCCCTTTTGAATAAGATATGCAAAAAATCCGAATAAGATTATTTTTCCCGTCAGATGTTAAGACACAACCTGAACTATACAGGTGCCATTAAATCAAAGTCTTTATTATCATTGTAAAGAGTTAAAAAAAAAATGGTGTTAAGTAGGTTCACTCAACGTCGTCGTCAGGTCATAAAGGATTGCGTTCAGCACAAGTTAGGGCCTCTGAGAAAAAAGTTAGCTACGAACACGTATAGCAGAGAAATTCAAACGATAAAGTCAGTCAAACAGGCCCACACAGTTAATCTATATACATTCTCTTCCTGCTCTACCGGTAGTCCATCTGGTACCGTCGTCTTTCCTCGCATCAAACACGGCAGTAAGGTCAGAGCACTTACCAAAACCGGCACGCTCAGCAAAGATCACAGACAGTGAGGCGTATCGAAAACATTTCTCTATCATTCTGTTTTAAGGCCATATGTAGTATAAATCTATGATGTGTGAAATACTATTATGTCTAATAGGTACGCAGAACTACCGATGTTGGGAGCATATAAACATAGTAAAATAAAAAAAAATGTCATCAAAATCCGACCGATACTTTCCAAGTTATATACGGGCCAAGGATTGATTAATGGACAGATTAGGAGACCAACAGGTAGACCGAAGGAAATGAGTGACATGGTTTTTCGTGATGTACACCTCATATAACATCCAAAACATAATATTTTATTATTACAATTTTTCGCGATAACAATACTCCCTCGCCTGTAGGCGTGGGAAGTAATGGCAATATTGGGTTAGAACTAGTACATCCTTGGCAAACTCGAAGAGATAATTTTTGTAAATCCTCAACCAGTTTGAACGTTATATATAAAAAAATGATGTTTAATGCAAAGTTCAATAATGTTACAATAAAACAATTGAAACATTAAGATTCTATTTGTAGCTTATTTTCTTTAACATATATACAACGAATTATAATGAAATGTACTGGCTGCAAGGCGATAATGTTTTGATATGCACATTTCAAAAATTGATCCCCTCAACTTTTTAATCAAGCGAGAGTACATAACACTGAAACGTGGACAAACAAACTATGGATGCACTCTTGTGCCAACCAAAAAACTGAAAGTGAAAAATCTTGATTCATTACTTATAACGGTGGATCAGGTTCAAGTGCCTATTTATATTATACATCGTGTGACTCCTGTACATACAGTTTGGGCATTGGTATGGCTTGTCCTTATGACAATATTTCTTCCGGTGTGCATAGTATGAATTCTTTTTGCTGTACTTCTTTCCACAATGACATGTGAATTGCACTGAAAAGTAAGACAAAGTATAGTTCGAGGTAGTTCAGTTACAAATTCACTTGAATGCAACATGTTTGAGTAAGGTAATGTAGACTGACTAGGTGGTATACAAGTACACACCGCACTTGTATCTGAAATAATAAAGAAATATGAGGCAATACGATTTTTCTAACTAGTGACATCTAAGCATCCTGAATTGTAGTAGTGTGGATGCGACGCATGGCACCTAAGCAACATGTTTTTCTCTAATCACTAAGGCTCTGAATATTATTGCTTCTTGACTAATTCTGATTTAATCCAGAATGCGAGAAGTAATAGAACAGAATACATTAAATTCACAATATACACACTTGTTTGGCGCTTTGAAGCCTCTATCTGTTTTTGAGACCGCGCATACCTACCCATACATTTTTAAAGTATGCTGATCGGTACCATGTGCATGTGACTGGCAAAACGCCAAGATACATCTTGCATTCCTCCAAAATTATTCCGAGCTACTTCTGGCATAGTTCACTTTTCCTACCTCGCATGGGTGGTAGACGGCTCTGAGTGTCGAACGCGGAGGTACCACCCGGTGGGCTCAGAATCTGTGCATGTTGCATGCACACGTGTTCCTTCGCTAGAATCCGTGTGGCATCACCCTTGCCCCTGTATTCCCACGGTACCCATAGGTGTTTAGGCCTTAGAACTTCGTGGTGGTTCAAGCATAATAAAAAATTACTCGCGGGTTACTGTAGGGATAATGTTTGTTTCTAATTTCTTGTATACTCGACACATGTACATACAACCATTCCCAAAAATGAGCAATTATGCTCAAATAGGACCATTGATTAACGTATTCTACCTGAAGACAGTCAATCTAATGCTATATACCCGCGTTCAAAAAATTATCCCAGATAAAATGCGAAACCGTAGCATCATCTGTGATAATTTTTCACGGCTGTTTCTCTCTATATAGGTAGGCTCTATATAGATTGGTATAGCACATACAAGCATATACATAAGTGGATACGACGTAAATAGAGAAACAACTGTGACAAATTCTTACAGATGCCGCCAAGGTATGTCATTTTATCTCGGATAATTTTTTGGAAGCGGGAACGTAGCGTTAGGTTGTCAATTTTCAGGTAGAACACGTTAATCAAAAGTAGTAGTAGTAGTGGTGCTGGTGGGTAAGCGAAACTTGGCAACTAGCCCATCTTTGAGCCTCCTAGCATAACACTGTATCTACTACTCCACAAGCTACTATAGATGGCTGATAAATGAATATAGAATGAACCAGCTCCAGCGATGCGGTGTATCTATGCTGATCTTGCAACAGTCTGGTGCGCAATATGGACTTCACAACATCCGTCGATCGAAATTAACTTCCGGGGTCATGGTGGCCATTTTCAACATTTACTTGCCTAACGGGTCAGTTCATTCTTCATTTTTAAATTACTTTGCTGCCAAATGTATTGATCTCCACTAATGATGATGTACAAGTTTTATTTTAAGCTTTAAATCAATAAATCTTCAAAACTACTGAACTGAAGAACATTAATTTTATATCATAATAAAGGATATTGAAAGACCTTTAAAATAAGGTATCACTCTACCCCCCTTTCCATTTAAGATTTTGGGGGTGGTGTCACCCCCGCTTAGGGGGCTGCACGTACTAATGTGATTTTTTGCCAAACTTGTGTCCCCCTCGAAAACAAAATCGACGGGTCTGAGCGTTTTTCCAAAAAAAAACTGAGCTGCCAGTAAATGCGTCTGTTTCGTTTTCGATGCGCCACCCTGTATATCAAAAGTCAACGTAAAATATATAAAAATGTATTGATAATGAAAATAACATAGCAGTAATCACAAATGGTTATCAATTCATACATCTCTGGTAGATGCTCATCGTGCCGTAGATCTGCACGTATCTTTGGAGTGCAGACTTAGATATGCTATAATACGCTGCAGCTTTTCTGATAGAAACGCCATTTCTGACAGCTTTCACGGCAGCCATTACATATGGCAACTCCAGTTTTCGAAATATTCCAGGATGATGAAAATGTGTACCTAGAAGCACTTTACATGAATACTTCATTTGCATTTATTAGGCGAATCCTATGCCTAGTTTGTGTTTCTATACCCAACCCAAACTTGACACCTATGTTAGATACCTTACAAAGCGCTATCAAATTAAACCAAGAAAAATATCCCGCAACAATAAAAGTGGTCCGATTTCATTATCAATACATCCCTTAGCGCTCAAAACAGGACGTAGAGAAAGGTTATTTGCAGCATCTATTATCGTTTGTTACTGCTACATCTTGGTACGTAAATTCGAAAACAATAGGGGGTGAACAAAAATCATACTTACCTCACATCTGTACGTTATATAACGTATTGATTATTTCAATTCTACATTCATCACAGTAACCATTATTATAAAGTACCTGAAAAATGTTACGTGCACAGGAACATTTTTTGGTAATTATGCAGGCTGTCGTAGATTTAGATATGTTTAACTGCGTTGAGAGAAAGGAGGTAAGGCAGAACATGTTTATTACAAGATGCCCAACTTATATTTGTTAACGGTGTAGTTTATTTGAAAACTGTTTTATCATGTAACAAAGCCTTTCGACATAAAAAGTAGGATTTTCATCATTTGGTTTCAAAATAAAACTGGCATTTTCCAAATCATTAGAAGCCCACAAACATATAAGAAAAAATACTTGACAGCAATAGTGACTGTGCATGCAATAAACTACAGAGGTTGTGACAACATAATTTAAAGATCACAGTAATTTTGAAGATTCAATATGGTCACCCAACCATTGTTGCATCTAATAGCACTGACATAAAGATGGCAGAAGAAAGAAATATTACTGTCCTAAAGTTTTGACAACTTATAGATATACCCTGATTTGAACAACTCAGTCCGTCCAATAATTCGTTATTCAGCTTTCTCCACCATAACAAATTTCAACAACTTCAACATCAACAAAACCAGAAATGTTTCCTTTCTCGCTCTTATCGTCCATTTTCAATTTCTTTCTAACACTACTCTCAGCAAGACATTTCGCGGCATGCCTCTTCAGGTGGTAATTCCGTTTAAAAATTTTGCTGCATTTCATACAAATGTGACAGCTACCTCCCATGTGTTGTTCTCTGAAGTGACTTCTCAGCTGCTTCGTATTTTTGTAAGATTTCTCGCAACAGTCGCATTGATAGTGTTTGTTGTTTCCTGCAAAAACGTTGTTTTAGTGTTTCGAGGACGACACATAACATAGTTGATAAATACCATCAACCAAGACTAGACGAAAAAGAATATCTTATGACCGAATAGATGTGTAAAACTAATATGAAATATCCCTACAAAAATTATTCGTTTGCAAGATTGACAAATTGACAAGAAGTTTACGGGGCATAGATAGATAGAGTTTCAAAACGTTTTGAGTTTTTATTCCATCATAATTTTTTGAATTGCTGTAAAACGTTAAAAAAATGTAGATGCTAAAAGTCATGCCAATAAATTTCGGATTTCAAAATTTAAATGATCGCAGCCACAATTACGTTTGACTTTACTATATCACATGTTATTCTATTCTTACCTTGTCAGGAATCCTTTGAGAAATAATTGCACCCTGGAATGTAACCTTTTAAAGTGGTATGAAGTACAATGCGTCGCAACTAGATGTTGTATAATACCTGCCTCTGTATATTTTGTTATATTATTCAGATACTCGGAGAGATATGTACAGTCAACAACACATACGTGTGATGGTTTTCCCCTTAAAAAACTAATTAGCAATTTCGGTAGATACTAAATTCTACGCCAAGAAAAAGAATTCTGAAAAAATTCCATCAGGTATATTGTCTGAGAGTTACTTTTTTCAATTTCCTAAAGATGACCGCCTGCAATAACATCATCTAAAAAGTACGTAGAACTAATGCTAATTGATATAGCGAAAAAAATCATCATCATATCAATACATCCAAGCAAAATCAGCAATCCCAAAAACCTTAGCAGATCATCACCACCAAGCATATATCAGTGGTGATGATCTGTTTCAACTAAATAAGAGAATAGTATGATCACATATTTTTATTAGAAAAATGCGTAATGTAACAATGAAAAATAAAAAAGAAATTATAAAATTAATTTATTTGATAAAATCTTAAACCTAAAATGGCATAAAATGAGACCAAACACTTATAGACTAGTTTAAAAAAATCCAAAAGAATGAAATACTGAACAATATAGGCTAACTAGAAATAACTGAGGAGATCATGAGATTAATCTGTTTTCTGTGCTTTGCCGTATTTTTTTAATTAGAAAGCTGTATAATGGTTTTGGAGTTTGAACCAAACAATAATTCAAATTAAACCTAAATAAACAAAGCTATGGAAACTTACTAATAAGACAGGCAATTAATCGAATAAAATACATAAAAAACTAAATTAATAGAACCTAAAATGCTAAGACATAACATATTAAGAAAAAAAGGACTTAAATGATAAAATGTAAATAATGTATAATGATATAGGTATAGTTATAAATTATCAATCGAATAATATTGATTGTGATCACGAATTACCAGTAAGGCACGGCCAAATAATGTGACTGCCGAATACATATACCCTGCTTAATTTATAAGATTTTTGGTAAATTAGACAGCTTATAGATTGAAATTTAATTGGTCAGATCAAGAATGATCAACAAAACCCTGTAAAGATGAAATACTTCCCTTATGTATCAAAATATATGTCCTTATATTTAAAATTACAAATGAGAAAACTATGATCGTTGAAATGAACGATTTGAGTAATATATAATTTTTTCATATTTAAACTTCACTACACAATAACTGAGAATTTGATGAGGACCAAAATCTCATCGTAGACACGAATATTTTCAACAATAAATATTTATTTGTCCTTAGTATTTTGCAAAACGCCTAATTACATGATATCAAAAATATAATATGTCATAACGGTAAGCGCGTATTTTTGGTAAACAGTCTTATCAGAATATTTAGTCTTGGTTTTCGAAATAGAACGAATGGTTATTACTATAGTTCCAGTTCCAGTCACAATTTCACTTAAAAATGATTCCATACAAACAAGTATGACCGTTTGTAAGTGTTGCAAAAGGGTTCTTCTTCCTCATAAAAATATTTTTTTGGTGATAATCAGATTATACTTCTTAAAGTTGGAACTTTCCTTCAGAGAGCGTATGTTATAAGCCAATTTTCCTAGTGACACGTATACATCAAACCTTACGTTAATCAAAACGAATTATTTAGTTCCGAAAAAATATAATTTGGTCAGCAGAAAAATAAACGTAATACGTATTACTAAATTCATAGAAAAAGGTGCTATCAGATACAGGGGGTACTTTTTTCAGACCACACAAAAAAATAAAGCTGATGGTTTCTCAAAACTGAAACTTCGGGTAAAAAATTTAAAAACATCATCATGAAGTGCCTAAAAGGTGCCAATGAAAAAGTTTCATTAGTTTTTTGACATTTCTTAAAATGAATTTAGAAAAAGATAAGCCGATTTGGCCAAATTTTTGTTTTTCCTAAATACCTCAGTAAGCCATGAAATGTTTATCAACGGCATGTAAATTCCCAGCTTTTTTCCTAATTTATCCTAAGCTTCCACAGGTATTGAGTTCCCCTTGCAAAGGATACTTATCTTGGTCACACTGTATAGTAATAACAAGGACGTTATATTAGGGTGAGTGACTTCGAGATGCTATTGATACTTCGCGAGTGAATTCAGATCATTTTCCAAATGTTTCCAGTAAGATTTATCTCCTACAGAGGCTCTTGGTGGGAACGTCGGTGTAGGCAGAGTAGAAGACCTAGACAGGCCCCACCTTAGCTTTGTTATTTCAAACGTAGCTGTTTCTAAAAAGGAAAATCCCAACTTTCAGGTATATAATAGGTCAGAATTGATGAAAGTCTTGATTACTCATTCGAAAGTTATACTAATGAGATTCAACAATAAGACGCAAACCCCTGTTAGTATCTAATCCTTGGTGAAATTGGCACACCGAAAAACAAAACCAAGACAATCTTTTATCGACCAAGTCCTGGAACGTATAACATATTTGTTTGTGGATGAAAAAATTACGTAATCGGCTTTCTCTGAAAGTCTGTGAAATTATACGATCGATCAATTCTGGATAGCTAACAGTGTAAAGATAAGCTAAATCATTGAAAAAACATATAATCTTCATCCTGTCAGTCGAATGTACTTTTAAGGTCGCGTACCTCGAAATTAATGGCACTATAATAGTTTCCGAAATCTCAAACACTCTTGGGCTTTTATCCTTAACAGAATAAGTCCATCAAGCAATTTTTTCACCTCTCAGTCTTAATTACGCAGATCAACATTTGATCTGGACCCTATAGGGGAATCTCAAGAGTTTTTGGACTCACTGACTCGCTGATCGCAATCCTGAAGTCGGATGACTTCTGTCGCGTCAGGATTAAGGTTATGTTGTTTTTTGGGTCACTGAAACATAATCTGGCGGCGTTTGTTTTGTCTAGCGAGGTCATCCGGAGGTTCTTTCAAGACAAAGGCCAGATTTGGATTCAGCGACCCAAAAAATTCCAATATAAAAGGTGGGTCATCAGTTGGTTTCTTTTAAGTTGGTTTTATTTTGACGGTAACACCTCCATGCTCAACATATTGACAGATATATTGAGTCAAACTTCCGCTGTGAGCAATGGATCGTTTCAATCTTGAACAGAGGTGGTAAATATTGAAAAACTATTTTCAAAGTGAGGGCTGTGTTGCAGAAACATTGCGAAAATTGAGAAGACTATTTGGTCGGGATGAAGGTCCGTCCGCGTTTGCTATACGAAAATTCGTGAGGAAGGTTCGTGAAACTGGCCTGCTTGTGGATAACAAAATGTATGAGTGTGTTCTACCCATACGTACCGCCAAAAACATTGCTGCTGTTGCCCAGAGTATGCGTGAAAGCGTAAGAATGTCAACTCGTCACAGAGCATAATAAGTGGGCATCAGTCGCACTTCTGTGCGGAGAATATTGCATAACGACCTGGGATTATTTCCTTACAAGGTGCA